GGTTTAAAAGGACGTCCGCCTAGACGGCTAAACTCATTCCACTCTTCCAGATGGCAGTGGATCTCAGGAGCTCAGGCAAGGGGACCTTCAGGTGAGAGACTCAAAGTGGATAAGTAACAGACTTCTCTTGTTTCCTTAGGATCACGGTGGAGCTCAAGACGGGCTACAAGTGTCTCCAGAAGAGCAACTCCATACAACGTGAGGGCTGGCGTTTCCTACTCCTTCCAGACGGCAGTGGATCTCAGGAGCTCAGGCAAGGGGACCTTCAGGTGAGAGACTCAAAGTGGATAAGTAACAGACCTCTCTTTTTTCCATAGGATCACGGTGGAGCTCAAGACGGGCTACAAGTGTCTCCAGAAGAGCAACTCCATACAACGTGAGGGCTGGCGTTTCCTACTCCTTCCAGACGGCAGTGGATCTCAGGAGCTCAGGCAAGGGGACCTTCAGGTGAGTGACTGGCTTTCTTGGTTCCTGTAACGCAGCAATAGAGCTGAAGTACCTGCAGTAGAGGAGCTTTGGACTCGTGAGGAACTCAGGAAGTGGCAGTCTTCGAGGTCGATGAGTCCTGGGCAGCGTGAGTGACTGGCCTTCTCGTTTCCTCAAGATGAGAGTCAATCGGCACCTGCACACATCTAGACAGCTGGACTATAAACTTCCCCACCCCACACGGGCTGGACGATCCCAGGAAAAATTGGAGCGAACGGAATGGTTAAATCTTCTTCACACTTGTGTATACAGCAATTCCTCCACAATTCACACGTGCACACTTCAACTTGTAAGCACTGCAATTCCACAAATACCTCACAGTGGGTTTAAGCCTTCACTCCATTCAGCCTGGATCATCCAAACTGCTGCTCGGGTTCCAACCGAAGGGGGGGAGAAAGTGCAATGATGAGGCGGCTGCACAGGGGGGTTATTCAGGAACACAAACGTGCCTTCCCATCACCAGCTTCAACCTCATGAGAATAGAACAGCGAACATAGACAGATCTTCTAATCGGTCACACGGACTCCATGAACTCAATCACAATGTTAGTACAGAAAGCTGGAATTGGGTACTTAACTCTTCGTAAAGGGCGATCTTCACAATGCCTTCATCAACTCAATCACAATGTTTGCACAGCAAGCTGAAATTGGGTACTCAACTCCTCACAAATGTCGGTCCTCACACTCACGGGGACAATCTTCTCCCTCGCCCGTCCGCCCACCCCTGGCCAGTCCCTCCACCCACCCCTGGCCAGTCCCTCCACCCACCCCTGGCCAGTCCCTCCACCCCTCCCTGGCCAGTCCCTCCACCCCTCCCTGGCCAGTCCCTCCACCCCTCCCTGGCCAGTCCCTCCACCCCTGGCCAGTTCCTCCACTCCCCGTACCTCGCCGCTTTTCTTTCTCACTTTTTCCTCCCCTCCTCTTCCTTCAACTGCTCCATTCATATCCTCTGCAAACATACACTCTCGCTCGCCACCGTAATCACCTCTCATTTCATTCAGCTGTAAACAATTCCTCCGCGTTTTCCCGTTAGATCGGCCATGACGGCAAACCGGAACCGGCCTGATGTTACACCGGAAGTGCTCCCCCCGGGGGACTATGCACCGAATTTTAGTTCCGGCTTAGTCACCTGGTGACACACACATGCTTTTTAATCATTACAAATAATAATGCAAAATGATTATCTTAGAATAGAAGATATATGCTCTCACATCACATAAATTATCAATAGTTAACGTGGTCTTGAAGAGAATTTGAAATGGAAAAAAAAAGTAAAGAGCAAATTGCATGTGTTTGATGCTATGTATTCACAATTAGAACTTATAGCCTAATTCTTAATAATTCTTACATATTAAAATTACATATGATAATTAAATGACTATTTTTACTATAATAAGACAGTGTATAATACATACTGTATTATCCAGTACGTAGCAAAGTAATATTTAATTCTGAAAACAGCCATAATATATAATATGATTCAGATGCATAATTAAAGGAAACACCTGCACACATGGGAGAAACCTCACTGACAAACAAATGTCATGCTATCCATGCAGTAAATGACCTATTCATTTGTGTGGATGCCGCATGTCACCCAGAGTCACACCTGGCTTGAGCCACAAACGTTATGTTTAGTGTCTCAGCATCTGTGAGCAGTGAGGAACAAACCTGGATGTCAACAGTGGAAATCCCAGTGCACTGAACTCACTCTCTCACAGTGTTTTTCGCCCATTCTCTCCTATATAAACACTTAATATCTCTGTGCGAATGGAAAAACAAGTGCAATGGGCGTGTGGTCATGTGTGCGGTGAGACGGGAGGTTACCTGGAACAGAGACAGAGGCTGGGTGTGAGAAGCGACCCGGGGAGGACACTGCAGCTGTGTGTGTGTTTGTACCAAAGGGTCAAGGTTTGGCCTGTTAGCAATAGCAGCCGGTAGATGTAGTAACTACACCATCTGAACCCAAAAAGCTTCTTTCTCCACTGGCAGCCAGTCAAAAGTAGCAGAATATTCTGATTAATTACCTTTTTTGCAAGCAACAAATGCATTAAACATTTGATCATGTTATAGATGTTTCACCAATGCATATTATTATTTATATACTATTCAAAACTTTTAAAACACTAAACTTGTTGTTGCATCAATAATTATTAAATAAAGCTGTTTAAAGTGTAAAAATTTGTAGATCTAGCTTTTTTAATAAGCTGTGCACTACTTAATTAAAAATAATATTAGAATGTGTTAATTTTAACTGTAGGTGATTTAATATATATATATATATATATATATATATATATATATATGTATATATATATATATATATCACTCACCTAAAGGATTATTAGGAACACCTGTTCAATTTCTCATTAATGCAATTATCTAATCAACCAATCACATGGCAGTTGCTTCAATGCATTTAGGGGTGTGGTCCTGGTCAAGACAATCTCCTGAACTCCAAACTGAATGTCAGAATGGGAAAGAAAGGTGATTTAAGCAATTTTGAGCGTGGTATGGTTGTTGGTGCCAGACGGGCCGGTCTGAGTATTTCACAATCTGCTCAGTTACTGGGATTTTCACGCACAACCATTTCTAGGGTTTACAAAGAATGGTGTGAAAAGGGAAAAACATCCAGTATGCGGCGGTCCTGTGGGCGAAAATGCCTTATTGATGCTAGAGGTCAGAGGAGAATGGGCCGACTGATTCAAGCTGATAGAAGAGCAACTTTGACTGAAATAACCATTTGTTACAACCGAGGTATGCAGCAAAGCATTTGTGAAGCCACAACACGCACAACCTTGAGGCGGATGGGCTACAACAGCAGAAGACCCCACCGGGTACCACTCATCTCCACTACAAATAGGAAAAAGAGGCTACAATTTGCAAGAGCTCACCAAAATTGGACAGTTGAAGACTGGAAAAATGTTGCCTGGTCTGATGAGTCTCGATTTCTGTTGAGACATTCAGATGTTAGAGTCAGAATTTGGCGTAAACAGAATGAGAACATGGATCCATCATGCCTTGTTACCACTGTGCAGGCTGGTGGTGTAATGGTGTGGGGGATGTTTTCTTGGCACACTTTAGGCCCCTTAGTGCCAATTGGGCATCGTTTAAATGCCACGGCCTACCTGAGCATTATTTCTGACCATGTCCATCTTTTTACGGCCACCATGTACCCATCCTCTGATGGCAACTTCCAGCAGGAAAATGCACCATGTCACAAAGCTCGAATCATTTCAAATTAGTTTCTTGAACATGACAATGAGTTCACTGTACTAAAATGGCCCCCACAGTCACCAGATCTCAACCCAATAGAGCATCTTTGGGATGTGGTGGAACGGGAGCTTCGTGCCCTGGATGTGCATCCCACAAATCTCCATCAACTGCAAGATGCTATCCTATCAATATGGGCCAACATTTCTAAAGAATGCTTTCAGCACCTTGTGGAATCAATGCCACGTAGAATTAAGGCAGTTCTGAAGGCGAAAGGGGGTCAAACACAGTATTAGTATGGTGTTCCTAATAATCCTTTAGGTGAGTGTATATATATATATATATATATATATATATATATTATTTAAACCTCCTCACCTGTATATTTAAAGTTAATCCAAAACTGGAATTTAAATAACAGTATAAAATAATGGAGCAACAGGATTAAAGTTAATCTATTTAAAATTTAAATAAAAACCAGGGATGAAATATTGGTTTAATTGTGTTTGAAAGTGTTTATTTTTAAACAAAGTTTAAAGTTTGGTGCAACAGAATTATTAGATAATCTTTATTTAATACAGATTTAAACTTAATCCATATTGTTGTTGTTGTTTTTTTAAATATCCTACTGTACACAAAATACAGTAGTATTTTAAATTATTGTTACATAATTACATTTTTATATACAGTATTTAATAAACAGACTATGCTGGCAAAGCCCTGTTTTAGCCACCATTAAGGCCATTGCACACTGAGTCCGAAATTCGCATCCGAAATTTTCGCACGTTAAAAAATAAATACGACCTCACGTTATGTCAATCACGCTTGCACACTGCCTCCGAAACTTTCGTCCGTCATAAAAAAAATCGAATCGGGTTCGACTTTCTGCGTTTTTCGCATCCGTAGCAATCAGTTTGAATGGTGTTTGAATGATGTTTTGACAATTCAGAGCCACCGAATCTCGAATACGAAAAAACGCATACGAAAATTTCGGACTCAGTGTGCAATGGCCTTTACTCCAGTCAGAAAACTGTCTAAAGGCCAGCAGCACTGCAGGTAAAAACTGAATTTTAACTAAATACTAAATATCTAGTTGTACAAAAATTCTGCACAAACCAGCAAGAATTCAACAGATGTTTGTCCAGGCTGGGTTTGCTGATTAGATCTGGTCTAGCATTCTGGCTGGTCAAGAAATGCTGGATTTTTTGGCAGGGTATGTATGGATTTCTTTAAAAAGATAAATGAGATTGATGGCAGACATTTGAATAATAGAGTATGTATGTATGTATGTAACATAATGTATGTTATTAGTTGTCAAATACGGATTTATACATGCAGCACATATCAGCTGAACTCACTTTAAATTTAATTGATTCACTTTGCAAGTTCAGTTCAGTTAAGCTTTGAATCTCCCTGATTTGGCCACCAGCTGTTTATTATCATTGGGCTACAATTCAATTATTTGTCAAAGATAGTCTATGTTTAAAACATGAAAAGTCTTTCAAGACAAAAGTGCATTGAATCACTGGACACAACTACCTACATATGGAACAGGTTTAGCAGATTTGAGACCCATCTCTAGGTCTGTTTCAGCTGCCTCTCCAGCACTTTACTGATCCTAAACTCAGGCTTAAGGTCGGACTCAGACTACTATGGTTTGGGTGTGTTGTGGTTAGGCTTGGCAGTTTTTGGTCCAGTGATCCACACCCACTATCTGTGGATAGATGAGTGGGAGAGACAGAAAGAAAAGGAAAGAATACACACACAAACAGACATATTATGAAATCCAGTAAAATTGGGTTTTTGTGACACAAAAGAGCACATTGAGAAACATTTTAATGCTGCTCTGGATGATTTGGCCAAAAAAAGTCAAGCAGTTACCTGACTTTACCCCTAAGCATCTGGTGCAAGTAGTGCAAATACTGTAGCCTCTGGGATCAAAGCGGAATTAGATTTTTTTCTTTAAAGCCCCCCTGTAGAGAATCATTTTATCCCTTAAAACTCATCTTGGATCACTAAAATGACACATTTAAACCTCTTTTCCTTGAAAGTTCCGTATCAATTACAAAGTACTACTACTGACCTATAAAGCCCTAAATGGTTTAGCTCCTGTGTATTTAATGGACCTTCTATCGCCCTACAATCCATCGCGTTCTTTAAGATCACTAAATTCGAGGCTTCTGGTCATTCCTAGGATATCTAAGTCCACTAAAGGAGGGAGGGCGTTCTCACATTTAGCTCCTAAACTCTGGAATAGCCTTCCTGATACTGTTCGTTGCGCAGACTCGCTCTCCCAGTTCAAAACTAGATTAAAGACGCATCTCTTCAGCCAAGCATTCACATAATGCTTACCTTTTATACCACTGTTGAATCAGATCGAATGCATTAATATTATGAACAGCAGCTACGCTAATTATTTCCCATCTGCTTTTCTGCTGTTATCTCGGGACGCTAGTCCTGAGGTAAATAGCGTTCGTCAGCTCCAGTTTGTATCCAGCCTCTCACGGAGACTTCTGATGCCCCAACACCTGCGATGAGACGACTCGACGCCTGTGAAGAGACGACTCAACGCCGGCGATATGTTATGCCCTAAATTAATACATGATGATTAACTAACTGTATTCTTCTATGTACATTTCTGAAATGCACTTTCTGTAAAGCTGCTTTGAAACAATATGTATTGTGAAAAGCGCTATACAAATAAATTTGAATTTAATTGAATTGAATGGCTTAAAATAGCTTGAATGTAACTTGACACCCTTGCCTCATTTAGTATGCGCGGTTCAATGAATATGCAAATGAGCCCCGCCTCCACTCACTCACTCAGCTCAGAGATCCACTGGTTGACTGGTTGATTGGTTACAAGGTCGTTTGTGACGTCAGAAACACCAGCGATTTCAAACCGTGTTTTTGAGACTGTCTTTGGTTCACTGCAGTTTTAAGCAGAAAATACTCAGCAATGCTGTCGACTTATGAATTTACACATGGTTTGTCTTAAAGCGTATTAAAAACACCACATACACATATAAACAACATTAAAAGCTGGATTTTCACCACAGGGGGACTTTAAGGGTGTGTCACACTTGGCATGTTTGGTTGGATTAAAACGAACCCTGGTGCGATGGCTCTGTTAGTGCGGTTCATAAGTGTAAACGAAACGCTGCCATCCGAACTCTGGTGCCACCAAACAAACGGACCGAGACGCTGAAAAGATGAGTCTTGATCCGCTTCCAAACGACCTTTGGTGCGGATCAAATGAAATCTGAACACAATATGGACCAAAGACATGTAAACCAACCAAAAACAGGAAGATGAGACCCTAAAAAGTATGGAAGCATATGGGTAGCAATATTCAATTTGAAATGTAATATGCAAAATGACAATGCAATATGTAAAATGGCATTGCATTCTGTATTTAAATTTACATTTTACATTACCATTCTAGCAACGTTTGGTGCAAAATGAAAAGGCAAATGTAAATTATGTAATTTCATTTTCAATTTCATACACTAGTTTTAATATGCATATTGAAACGCTTTATAAGTTGCAAAATTAAAATGAAAATGCATTACAGAAATGATTAGATATGTGTAGCATGTTCAAGCAAAAACTGTGGCAAAATGATCATTCAAATGTTATTTTTCTTAATTGCATTTACACTCACAGTCAAGACACTTGCGATTGCATTTTCATGAAATGTCCCGCAATGAATGTAGCAAAATTCAATGTGCACATTGAAAATGCATTCCGAGCCGATCACGCCCCCTCCTGCCCTGTCAATCACTGCATCAAGGCGGGGCTTAAGTTGTGTTGTTTCTCTCTATGGAACCAGGCACTTGGAAGCATGACGCCTCCAGATCGAAGTGGTGGGACACGGGGTAAGTTCATGGGTAAGTTGGCAGAAAGAGAAGAGACAAGGGGTCGGTAGTGTGACCGCAGCCGCAGGTAAAGCCGGGTGTCACCCCTTTTTTTTTTTTTTTTTTTTAGCCAAAACGAGCACTTTTCGTACATACGCTCTATGGTCACGTAAGAGTGTGATCGTCAAATACACCCCACAGTCCAGACCCCGAGTGAAATTTGGCAACCCTAGGTCTAACCGTTTGACGACCGTCGACAGACCCCCTTGTCTCTTCTCTTTCTGCCAACTTACCCCGTGTCCCACCACTTCGATCCGGAGGCGTCATGCTTAAGCTGGACGATGGTCTGGTCTTTCTGAAGGGCAGCATGTGCACTTTGTCGCTCTATTGCTTGTGCAGCTTCTCGGAGTTCCATAGAGAGAAACACCACAACTTAAGCCCCGCCTTGATGCAGTGATTGACAGGGCAGGAGGGGGCGTGATCGGCTCAGAATGCATTTTCAATGTGCACATTGAATTTTGCTACATTCATTGCGGGACATTTCATGAAAATGCGATCGCAAGTGTCTTGACTGTGAGTGTAAATGCAATTAAGAAAAATAACATTTGAATGATCATTTTGCCACAGTTTTTGCTTGAACATGCTACACATATCTAATCATTTCTGTAATGCATTTTCATTTTAATTTTGCAACTTATAAAGCGTTTCAATATGCATATTAAAACTAGTGTATGAAATTGAAAATGAAATTACATAATTTACATTTGCCTTTTCATTTTGCACCAAACGTTGCTAGAATGGTAATGTAAAATGTAAATTTAAATACAGAATGCAATGCCATTTTACATATTGCATTGTCATTTTGCATATTACATTTCAAATTGAATATTGCTACCCATAAAAATAATGCATAAAAAAGGACTGTTTTTTCTCATCATAGTCGTGATGTTGCCCATCACAGTTCAGTCCAGGCATCAGAACCACGTCTCCTCACAGCAGACCTGTGTGTGTGTGTGTGACGGAGGGATTCCTGACGCTGTTTTGACTCCTTTACACATTTAATAAGCTCTACACGAGTTCTCAGCTGATCAAAATACCAGCATATGTAGATACACACATCCATCCAGCGAGCGCATTTAGCCCAGGACACAGCGTTGCTTTGGATGTTCGGTAAGTTCAGTCTCAAAATAGGCAATACGTCATAAAAGCCGACCAATCAGGTTGTGAACGTATCCCTAATGCCTATAGGTTCGGAATCTTTTGGTTCTGTGATAAAAATGCCAATCTGAACGCTAATCGGACCAGGACTTAATTTATATATATATATGTATATATATTTTTTTTTTGGTCCGGACCAAATGAACCAAGAAATAATAATAGTTCATCATCATTTTATAACATGCAGTGGCCATTTATATATGAATATATATGCACAAAGTGTTGTGCTCTGGAGGCCTTATTGGCTGTTTTGCTGGCATGGCCACATGCATTCATTTTGTTAAGTTGTTAATGCTCTAATATTACATTACAATTACAAAACTAATTTTATTTGATATCATTAGGCAAAGGGCATCTGTATCCCGAAGCTTCTGTGCTGACCTCTGAAAGGAATGTTGCCGGAGAGATGATTCGGGATGGGAGGAAAGCCGATGCCCAGCCGCCGTGGGGTGCCAGCGCTCTCTAGTGTCGAGTTACTCCCTCTCTGCTCCCTCCTTTTACCAACATTACCCCTCTTCCGCGGGTGAGCCTGAAAAGGAAAAAGGAATGATACAAAAATTTCTTTTGCATTTACTAATTCTATGATCTTTAAAAAAGTGCTCTGCCTTCATATTATCATGGCTGTATAAATGCATCAGACACCTTCCCTAAGTACTCACCGCTTTGGATGACTTGGACATTTGACAAGATGGAAGGCAGATTAACTCTTTTATAGCAATGTTTGGAGATCTAGACCTTTAAGGTGAAAAGCAGATTATTAACATTAATATAGACCACTGCAAATAAAAAATTACACTGTACATGTGAATTATTAAATATACAATACATGCTCATAAATATACTCATAGATGTGGTTTTAAAAGTGCTATAATATGCAGTATTAGTAATATGACATATATAGCTAACAAGTCTGTATATACTCTCAGAAAAAAAGGTTCGATTTGAACTCTAGGGTTCTTACTCAGTTTTAAAGAATTAGGTTCTATATAAGGAGAAATGTCTTAAATGGTTGCATAATACTTTCATATTTATTTATTTTTTCTAATGATAAAGTATGTTTACAAGCTGTTTAATTAATAAAATTGAAACTAAATAAAACTATATAAAAACTAAATTCATAAAATGATCCCATGATGGAACCGCTTTACAATAAGGTTCATTAGTTAACTTTAGTTAATGTATTAACTAACATGAACTAACAATGAGTAATACATCTGTTACTGTTTTAGTTAATCTTTGTTAATGTTAGTTAATAAAAATACAGCTGTTCATTGTTTGTTCAAAGTACATTAACTAATGTTAAGAAATAAAACCTGTGATTTTAATAATGTATTAGTAAATGTTGAAATTAATGTTAACTAAGATTAATAAATGCTGTTAATTCTTAGTAAATGTTAACTAATGTAGTTAACTAATGTTAACTAATGAACCTTATTGTAAAGTGTTACCAGGTTCTATATAAGGAGAAATGTCTTAAATGGTTGCATAATACTTTTTGTTCAAATTTTCTAATGATAAAGTATGTTTACGAGCTGTTTAATTCATAAAATTGAAACTAAATAAAACTATATAAAAACTAAATTCATAAAATGATCCCATGATGGAACGCCTAAAAGCGCCAGATGGAACCTCTAAGCTTCTATATATTTCTTCTAAGAGTGATAGTTTATTGATACAATGGGAAGACATTATTGATATAATTATTGTGAGGTCAGGCCTACTTGTTTAGGTGGAGGCACTGAGGCTTGTGGTGCGGGTTGGGAATCCATGTGACCACTGGACACTGTGGAAACTCAGAACAGCTCGTGAAAGGACTGATGTGAACAGTATTTACCTGCAAAAACAACAAGTCATAATTTAATACTCGTTCTACACCGACAGACTACAGTACATCACTTCTCACACACTCCACGGCCTGACAAGTGCCAAAAATGAAAATGCATGTTTTGGAAGTCTCCACATACCTTTATTTTGTTTTGTGTATCGGTGAGCGTGCTGGAAATGGATTCTGGGAAGGAAAGATCTGCCCTGCCAGAAAATAACCATACCAAATATGGAATAATAATAGTTTTGATGACTAATTTACTAATGCAATGACATATTAGACTCACCTCTTGATCTTTCCAGTGTCTTCTGTCTGTATGGTGAGATCATTCAAAGATTCCTCTGTGTCCGTGCTGTATAATAGCCTTTCTTTACTTGTTCTCCTCTGTCCAGCCCATTCAGAGACATTGACAACACTCAGAGATGGAAAGATCTCTGTTGGTGTTACAAGAAAGCGGAATAACATCATGGCATTATACAAGCACAATTCTATTGAATAGGAGCGTATGTGACACAAGGACATTATGCAGAAATCACAGGCATTCAGTGAATTCCAGTGAGAAAGTAGATGTGCAGAAGTGATCAGAAATGCAAGGCAAACGCACCGTCTTTGAGAGAGCATCTCTTGACGCGTGCTGGAGCGAGGCGTGTGATTCCTCGGCTTCCTCGGTGCTCAGTGTCCCAGCAGCACGGGTGCGAACACAGCGGCCGGAAACAGTGAGCTCCGTCCACACTGAAACACCAGGGCAAAGAGATCAGCTTTCAACGGCATACAACCTGACCAGATCTGAGAGATTTCATATCAGTTTTTTATATGCATTTTATGAATTTTTATGTATTTTATATAATATTATATATTTCTTGATGAGTTTTAATCTATAAATATTAAATATTTTACTTTATATAATATTATTTAAATATTTCTATATTTGTTTTCAAAGAACTGCATCCAGCTCGATCAGATCTGTGAGATTTTATATTAGTTTTTTATATGAAGTTTATATTAGTTTTTGTGCATTTTATATAATATTCTATATTTGTTTTCAAAGAACTGCATCCAATCTGATCAGATCTGAGAGTTTTTATTTGAATTTTTATATACATTGTGTGATTTTTTATGTATTTTATATAATATTATTTATTTCTTGATGAGTTTTAATCTATAAATATTAAATATTTTATATAATATTATATAAATATTTCTATATTAGTTTTCAAAGAACTGCAATCTGATCAGATCTGAGAGTTTTTATTTGAATTTTATTATTGTATGAATTTGTATGTATTTTATATAATATTATATATTTCTTGATGAGTTTTAGCCTACATATTAAATAGTACATTTTATATAATAGAATACAAGATTATATTATATATTTTCTGTGAGTGTTCAAAGATTTTTAGCATATATACTATTTCTAGCCAATAAAATGTTACACAAAAAAATGCTGGGTTGTTTCAACCCATGTTTGGGTCAAATATGGACAAACTCAACCGTTGGGTTAAAAATTGTATTAAAAAATTTAAACAACGGTTGGGTTTGTCCATATTTGACCCAAACATGGGTTGAAACCATAGGTTGAAACAACCCAGCATTTTTTAGAGTGTATTAGTTGGAGATACATCCACAATGACCCCACCGCAGGCTTTTATTAATTTCAATTATTAAACAAAACGACAATCCCTCAACTGTTTATTTTTTGTTTATTTGTTTTCTATGGATTCGTAAAGCAAAAACTGAATTGGATTGAAATTGAATTGAATTCGTTCTTGTTATTTGTTCATCGCACAATCATGAAATACTCTTTTAAACACTGACTTACCTCATTTGCTAAAAAGAAAAACTGTATACTCGCAGTCGTTAACGGACATGTGTCTCTCTCTGCTTGTGCAAAGTTTGGTTGCTTAGCAGCAGCAGCAGGTCACGGGGCTACTTTCACTTTCCGCGCGCTAATGCAAATCGGATGGTATTTACTATTTAAATAATTTAATTATTTAAATTATTTAAATCTACTGTGGTATTTGATATGAAAACCAAACTTAATACAAAACTGCAAAACAAAGCTGTAATCATACAAATAAAAAAGATTCGTTCGCAAATTTCCGCCAATCGAGTTTTGATCGATACAAAAAAACATGGTAATTTCTCATGAAAATATAAATAATAATATAAAATATAATAACATAAAGGATAATTAAAGTACAATTATAACAAATACATAAATATTATGCAAACATAAATCATAAAATTGTTTATATATTATAATTTTATTATAAATTATAATATTATGTATTATTTTAGATTTTCCAAATTAGCTTTTATGACAATTTTGTTCTCGCGCTGTTTTTTAATTCGAGCTTTCAACATTTAACAGGTATATAGAGATAGTTTTAAAGAAAAGAAAAATACAAACACACACTACAATAAATAAAATAAAAAAACTTAGATTTTTTTGTAATGCTTGAAGAAGAAAACAAACAAACATTAACAACAATTATCATCATTGTCATAACATAATACAACAGTACTCCAGAGTCCCTCGGTCTTTCAGTCCAGATTAATTTGATTTATTTATTTTTCACTTCAGAGTTCCATTTGTGTGTTTGCAAATTTTAACATACGTAAGACACAAAAACAGACAAACTTTCAGACAATAAACAAGTTATAGTTCAATAGTTAACAAGAAAAATAATATAAAGTAACCTGATTTATCTATTAAAAGTCCAGATTAATAATAAAAAAACACATTTGATTTGAGTAAGTGGAAGTGCTGAGTGACGTAAGCGCGCGTGATCATGTGGTGGGTCAGCTGACACCAGCAGAACCAGGAAGCGACTTGGAAAGAATTTTTATATGTTAATATTTACTCACCGCATGCAGGCGATCATTACTTCATATCTGTAATATAAGTAGCGTTAGAGTCTCGCGGTGTGAAGATCAGCCAGAGGCATGTTTGCAACAGACGACGAGGACGGAGACTTTTTGTCTCCCACTGGAGGGTGAGTGAATTCCTGACGGACAAACACACAATCATGCAGGCGAAAGTCTCCAGGAAAACAGCATTCACCTTATTTATCTAAATAAAGCTTATTTAGATGTTTAGACCGGAAACAACTCTAATGCACAATGGTGCAATAGAAACCGAAAGTGAAGTGTCACTCATTGGCTATAATATAGCAAATATATTGCAGCTTTCTTATCTGACAGGAACTTTTTTTTTTTGGCGACAAAAAGTACATTAACAGACAAGTGAACCGTTTGTTGTGTTAATAAAACAACGAGTTGTTTTAAACATTCCTCACTTGAATGTTACTTTGTTCTGGCATGAGTTCCTTGATCACATGATGTCTGATCTGTTAACTGTCATGCTAAAGGTATAACTCTCGGTTTGGGAAGTTCAGTTTCACTAAAATCATCTCAGCTTATGAAGTAATATAGGTTATATTGTTGTTAACTAATAACTCCCAAATCTCACAGCCCACTGAAGGCCCCCAAAACATCACTAAACACTATAAAGCATTAAATCGCCCTTATTAATGTTTCAGTGGGATTGCATTATACAGCAAAATATCAAAACATTTTCTGCTAGTTTTCTCAGAACAACTAACTTTGGTTTATTTAATGCTAGACATTGTGTTGCTTAAATCGGGGGTTTTCAATGCTTTAGATGATAAATATGACGATTCTCGATGTGAGGGAATTTAAATGGCACCTATATGTTGTCTTGTATAAAGACCCAGTCTGTGGATATGTCAAAATATTTTTAAAAAGTATTTATGTTCTCTTCTTTCAAGCTACATTAAAAAAAAATCTACTCATTAAACTACTCTACAGTTAGATGTATAATGTATTTAATCGTTTGTTTTAATAAGTTTGTATAGTTTATATTTTTACTTATTAATTTTAGTATTTTTTTATTATTTATTTAATTATACTTTTGTTATACATTTCCCCACAGCTCTCTCTCGTGACACCCTTTCAGTTTGAAACCTTTAAGTGTCTTAATAAATGTTAATTTTAATACATTTTGAATACAATTTTATTTCACGATAAACGTATTTATCACAACATAGTTATTTTTGTTATTTTATTTTTGTTATTAAAATAATAAAAAGAAGCAAATTACAAACAAAAAGACAATTTAACACAAATATGAATTAAACAAATTAAGTTTGTTTGTACAATATGTTTATTAAACATGTAGTTATAAATAGTACAGAAATTGAATTATCAAATGTAAAAAATAAAATACTGCATAGTCAGTCTTAAATTAAACTGTATAAATTAAATATTAAATTATTCTTAATTTAAGTTACAAATGTTATTCAGTCGAGCAGTAAGTTATTTTCAGAGCAGCAGGTTTATTATTATTTATTATTTTTGCTGCTGACACTTTAACCCTAAATGACCATGAAACCCTAAAACTCAAGTTCTTTTTCACAACTTACTTAAGAACTAGGCTATTTGTAACACAAGCACGTCCCATTCTTTATGGTCTCATTCATGCCATTCTGAAGTATCAATAGTGCTGCTATATTAATATAAGTGATCACATGGATTATGGACATGGACCTATATTGTATTTATATAAAGCGTTCACAGGCAAATTTGCTTTATGCATTTCCCCGGTGTCGAAATCAGGCACATATAAATGTCAGGAAACACGAATTAGCCTTTTTACACAATATAGCAAAATCAGTTGACAATTTATACCGTCGGAAGGATATATCGCCATACCCGGCCCAAGCATGCATGTGTGTTATGTAAGGAATAATGTACATCCAGCCGGTTGTTCTCTCAGAATAAACCCAGACAGGGTGATCAGGATCAGGTCTTCATCAGCCTGAAGGGGTTTATTCTGAAATAACACACACACACACACACACACACACACACACACACACACACACACACACACACACACACACACACACACACACACCTGAAGCGGTTTATTCTGAAATAAAACACACACACACACACACACACACACCTGAAGCGGTTTATTCTGAAATAACACACACACACACACACACACACACACACACACCAGAAGGGGTTTATTCTGAAATAACACACACACACACACACACACACACACACACACACACCTGAAGGGGTTTATTCTGAAATAACACACACACACACACACACACACCTGAAGGGGTTTATTCTGAAATAACACACACACACACCTGAAGGGGTTTATTCTGAGATAACACACACACACACCTGAAGGGGTTTATTCTGAGATAACACACACACACACACACACACCTCAAGGGGTTTATTCTGAGATAACACACACACACACACCAGAAGGGGTTTATTCTGAGATAACACACACACACACACACACCTGAAGAGGTTTATTCTGAACTTCAAAACTTCAACGAAGAAAAACCGTTCCTAGCGAGTGTATAGAGAGCCTTAGCCCCTCCCCTTCCGCTGGACCACCATGGGACCTTATTTCGGAAAAATATTGTATGGTAGTCGATGGCGAGACAACAAATATTTTGATCTCGTTTGAATTGTGCCCTGAATTACACATATGATGTTTGTCAATTTAAAAGATACATTTTAAAGTCAAGAAAGTCACAGTTTGATGTGAAACTGTTGAGGTATAAGACTGTGAAAATACGTAAAGACTACAAACCCCAAAGGGGCACATGTTCTCTCAATGAATGAAGCTTACTTTACTGAAGCTGACTTTACTGAAGCTAACTTTACTGAAGCTAACTTTACTGAAGCTAACTTTACTGAAGCTAACCTTACTGAAGCTAACTTTACTGAAGCTGACTTTACTGAAGCTAACTTTACTGAAGCTGACTTTACTGAAGCTGACTTTACTGACGCTGACTTTACTGACGCTGACTTTACTGACGCTGACTTTACTGAAGCTAACTTTACTGAAGCTGACTTTACTGAAGCTAACTTTACTGAAGCTGACTTTACTGAAGCTAACTTTACTGAAGCTGACTTTACTGAAGCTAACTTTACTGAAGCTGACTTTACTGACGCTGACTTTACTGACGCTGACTTTACTGACACTGACGCTGACTTTACTGACGCTGACTTTACTGACGCTGACTTTACTGAAGCTAACTTTACTGAAGCTGACTTTACTGACGCTGACTTTACTGAAGCTAACTTTACTGACGCTGACTTTACTGAAGCTAACTTTACTGATGCTGACTTTACTGACGCTGACTTTACTGACGCTGACTTTACTGACGCTGACTTTACTGACACTGACGCTGACTTTACTGACGCTGACTTTACTGACGCTGACTTTACTGACGCTGACTTTACTGACGCTGACTTTACTGACGCTGACTTTACTGATGCTGACTTTACTGACGCTGACTTTACTGAAGCTAACTTTACTGAAGCTGACTTTACTGAAGCTAACTTTACTGAAGCTGACTTTACTGAAGCTAACTTTACTGAAGCTGACTTTACTGAAGCTAACTTTACTGAAGCTGACTTTACTGACGCTGACTTTACTGACGCTGACTTTACTGACACTGACGCTGACTTTACTGACGCTGACTTTACTGATGCTGACTTTACTGAAGCTAACTTTACTGAAGCTGACTTTACTGACGCTGACTTTACTGACGCTGACTTTACTGACACTGACGCTGACTTTACTGACGCTGACTTTACTGACGCTGACTTTACTGAAGCTAACTTTACTGAAGCTGACTTTACTGATGCTGACTTTACTGACGCTGACCTTACTGACGCTGACTTTACTGACGCTGACTTTACTGAAGCTAACTTTACTGAAGCTAACATTACTGAAGCTGACTTTACTGAAGCTAACTTTACTGAAGCTGACTTTACTGAAGCTGACTTTACTGAAGCTGACTTTACTGAAGCTGACTTTACTGATGCTGACTTTACTGAAGCTAACTTTACTGAAGCTGACTTTACTGATGCTGACTTTACTGAAGCTGACTTTACTGATGCTGACTTTACTGATGCTAACTTTACTGAAGCTGACTTTACTGAAGCTGACTTTACTGAAGCTGACTTTACTGACGCTGACTTTACTGAAGCTGACTTTACTGAAGCTGACTTTACTGACGCTGACTTTACTGACGCTGACTTTACTGACGCTGACTTTACTGACGCTGACTTTACTGAAGCTGACTTTACTGAAGCTGACTTTACTGAAGCTAACTTTACTGATGCTAACTTTACTGAAGCTGACTTTACTGAAGCTAACTTTACTGAAGCTAACTTTACTGATGCTAAATTTACTGAAGCTGACTTTACTGAAGCTAACTTTACTGAAGCTAACTTTACTGAAGCTGACTTTACTGAAGCTGACTTTACTGAAGCTGACTTTACTGAAGCTGACTTTACTGAAGCTAACTTTACTGAAGCTGACTTTACTGAAGCTGACTTTACTGAAGCTGACTTTACTGAAGCTGACTTTACTGAAGCTGACTTTACTGAAGCTAACTTTACTGATGCTAACTTTACTGAAGCTGACTTTACTGAAGCTAACTTTACTGAAGCTAACTTTACTGAAGCTGACTTTACTGAAGCTGACTTTACTGAAGCTAACTTTACTGAAGCTGACTTTACTGAAGCTGACTTTACTGAAGCTGACTTTACTGACGCTGACTTTACTGAAGCTGACTTTACTGATGCTGACTTTACTGATGCTAACTTTACTGAAGCTGACTTTACTGAAGCTGACTTTACTGAAGCTGACTTTACTGAAGCTGACTTTACTGAAGCTGACTTTACTGAAGCCAACTTTACTGAAGCTGACTTTACTGATGCTAACTTTACTGAAGCTAACTTTACTGAAGCTGACTTTACTGATGCTAACTTTACTGAAGCTAACTTTACTGATGCTAACTTTACTGAAGCTAACTTTACTGAAGCTAACTTTACTGAAGCTAACTTTACTGAAGCTAACTTTACCGAAGCTACCTTTACCGAAGCTAACTTTACTGAAGCTAACTTTACTGAAGCTAACTTTACTGAAGCTGACTTTACTGATGCTGACTTTACTGAAGCTAACTTTACTGAAGCTAACTTTACTGAAGATGACTTTACTGAAGCTGACTTTACTGATGCTAACTTTACTGAAGCTAACTTTACTGAAGCTAACTTTACTGAAGCTGACTTTACTGAAGCTCACTTTACTGAAGCTGACTTTACTGAAGCTCACTTTACTGAAGCTCACTTTACTGACGCTGACTTTACTGAAGCTCACTTTACTGAAGCTGACTTTACTGAAGCTCACTTTACTGAAGCTGACTTTACTGAAGCTCACTTTACTGAAGCTCACTTTACTGACGCTCACTTTACTGAAGCTCACTTTACTGACGCTCACTTTACTGACGCTGACTTTACTGAAGCTCACTTTACTGAAGCTCACTTTACTGAAGCTCACTTTACTGAAGCTCACTTTACTGAAGCTGACTTTACTGAAGCTCACTTTACTGAAGCTGACTTTACTGAAGCTCACTTTACTGAAGCTGACTTTACTGAAGCTCACTTTACTGAAGCTCACTTTACTGACGCTCACTTTACTGACGCTGACTTTACTGAAGCTCACTTTACTGAAGCTCACTTTACTGAAGCTGACTTTACTGAAGCTGACTTTACTGAAGCTAACGTCTGTCATTGTTTCTATAGTCTTGCGTTATAATCGTAACGTTACGCCGTCATCCAGTGTTTTGTACCAGACTGCACACACACGAGCAGCGGATCTCGCTCGTTGTTTCGCTTCCCGGGAGATGTAGTTCATTGAGCGATTTTCACATAAAACTAAATGTCACTCTTCTGTTTCATGACAAACTGCGACTTTCTTGACTTTCAGAATTATCTTTTAAATTGACAAGCATCATATGTGTAATTCAGGGCACAGTTCAGACGGAATAAAAAGATAAGTTGTCTCTCGCCATTGACTACCATACGTATTTTTTTCCGAAAAAAGGTCCCATGAGCCGGAAGCGGAGGGGAGGGGCTTAGGCTCTCTATAGCGCCGCTGACTACAGTGACCCGGATGAGCCTGTGTTTCTGTGTTCAGACTGATCTCATGAAATGGCGTATGTATGACACGCCAATTCGTATTTCCATTTTTGGCGTGCTATCAACACGCATAATCGCTTTTCAGCGTGTTTATCAACGCCTTTGACTTAACGTTATATTACTGTATTATGTATATATAGATATATGACCTACCCCAACCCCGTCCCTAAACCTACCCGTCACTGGGGTTAATACCATTTATGAGTCTTCTCCTACCATCCTAGGAAAAGAAATATCGCTCCAGAGATGTAGATATAGATTTTGCTTCGTTTCGCTCGGACATTTAACGGCGTACACATACATGCGGAATTACTAGGACATTTAACGGCGTACACATACATGCGGAATCACTAGGACATTTAACGGCGTACACATACACGCGGAATCACTAGGACATTTAATGGCGTAGACATACACGCAAAAGATTTCGGCGTGGACATACACGCGGATAGCTCAAAATGCGTATAGATAACACGCCACTTGACTTGAAAGTGGCGTGTATGTTTACGCAAAGTCATGATGTCATGTTGCTGTGTTGCTGTTATGTTAAAGGGGTTGTTGATTATGATTTCACTTTTCTAACTTTAGTTAGTGTGTAATGTTGGTGTTTGAGCATAAACAACATCTGCAAAGTTACGACGCTCAAAGTTCAAAGCAAAGGGAGATATTTTCTTTTACAGAAATCACTTTTTAAGGACTACATAAAAACGGCTGGTAGGGACTACACGAGCTTCCTTCCGGATTAGTGACATCACCAACCCTAAAATTTACATAAACCCCACCCCCGGGAACGCGATTTATAGATTATCATGACAGAATATGCTAATCAATGACTAGAAGAACTACATATCAGCAACATAAATTCATCAACTAACCATTCAGAAATGTTGTCACTTCTTTTTTCATCTCTCCATCTTTGTCTGACTCCGGTTTGGACATAAAAGGCTAAATGTTTTTGAAATGTTCAGTGCATGTGTGTGTGAGGTAAAAGGACACAAGCCCTTGAAGCTCCGCCCTCTGTGTCGGGAGCAGCAGCTCATTTGCATTTAAAAGGACAGACACAAAAACGGTGCGTTTTTGCTCACCCTCAAAAAGTGACAATTTAAACATGCTATATTAAAATATCTTTGGGGTATTTTGAGTTAAAATTTCACATACACTCTCTGGGGACATAAGAGACTTATTTTACATCTTGTGAGAAGGGCATTATACCACCCCTTTAATAACACACCGCTGGATGGCGCGATTGACCAATCAGAGTCAAGTATTCCACAGAGCCGTGTAAAAACTGGGGAATATGAAGCTGTTAGGAGGATTGTGGAGAGTAAAGTCAGAGTGTTAATGCCGCTCACATGCTGTAGTTAGACGTCCCGGGTCGGAACGGGGCGCCACAGTCACGAGGAGCTCCTGTGTGGTTGTTGACACTGAAAGACCTGCTAAAGAGATCTCATATTACATGCGACTGGAAAAGTGTCTCGAAGCTCACATGCACATGTGGGGAAATCAGCTGGTTATCATTCCTCAGCTTTGCTGAAAAGCAAAAGGTCAAAATGCACACGATGTTGGTGGCCGAGCTGAGCATGGCAGGACAGCAGGACAATGACTACAAGTGGAGAGAGATCCATGGGTCAGTGCCGTATGTGTGTGTTTATTACCGTACTGGTGATATCACAGAGGTTTCAAGCAGGTGTTCATTGATGTCCTTCAGTTTAAAGTTGAATCAAAAAGGCAAAATTAGATCAGGTTTAATTTGAGAATTGAGCATCGTTCAGAGACTCATGTGATCTCGCACAAGTGGAGAAGTGTAATAGTGGATTTACTTGCTGCTTTTTTGTGATTTCAGAGCAAAGTTAGCGTCTCTCTTTGGACTGGATCAGACGGCAAGCAAGGGAAATGAGTCTTTCCAGTACACGGCTCCCAAACAGCCCCGCAAGAGCTCGGCCAACTCCGGTAAGACTGCGGGAACCTAGTCATATCATGAGGGATCAAATCAAATGTTAATTTTTTTACAATTTTTTTGGATAAAATAACTCTATAAACAACCATGAAAATGTCCTGCAACTGTCAGAACTTCAAATTTCCACCCCAAAATGTTTTAAAACTAAAAGTACTGCAACTTTCCGATTTCAGACAGGTGAATGAATCAAAACATAACCATCCCTGTTTACCAGGCTTGTGCAGAATTGAATTGAGAATGATTTCTGAATTCCAATTCAGTTCATGAATTTGAATTGAATTTGAATTGATGTCAAAAACTGGATTTAGAATTACACCGTGTCCTAACTACACGTGACGCGATAAAATTCCAGCGACAGCAAGTGTGTCTGTCCACACCTATTTTTTACAGTCTATGGTCCACACTAGACGCGACGCGACTGTGAGACGCCACACGTCAATCAAAAATCACAGCCATTCAGAACAGCGTGTGGGCGGAGTCTCTCTGTGAAAGCGCACTGCTGGCCCGCACTCGCATTGGAAATTAGTAAGGACATAATCAAATCGAGAAATAACATTATTAAAAATCAAAACATTAACAAAATATAGGCTACTCATTGACTAATTTTGTTATGAAGTACAGTTGTATGTTTGCATAGAATTCAGTTTGAACGCTATATTAAATGCTTTCAAAATCTGAGGTAAATGATCCATTATCGCTTGTGGCACAGTGACCTATTTTTAACTAAAAATAAATATGATTATGGATGGAAGGAAAATTATATTCAAACTCAAGTTATATTCAAATTATATTCTGCTTCAGCTATACTTCTCCAGATGGAATCCTTTTTCCTGATGTCTTTGTGGAATTTGTGGGATTTATCGTAGAGAATTGAATGCCTTTGAACTTCGACGATCAGTTCCTCGTCGTCCATGTTTGATGATTAAATATTCATGACACGCAGAACTTCCATCCAATGAGATCTCTGTGTGGGCGGATCTGTCAGCCGCGACGTCGCAGAAATAGGAACCGTTTCTAAATTAGAAACTTTGCGTGTCGCCGTCGCGTCTGGTTAGGACAAAAACTCTGATTAACATGGAAAAGATACCTTTTATCGCGTGTCGCGGCGCGTGTAGTTAGGATACGGTGTTACAGTTCGAATTTGAATTAAAGGAAGCAGAATTGCAATTCAATAAACATCCAAAGAAAGTCATATACATATGTGAAGTGTTTAACAATGAAGCTTTACAGTATACGTCAGATATGATTGCATTACATATTCTATAAATGATATTAGTTTGAACTACTTGTACAGATTACATTAACAGGACATTTTTTTCCCCCAGCAATGAATGTTAAAAGCTCACAGAACAAATAATGAAGTTTGATTTATTGTAATTGTAATTTTGTTGAACATGATGGAACATGACTCCATTTCCCAGAATTACTTTAGTAAATCTTTAGAAAGAAAAAAACAATTTGAGGTGGACATTTGTTTATATATAGGCTATATATATTTTTTAGAACAAAATGTATGCAGGGTTGAAGAGTGACTAGTTACGTGTAATGAAATTATGTTGTATTACAAAATGAATGTAATTGTATTTAGTTGCATTACTGAAATTACTGCAGCATTAATGTTCACGTTGTTGATTATGAAGAAGCCATTTCTTAAAATCATGCTTAAATGAGTTAAATGATGAGCGTTCTCTAATTAAGTGTGGTACAGTATTCCACTGATGTGATTCTCTGAATGAAAAAACAGTTTTCCTACGTGGAATTATGCAATCGTCTCTAATTGCACCTCTAGTTACTCTGTTTTTAGTAGATTTAAATTGAATCAAATCAGCCAGAGGAGGAGGAGCCAAACTAAGGAGCTAAACAAGTTATACTTATTTAAAATGTGACAATGATGTAAACTAAATAGTTTTTATCAAAAATTTTAAGTGCTTGTTTGTATAATAATTCCAATGGTTTTAGAACTATTAAATGTGTATTAGACCTGCTTGTCAAACAATATGTGACATGAGACAAAATCATAGAGTGAAAATATATCTTTGCAGCCTCATTTGATAAAGAATTTCTAATAAACCTAAAATTAACCAAGTTAAATTGAACCTTTTTGCAAACATTTTTATGTGGGTTTTGAAACCAAGACAGGAGTCCAAATGTACCCCTAGATACTTACATTCTGAAACAACCTGTAATCTCTCTCCTGATATCATGGGTAATGTAGTTTTTCATTCTGCTGTTAAAACAATTATTTTAAAAATCACATTGAAATCATGTGGGCTGATGGCTTGAACAAAATCATATTGCAACTTTGGAGCTCACAGTATGTCTGTCTTTAACAGTTTATAGCGTTAGATTGTCAAAAATAAATGTCTTAATAGAGATGATGAATGAGAATTTTACTTCTGGAATCTGACTGTTACACTCTAAAATATTAATATATAATATAACATATTTATTTTCTAACAATTTAGTGCAGATTCACTAATAATGAAACAGTGATTTATATTCTTGTTCATTAAGAACCACAAACTCTTTTTAGGCTAGACTACGTTCATTTAATGCCAGGATTCATTTGGTGATAACAGTGTGGTTACACTGGGCTTTTTTATGAATAAAGCACAATTTACAATGAGCCTAATTTACATGGGAGCCGTGTTTGAATGTAACTGACATAAATATTAAAGACGCAACACAATTTCAGTCCTGTGCCGGTTAAACTGGATTTGTTAGTAGTTAGTGAATAAGACAATGATGTTTGCGCTGTGCAAAAGTGGCAAAAACTTGTGTTTAATTTCCCCATAATTGGACCTTTCCCCATAATTACTCCTTTAATGCTGATTTTTCTGACATGTTTTTACAGGACCCCCAAACCAGAAGTCAGCCCCTTCCCAGAATCCTCCTGCTGTTCTCTTTGCTACTGCAGTACATGCCTACAGATAGTGAGTTGAAAAATTATTTTGTATATATTAGGGGTGTAACTATATTTGAACCGAACCGAAAAACCGCGATACACCACCCATGATACGTATCGCGATACTCTCATGGCGAACCGAACACGCCCCGCCCCCTGCTGCCCCGCCCAGCACCGGCTCATTGCACCTCATGTGTTATGTACACAACGAATACAGGGCTGTTGCCTAACCACCATTAACCACATATAATCGCAATAAGCTCAGTGTTTTGTTACTTTTGATAATAAACAAGGTGTAATCTTTCAAATTATGTCTATTTGATCACGAAATGCAAACAATAAATGCCGTTTTGGCGCTCTTAGATGTGGCGTGACAGATATCACTGTATGCATGCGGCAGCGCGGAGCGCGATCATCTCTTCCTCAGTTACAGAATAAACATGAATGGACACCCGAAGGTATGTTGAAAGATACAGTATACTTACTGAAAGGCATCATAACTCGTGTAAACACTCAATCAGTGTTTCAACAGCGGAAATACGTCAATAAAACGCTTAGTTTTTCACATAGCTTTATATTTACCTCAGGCAAGTCATTCAGTGTCCACAGCTTGCTGGTTTGCTAACTCTTTCACTATATAAATGCTATATATTAGCCTATATATTATATTTTACTTAACCTGTTTATGATATCTTGACTATTTAATGTATGTTTAAAATAGTTGTCATGAAAATAACAGCAACTGTGTAAATTATTATATAACAATAACAAATTAGAGTAAAAACATGTTAATGCAAAAATTGCCTTATGTGCAGTTTACATGTTTTCATACAATTTGTTATTTGAGTGTTGATTATTATTATATCATTTTAGGCTAAAAGTCTAAAAGCAAGTAAGGGCTGTAGTTTACAGCATTAGCAGATAATTTTGTTATCCTTGAGAAAAGTTTACTTGTAATTGAATTAATTTAAAGACAAGGACACAATTTGTTCATTAAAGCACTGTTTAATAAAAAAAAAAAAAAAAAATTAAATTGCTTTTTTATTGCCCTTTTATACCTAAATAAGGTATCATGCGAAAGCTTAAACACTCAAAATTCATCCTCTGCAAACCGTTTTGAAATTGGACATTGCATAACCATGGAAATAGTACTTAAAAACCTTATAGCGGGTTTATTTTTTGTCATTTCAACATATCAAATTTGGAACCCAACTTGGTTAGAAATATGGCTTTGATTTAGTGGCTATTTTAGAGGCCAAATCATTTTGTATAAAATGAAAACATTTACTTTTTTAAGTGCTTTCACTTCTGCAACAATCTGTTGAATGTTTTTAAAAGAGACCAAGAATTACAACCATTTAAAGGGATAGTTCTCCCAAAAATGAACTCTGCAATCATTTACTCCCCTCATGTCGTTCCAAACCCGTAAGGTTTTCGTTCATCTTTGAAACACAAATGAAGATCTTTTACTGAAATCTGAAAGATTTCTGTCCCTCCATTGACAGCTACGCAACTACGACTTTGACTCTTTAAAAAGCGAGTAAAGATATCGTAAAACTAATCCATATTAATCGAGCCATGTTTTTTTGAAGAGACTGGATTGCTTTATATTATGAACAGATCTAATTTTTTTTATTCACAAACATTCAAATCACACATCAGTTCTGGTCACCATAAGCTCAAGTGTGCTTGTTTGATAAGTGTGAACCGATGAGGATCATTCTCGTGTTACGCAGCACATTTGAGCTTCAGCACGAGGTTTGTTCTCGCGCGTTAAGCAAGATCGGTTGAGCTTCTGTTTATGTTCGCTGATCAATGTTTACAAGTGAATAAAAGCTAAATTCAGTCTGTTCATTATATAAAGCGATCCAGTCTCTTCAGAAGATTTGGACTAAACTGCTCGATACCTTTGCAGTCCCTCCAGAAAAACACGATTATGCGATCGCATGATTTAGTGCATAAGTCCGCATATTTATGCGAGGGGCCTCCTATTTTTAATACGCCACACTTTCGCCGCATTAATTGCCGATTTCCGTGCAAAATATGCGGGGCTTGCATGATTTCATAATCCTCGCATTTTCGTTGCAAAAAGTCACATATATCTGAGCAGAAAGTTGAAAATGTGCGTTTGCTTCACACGAGAGCCGCCGTTTCCCCCTGTTGCCATGGGAACGTTATGAAGTGACGTGATTACGCGACGTGAACATCATCGAAAAGCTGTAAAACAGGAGCACACTTTATTTTTTTATATTTCATTTATTCAGTTTTACAGAAGTTGTACCATATTCCTTTTGTAAAGCTACAGAACTTGTTTGACTCATCAATGTTTTGTAAGTTTGATGTGTTTATTAAGGTCTGAAATAAAACAAGATGAGAACTGAAATATTCCAGCACTTTCTGTGATGTAGTTATGCTTGCTTATCATAGAAAGTAATAAGAAATGACTCTTTACAGTAAGGTAGGAGCCTAGTGAGAACAGGGTGTTGGGGAACCACTTTTTTTCCCGCAGTTTTTGCAAGTTCCCGCAATTTCATCGAATAAAATTGCATAAATATCCCGCATTTTTAAAGAAAACGGGCCGCATAATCAAGGATTTTTGCCCGCAACAATCACAAAAAAAAACTCTGCGTTTTTCTGGAAGGACTGCCTATGGATTAGTTTTACAATCTCCTTATGAACTTTTTAAAGTGTCAAAGTGGTATTTGCCTGTTCTGTCAATCTCTTAGATTTCACTTTTATCTTCATTGGAAAGTTGCAAGTCTTTGTAATTTTTACGGTTTGGAACGACATGACTGTGAGTTAATGATGACAAAATGTTCATTTTTCATATGCTCAGAAAGGGGGGTGATACCACAGATTAATTTTAAGTGTAAAGAATAGGGCATGAAATATGCATACAGATCTGTAAACCAGATATCCAAAGCAAAGTACATGCTAGAATTTACATATAAAGATTTATCTGATTGTCTGTGATTCAGACTGATGAAATGAAAAGGGAAATGCAGTGATCACTGTTTTTGTGTGTTTAGTGTTAACGGACAGTATGTGAAGCAAGGCAAGCTGGGAGCTGCGGTCCTTGGAAATCACACAACTAAAGAGGTTCGGATGATCACTTTTTTTTTGACTGAGTCTTAAATGAGGACGTTTATAACACACACAAACGTCTGAACTCTTCTTTAGCACAAGATCCTGCTGTATGTCAGTCAACAGAAACCGGTGACGGCCGCCAGGATCCACAGAGGCTTCGTCCTCACTGTGAGCTCTTATTCACATAATTAACAACATGTTTGCTTTCCGAACATTGTTTTTAATGATCTCCTTCACTTTCAGGTCCAGCCCAGTAACTACTGCACGTTTTATGATGACCAGAGACAGAATTGGTCACTGATGTTTGAATCGGAGAAAGCAGCCACAGACTTCTCTAAAGAGGTTTGTGTTTTATGGGTTCTTTAAAAGTTACGACTCTCAAAGTTCAAAGCAAAGGGAGATATTTTCTTTTAACGAAATCGCTTTTTAAGGACTACAACAAACGGCTGTTAGGGACTACAATGAGCTTCGCCCTCGGAGCAGCAGCTCATTTGCATTTAAAGGGACAGACACACAAAAAAAAAAAACGGTGCGTTTTTGCTCACCCTCAAAAAGTGACAACTTTAACATGCTATATAAAAATATCTGTGGGGTATTTTGAGCTAAAACTTCACATACACAGTCATCTTGTGATTTTACATCTTGTGAAAAAGGCATTATACCACCATTTTAACACTCCTACCACCCCAACAAAAGAAGTACACATCTATGTAAGTATCCATTCACGCACATTTGAATCAAGTGGTCTATAAAAATCCCCAGCTACACAACCATAGATGTATAACAGCAATACTTCTTTAACAAACAGCAAAACAGAAATACCTATTTGCAATGGATGCGCGCTCTTCGCCAAGGACCTGTCTTCGTCCATTTTGCCACCAGTTGATTAGTGTTCAAAGAAGATGATGGGAAATCGTGACGCGTGACCCTACAAGAGTGATTACTGATAGGCTGTCTGTCACCTGCAAAAAAACAATCACGTTTTAGCAGTGTTGGGCAAGTTACTTTTAAAAAGTAATTAGTTACAGTTACTTCTTCCAAAAAGTAACTAAATTAGTTACTCAGTTACAAATTTTAAAAGTAACTAGTTACTTAAGAAAGTAACTATTGCGTTACTTTCAAGTAAAATTAAATTTTAAGTGCTCAAATGTGACCCCACCTCTACCCCTCTTTAATGGAACTTAAAATACATGTGCATGTTCAATTATTTATGATAAATCTGAATATTATAATGAAATGGACACTTAATACAATACATTATTAACAGAAACATTGTGGCATCTCCACATAAGTTTTAGAGTTCAATGTTTTTTCTTTTTTTTTTTCTTTCATGTATAATATTGTAATTATTAGCATGAATAGGCAAGGCAAGGCAAGTTTATTTATATAGCACATTTCATACACAATGGCAATTCAAAGTGCTTTACATAAAAAAAATCAAAAGAAATAGGAATAATTAAAACAGTTAAGAATAAAGAGATTAAAATAATCAAAAGAAATAAGAATAATTAAAGCAGTTTAGAATAAAAATTAAATAAAATACAGTACAAACAGTCGGACACAGTGGCACAGTGCTCATTCAGTAAATGCATAGCTAAACAGAAGTGTCTTGAGTCTGGATTTGAATGTGACTACTGTAGGAGCACATCTGATCTCCTCTGGAAGCTGGTTCCAGCTGCGGCTGGCATAGTAGCTAAAAGCAGACTCACCATGCTTAGAGTGAACCCTTGGTATTTCTAGCTGATGTGATCCTAATGATCTGAGTGATCTGTTGGGTTTATATTCAGTGAGCATATCTGCAATGTATTTAGGTCATAGGCCATTAAATGATTTATATACCAGTAATAATACTTTAAAATCAATCCTAAATGTAACTGGGAGCCAGTGTAAAGACCTGAGGACTGGTGTGATGTGTTCATATTTTCTGGTTCTGCTCAATAGGGATGTACCTAGATGTAGAATCTAGATGTACCTCCATTACCATGAACTCTGTAGGGATCCAGTGTATCTGTCATTTGTACCACATGCCGTGACTGTGTTTATGTTGTCGCGGGCTAGATCAGCTGACTGTCAGTTATCAGCTGATTGGAATTACCTGATCAAAACCACGTCAGCTGACTGGGGAATGTTTTTGTCAGAGGATGACGCACTGAGTTGAAAAGAGGATAAAATGCGCGAGAGTGGACGACAGTGGGGGGGGGGGGGGGGGCTTCAATTGTACAGGGAGACTACGTGAGACCTGGGACTAAGCTCGTACTTCAAAACCCTATCCACCAACAGAGGTGGGTAGAGTATCCAAAAACTGTACTCAAGTAAAAGTACAAGTACTTATAGAAATATTTACTCAAAGTAAAAGTAAAAGTAATAATCTGAAAAGTTACTTGAGTAAGAGTAAAAAAGTATCCAATGAAAAAACTACTCAAGTAGTTAGTTACTACTTTGGATCACATAGGCCTATATATATATATATATATATATATATAACATGATATTATTTAGATATTTTTTCATTTAAATTTTTTTTTTTATCTGTATATTATATCTATAGCCCGAAAACCATTGCCTGTCCTTTGGTTTGTATAATAGTATAATAACTTATACAACTACATTTGGATTATTAGACGATGTCGGAATAAAGTGACTGTGTGGAGTTTTGCATTCAAATGTAAAGGGATGGCAGTCATGTCATGCCCAACACAAACAACGATCAAATGCAAGGATATTCTTCTGTCTGTTCTCCAAAATGTATTTAAATGTAGGCTATATTTATGAAAGCATCTTTAAACTGGTTAACTGTGTCTAATAAGGCAGGCAACGGCATTCGTTTTCAAGTCGAGTTCGCACGCCACTGCGCAATACACACATTGTGTGTGTACACACATTCATAAACTGGACGATGGTAGCTTATTTAATGTATAACTATAAAGTAATGTATATGTCCAAAAAAAAGGGTAATGTCATACTTTGTAGTAGTGCTATATGGCGTAATAATCTGTTTGGTTGTAAAATGTATTACCTGAATGAAATCGAATGTATCGTCGTGTGGATCTTCATTCACAGACAGCTTACGAAGTAACATACGAAGATGTTCAACTAATAAAGATCTTCATCGCTGGCAAAAAATATGATGCATTTGCAGATTTACTTTCTAGACTGTACTGACTGTGGACAGCCACTTCATACAACGCTCTTGATGTTCTTAAATCTTCATGTTACGACTCCGAGACGATTCAGTGCGTGCAGGAAACTGAACAGATCATTCAAACTGATTCGCGAACCGATTTAGACAGATCTGCCCAACTTGTTTGATGACGTCTTTGAACAGAATCGACTCAAAAGAGTGATTCATTTGTGAATTGAGCATCGCTCATGCCCAGAAAAAAGAGAGAGCGCGCGCTTAGAATAAACTACGCTTTTTACAACATATTGCATTAAAATAAAGTAACGAGAGGAACGTCGCCCAACGTAACGAAGTAAAAGTACAGTTTTTTCATTAGAAATGTACTCGAGTTAAAGTAAAAGTACCCACAATTAAATCTACTCTTAAAAGTAAAACATTTCCAAAAAACTACTCAAGTAAATGTAACGAAGTAAATGTACTTCGTTACTACCCACCTCTGTCCACCAACGACCTGGGCTTGATTGCAGAATATCAACATCCTTCGCTGGTAACGAACTCCCAAAACCGGTGAGAATGATCGGTTTTATGGACTCTAACATTGGAGCAGTTTTGTTCGTTCATTGAAAGCAAACTGAGAGGAGTTTTTTTTCTCTTCGTTGTGGATTACTTTTTTGGACATTTGCTGTTGGATTAACAAGACTGTTCCCTGGATGTTTTCGTTTGTGCTTTATAGTTTGTCACGGTGTTTTGAAAGACTTGCTTTGGAGAAATCGTTCCGTGCTGACGAACGCACGTGGCTTGTGCACATAGACATTCAACCGGTCATACGGCTTGTGGGATATATTATGTGATATTATGTGTCATTTGTTGTATGTGAAATCGTTTGTCTGGGAAATATGTCACATTTAATCTATTGCAGTGTCTTTCTGAAAATATATAAGAAGCAATTTCATTAATGTGTAACTCAATTCATGAATCCCGTGATTTCTTGTTAATAATCTAGAAGAACAAAAAACAGCAACTACATATCAGATTGTTACAACATGAAACATTGTACACACATCTCTCGTTTACTGACTGGCTTGTGTTCATTGTGTGTCCTGTCCTGTCCGACTATGCGTTATGATGGGTCGTTCGCAATTCATGAGCGTTAGTGATGATGGGTCGTTCGCGAATGAGCGTTAGTGATGATGGATCGACTCGTTCACGAATGAGCTTTTGATGGGTCTCTAAGAGCCGGCTCTTTTAGGTAAACGTCGGGAGCTGGCTCGCATATCTGAAGAGCTGACTCTATTTTTTTTTTTACAAATTTAGCCTATAGAAATTAAATAATTATGTAATAAAAATTGAAATATTATAGTCAAAGTCATTTAAAGAGCCGTTTGTGAGCCAAAAGAGCCGGCTCTTTTCAGTGAGCTGAGTCAAAAGAGCCGAATGCCCTATCACTACTATGCGTGCTTTCGAACACCCGCCCAACTCTACCTCTGATTGGCTTACAATGGCATTTTACTCTACCTCAGCCAATCGTCAGCATTTATGCGCTTGACTCGTGCTTTGCCCACTAACCAAGGAAGAACAGTAAAAAAAGTATTTGTCTGATGAAAAAAAAAAACAGCTTCATCAGTTATAGTAACGCGCCGCATTTTTTGGCAGTAACGGCGTTATTAAGATGAGAAGAGTAATCAATTAGATTACTCGTTACTGGAAAAAGTAATGCCGTTAGTAACCCTTGACTGACGTTACTACTTTCTACGCGAGGACCTTGACAGAAATGTAGTGGAGTAAAAAGTACGATATTTGTCTTTCAAATGTAGTTAAGTTAAAAGTAAAATGTTTCCAGAAAAAATATTACTCAGGTAAAGTCCAGCCCAGTAACTACTGCACATTTTATGAAGACCAGAGACAGATTTGGTCACTGATGTTTGAATCGGAGAAAGCAGCCACAGACTTCTCTAAAGAGGTTTGTGTTTTATGGGTTCTTCGTCAACTGGTATTGTGTGAGGAGATTCTTATTCAATAACAATGTCATTGTTTCAGGTTTGTCTCGCTAAAGTGAACTGTGGCGGCCCGCTAGACTCTGTCCTGACCCAGGATCTTCTTCTCGGCGAGGGCCAGGCTGTGGAGAACGGAGACTCATTGGAAGTGGCCTACACCGGCTGGCTGCTGCAAAACCACACCATCGGACAGGTAAAGAGGTGTTATAAATGACCGAGTTTATGTGCACACAGGGCCCAAAAAGGACAAGTTAATACGCTGCCATTATGATCTGAAATGTACTACATGCGAAGCAAGTTAATGTGGATACATAATCGTAATATGACCAAAAAACAATTAATATTCTGGTTATTGTAAACATGGTTTGAATGAGAATTATAGAGCAAAACTAATGTTTAAGTTTGGTACTGGGTACATAAAAAAAAAAAAAGAGGCTTGTATGCTTGCAAAGGCTTTATTTGTTTGATAAAAAAACAGTAAAATTGTGAAATATTATTACAATATTTACAATTATAATTTTGTTTGAATATATTTTAAAATGTTATTTATTTCTGTGATCAAAGCTGAATTTTCAGCATCATTACTCCAGTCTTCAGTGTCACATGATCCTTCAGAAATCACTCTAATAAGAGGATTATGTGCTCAAGAAATATTTCTAATTATTATCAGTTGAAAAAATTTGCTGCTTCATATTTTTGTAAAAAAAAAATTTTTTTTGATGAATAGAAAGTTTTTTTTTTTTTTTGATGAATAGAAAGTATTTTTTTTTTTGATGAATAGAAAGTAATACAAAATTCAGCATTAATTTGAAAGAGAAATATATTACAACATTATGAATGTCTTTTACTGTCACTTCTGATCAATGTAATGTGTCCTTGCAGAATAACAGTATTAATTTCTTTAAAAAAAATAATACTTTATCCATTGATAATTTGTTTGATTTCTTGCTACCCAGCTTTATCCAAATTCTTTCTGCAAATTTTCCTCTCTTCCAGATGTTTGACTCGAATCTGAATAAAGACAAACTGCTGAGACTGAAGCTCGGGGCTGGGAAGGTCGTTAAGGTGAGAGGGACGTTGTCTCTTATGTGTGATTATCACTCATACGGCAGTCTGAAGCGGTTCTCTCGTCTCAGGGCTGGGAGGAGGGCATGTTGAGCATGCGGAAAGGTGGAAGCCGACTCATGGTGATTCCTCCCGGTCTCGCGTACGGATCGCAGGGCGTTCCCAACCGCGTGCCACCGGATAGCACGCTAGTCTTCGAAGCGGAGATCCGTCGGGTACGCCATTCTCACATTTACTTTATCAAGTTGTTTTTAAGATGATTCAGGTTTTTATGATATGTTCCAATGTCTTAAAGAGGACCTATTCTGCCCCTTTTTCAAAGTTTTTGATTGTTTTTGGGCTCTACTAGAACAGGTTTTCATGCTTGATTGTTCAAAAACCACATTATTCTCCATTGTTGCAGCTCCTCTCTTCCTAGTCTGTCAGTAACTCAGCTCAGGGTGTGTTTCTCGTACAACGCCGTAACTCGCTGATTAACTATAGTACGATGCATCATTGAAGAAATCTACTAGCTAGTCACGACTGTTTCCCGAAACCGTATCGTCGTCGCAAATTGGTCGCTCAAACCACGCTGGTTAATGACGTCACGCAGGTGGTGGAGTAATAACTACTTTTAATGAATCTGTTTGAGTTTAGATTAATGCTAGATGTTTTGCTATAAATTACGGACACGGCATCTGAGGACTATTTCTAATTTTTCTTAGTTATTTTGCTTAATTTAATAAATAAACTGGGGCGGCAGTGGCTCAGTAGGTTGTCTAAAAACCGGAAGGTTGGTGGTTCAATCCCCGGTTCCACCTGACCAAGTGTCGAGGTGTCCATGAGCAAGACACCTAACCCCAGCTGTGTGTGTGTGTGTGTGTGTGTGTGTGTGTGTGTGTGTGTGTGTGTGTGTGTGTGTGTGTGTGTGTGTGTGTGTGTGTGTGTGTGTGTGTGTGTGTGTGTGTGTGTGTGTGTGTGTGTGTGTGTGTGTGTGTGAGACACCTAACCCCAGCTGCTCCCGACGAGTCGGTGTATGAATGGGTGAATGCGAGGCAATGTGTAAAGCGCTTTGGTGGCCATTGTGTCTGTGAAAGCGTGATAAATGCAGTCCATTTACCATTTAATTTCCAGATTCACTCATAGGCTTGTTCTTGCGTACTAGAACACATGCATTCATGTGTGTTCACGTTCACTTCATAAATGACGCTTTAAACCTCTCGACAAACTAAAAGACGTAAATGACATTTATATATATTCTAAATATAAGATACAGATTGCACTGAATGTCAGCTTGCTTATTTGACTCAAGATAAGGATTTATTGAGTCCACATGACACTCTGCTTCTAACCACAGGTTGAGACCTGTCGCTCCAAACACACAATGTTCGTTGGAACGATGGTTTCGGGAAACACCGACTCGTTGAACTGCTGATAACGACCATAGTTGGCTAACGATGCTTTTGGGAAACGCACCCCTGTTTACTTCCTGTCTCTCCTTCTGAAAAGCACACCGTGCTCTGATTGGTCGGCTGGAGCGGTGTGTTGTGATTGGGCGAGCGCTTCGAGTGTGTTTGGGAAATGTCCCGCCCCTTACCATAACCGGCAGTTTAACACACTACTAACTAACTCAACCAGGCCCCGCCCCTTTATTCTGCGTATGAGTTATTATAATGAGGAAAATTGTGACGTGTTCGTTCCCGGAAGAAACTCAAGACTACAATGGAGGCGTTTCAGGAGTTCAGAAACACTGATATAGAGAATAACTCCTTTAATACAGACTTTGCAGTATTGTAGAAATATGCACAGCCCTGCTCTCTTCATACGTGTTCTCTCGTGATGCGTGTGCAGGTTAAGTTTGCAAAGGATGTAAACTCAAGAGATTCGGCGTCTCCTGCTCCCAGTGTTGAGAGTCTGGGCTCCTCTGAGCCGAACCAGTCCCTCGGTTCTGCTCCACAAACCAGCAAACCCAGGTGAGCCCTCCTGGCTTATGTAATCCAGCCCTACATCTTAGACTGGCTCCTTCTTTAGGGTATTTTAAACGAAACCTCAAATTACATGTACCTGAATTAGCGTTTGGTTCAGTCGGTTAATTGGCAAGAGGCTCAGTCATTGTTTGTCTCAAAGTACATTTTATTAGTGTCATTTTCATTGTGTGATTGTACAGCATCAGTTCATGTCAAATCAACCATGCAATATTTACAGATTCTTCTCGCCTTTTAATAAAAAAACCATGTAGATATAATATATAGGTATGCACAATATCAAGTCAATATTGGATATACACTGTATTTTTAATTGTTCAAGCTGATTTCTCTTATTTTTATATTTTTGACCATCTATCATTAGACACTATTGTTCAAAAGTTTTTTTTTTTTTTGTTTTTTTACAAAGAAAATATTTTTATTCAGCAAGGATGCATTAAATTGTTTAAAAATAATCCTATTTCAAATAATATGGTCAACATTACGTTGTTTTAATTTTGCTTTATAAATGAATGAATGAAATATTTATAATATTTAAGTGAGGTTCTATGTTTCTTCTTTGTTTACAGTGAACCGCCTCTTCGAGCAAAATCAAACTCCCTCAGTGAACAGCTGAGTGTAAGTTTTGCTTCTTTTCAGGTGTATCACAGATTTATTTGTACTTTTATTGAAGTTAGCATAGCTGGAGCCGGGGTTTAGTGGTTAGTGCACAAGACACATTGAGCTTGAGGTGTTCATGTGGGCATTGCAAGTTCTTATCAAGCGTGCAACATTTCCAGATTCTTCCCCCTTTCAATAAAATGGCAAAATGCCACAAAAAAAACATATAGATATAATATATAGGTATGCACAATATCAAACAAGTCAATATTGGATACATACTTTATCTAATAGGAAAATACTTTACTAAAATTAGAATGATTTCTGAATGATCATGTGATGTAATGATTCTGAAAATTCAGCTTTGATCACAGGAATAAATTACATGTTGCTATATATTCACATAGAAAACTGCTATTTTAATTAAAAATTTCACAATATTGCTCTTTTACTGTATTTTTGGATCATATAAAAGCAGTCTTGGTGCGCATTGAGACTCAAAAACATTTAAAAATATTACCGACCCTAAATTTTGGAATTGCAGTGTAAGTTAATATTTAATATTACACTTATCATTTAATAACACAGTTAAATATAATATTTAGCAAATCTCAGAATGAATATCCATAGTTCATAGTTGTCAGTTATATTGTTTTAATGGTCGAAATTAATTTTTATAGACTTTTTTTATTAGTAATCAGAAATGAATTGTCGACCAGAATTTGAATATCAATGCATCTCTAATAATAAACTATCTTTGTGTGTTTTCTGACATGTTTTGCAATGTCTTCAGAATCCTGATGCCACTAAAGCTAAACTGATCTCACGCATGGCCAAGATGGGCCAGCCGATGCTGCCCTTCATCGCGGGCTCATCCTCCTCTCCCTCACAGCCGGACTCCAGCGACTCCGAACTCGAGGCAAGACTGAACGACGAGCGTTTCATTACAATGCTTTTACACCGTCTTCTACTCAGACACAGCACAAAGTGGCAAACGAAAAATATCTTAACCTTCATCCTTCCCTCACGTTCTGTAACAAATCCTTCCCTCGCGGGTCAAAATGACCCGAAGCCCTAAAATTATACTATTTTTTTATTTATTTTTTTGTCCATAAAGCTTATTTAATTTATCGATTTTTTTCTATTTTATAATGCAATTTTTTTATTTAATTTACCTTTAAATTACTAGATAAATAATAAATAAATAGTAATTTAGTAATTTAAGCACATTCCTTACATTCTTTCAACCTTAATTCAAAATAACTCAAAAGTTCATGCATAACCCTTTTAATTCAGCTCAAAATATCTTACATTGGGTGTCTTTGCCGACCTCTTGTGGAAAAAAACAATATAACATGATGTTTCATGACTCTTGCCACTAGATGGCCTTATAGCTCTATCTATATGGAGGAACGAGGTGTTTCCGCTAGGTCCTAAAGTCAGTTCGTCATCATTCAGATACACATGTAGACATTATAAAATAATTTTTTGGTAAAGGTTTAGCATTTTTAGTTTGAATTTTAAGCATTTTTAGGTTTTTCTATTGTGTACTGAAGCATTCCTCGCATTCATTCCTAAGGGGGTCAAATTGACCCACAAGGGAAGAATTTGTTACTTTTTTCAATTTCAACCACAAAACTCCTCGAATCCATTCAATTTGTTTTTGTGTATTCGTGGTTCAAGTGTGACAAAAGTCCTGGGGTCTTGTACCCCTCCGATGAACACTCAATTAAATTATTTATTTTTAAAATAAAATCCTACCCAAATTGACCCCCGAGGGAAGGATTTGTTACTTTTTATAAATTTCAACCACAATTTATTTTTATTCGTGGTTCAAGTGCAACAAAAGTCCTGGGGTCTTGTCCCATCCGATGAACACTCAATTTTAAAATATTTAAAATATTTTCCGGGTGAGATGAGCACCAAAGCGACCCGAGGGAAGGATGAAGGTTAATAACGATATATAAATGTGAGAGAACGCATGTGAAGGTTTACAGATGATCCTGTTCCTGCTGTAGGACCCGAGTGTGTCGAGACGCAGGGATCGCAACAGTGCTCCGTCACCACAGCCCGTGCACATCACCTCCGCCCCCCCGCCGTCAGTGCAGGGTAACATATCATACTCTTATGAAGACCAGTGGTTAGTGCTCAGTTATGTGTGTTACACTGTCCTGTGTGCTCTTCCCATTCCAGCTACGGCCCTTTTACCCGTTACGATGGCAACAGCCAATCCTCAGCCCATGATGCCGGGAGTCGTGCATGCCTTTCAGGTCGGGAATTCACTAATGCTGTGTAACTTCATCAGTCAGTCCCACCAGGGCTTTACGGGACTTTTTTATTTATATTTTTTTATTTAGTGTTTTTTATTTTTGAGAACGCATGCAGAAAGAAAACGTATTCGACTACTATTGCCCCTCGAACCTTCCCGCTTCCCACACCCACCCCATTGCACTACGGGACTTTGATAGATACATAAATAAAATGTGATAAAATACAATAAATACTGCGAAAAACAAATAAAATAACAGTAATATAAACAACCGAAATAGTAGCTGCAGTTTAAGTATCCAACATTTCCTTGACTGTATTGTTTATGCTACCTAAAATGACTGAATTTGCTGCATGTTTTCCCAAATATTGCAGTGACGTTTGCTTTGCTGCTCTTTTTTTGTGTTGTTTTGCATTGAAAACCCAGCAATAATCACGCGTTAGTGACAGTAAGAGTACAATTTAATAAATACTCATAATTCTGCTTTGTTGAAAATGCAAAAAGAAGCCGTTTACACGACACCGTTTTCAGCTAAACCTACTGTCTATTGTTGTAATGTTGTAGTAATATATAATAGTATTATCAGTAGCTATGTTTCCATCTAAAGGTGTGAATTTAATTTGCATTAAAAATTGGAATATCACATAAAACATTTGTGAATAAAGCAGCGTTTCGGTCCAATGTGTTCAAGAGAACAACATCGTCACTTCCTGGTAAATTGGCATAAAATATTATCTGTAATAAAACTGGAAGTTGCTGCAATCGGCTGTTATTCTCTCCATCATAAATGAGTGTGTCTCAGAGCGTCAGACGAAACACAGTAAACGCTGTCATGTTCTCTTGCGTTCGCATGCTGGTGTTTGGGAACACACTCGTGTGAGACGCTTTTACACCAAATCATTCTGATGACAGACTTTGACTCGGCGTTTCAGAAACACTAAACCAACATTTGAGATGCTGCGATGTGATTGGTCCGCTGGTTAGTCCAGTCATCCAATCACAGCCTTTGCTAAGGCAAAGTCACCTGAGGTTTATGTCGCGAACCGAGGGATTTATTCAGTAAATGTGTTTTTACAAAAAAAATGTATGTGCATCTTGCCGTTTCCATCCATCGTTTTCTTTTTATAGCAATATCCCAAAATTCTAGGGCTGGGTATTGACACAAATTTCACAATTCGATTCGATTCCGATTCGATTCAATATTGATTATTTTGGATATCAGGTACAATACATGGCAAATTTTCTCAAGGAAAACAAATCTCTTAACTAATGCTGTAAACCAGGGGTCTCAAACTCAAATTAACTGGGGGCCGCTAGAGGTAGAGTCTGGGTCAGGCTGGGCCGCATCAAGTATTCCACAAAAAATAGTATTCAAGTATTCCAAAAAAGGAGCACAACTGATCCAATCTTCTCAATATTTATTAACGTTTCTTCTGAACAGTTCCTCTGAATTTGAACATTCCTTTCTGTACATGATTGGTTCTTCATGAGCTGTCCTTCTGACAGTTGAAGTTCATTTTACAAACTTTCTTTGTCTATAACACATATTTGTGATATTTATATTTGCTTATGTCCTTTTTATTTTCTTTATACAACACATTAATGATATTGAATGTTTTTTTTGGAAGGCACATTTCCTTTTATTATACTTAGAAAAACAATTATTGCTTTTGAAATACAAATATTTGCAGTCATGTCTGCCCGTCTTATTGAATTCTTTGTATAGTGTCTCAAATTACTGACTGCACAAATCAAAGCAAACCTTCTTATGAACCTGTTGGACACATATTACAAGCTCAAAGTGATTATTCTCACATTGTTTTAGAGCAGGGTCTCTCTCCAACACGTCGCTCGCGAGCTACCAGTAGCTCGTGGCCTGATTGGTGGTAGCTCGCCAAGGGGCCGTTCACATATCGCGCTCACATATTTTGCGCGCTCAAGTTCGTAATTTCAAATGTAGGCGCGCGGCAAGCGCGCTCATAATTGAAGCGACGCGCTCATTTTTTCCAGGCGCAGTATGTTTGTACTTCGCGGTTGTCTATGACAACTATTGACAACAAACCCTCCGTAAGCTGTCACGAGACTATCTATGGTAGCTCATAAGGGATACATTTTTTTTTTTTTTTTTTTTTCGCGGCACACGCAACGACGGGCCGCACTAACATTAAACTTTAATGTCAAGTAGGGGGCCACAAAATATCACCCCGCGGGCCGCAAATGGCCCGCGGGCCGCGAGTTTGAGACCCCTGCTGTAAACTATGGGAGTCAGTTGTAGCCTACTAGGCTTCATTAGCCTACTATAATATTGAAGGTAAAAATTAACTGATTTGTAGCTATACAAACACTTAAATTACACTCTTATTTATTTTTATAATAATAAAGTTATATGAAATATAAACATTTAAATGCTGCTTCTCTTGAGCTGAGCTGAGCCAGAGCCAGAGCGATCTCACGCCACAACGCCAAAACGGTATTTATGTTTTTGAATTTCGTAAGAAAATGGACGTAATTTGAAATTTGAGACTTTATTTAGTATCAATAGTAACAAAGCACAAAGATTATTGCGATTTATTGGATGGGATGCGCGCTACAATGTTCCATTCATTCATCAAATGAAAACAGGATGACTAATCGATTCTTGAGATTTAAGAATCGATATCGGTTCGTAAAAATGAGAATCGATTAATATCGAGAAATCGATATTTTTTACCCAGCCCTACAAAATTCACATAAAAACATGTGGATGGAAACATAGCTATTGATTACACTCACACGAAATATTGAAAAAGTGTCTATCCAGTAAAATGATGTATTAAATCTAATGGTGAAATCAGGCATTATGAGGACTAATATTACGGCAAGCCGTTTTAGCTTAAATTGTACCCAGCCTTACTCGTCGTAATTGTATTTTTACTAGTAAGAATTCTATTAGAGAGCTCTACAATTCAATTCATACTAGTAACAATTACAATTGCAGAGCTCTTTAATTCAATTACAGAACTCTGCAATTATACATATCTTTAATTAGTTTTTTTACTAGTAAGAATTGAATTAGAGAGCTCTCTAATCGTAATTGCTACTAGTATGAATTGAATTGTAAAGTTCTCTAATTGAATTCTTACTAGTAAAAATACAATTACGACGAGTAAGGCTGGGTACAATTTAAGCTAAAACGGCTTGCCATACGTTTCCATTACAGATTTGCGCAAAACTTTTGCGTTATTTTCTAAATATCGATAAAAACTATTGCGAAATGACGGCGTTTCCATTAACCGGTGTTATGCGGCTAAAACGTCATTTTTTTCCTCTCGCGATAAGTCATTCCAAAAATCATGGCAATAATTGAAATTAATAAAGAACTCTGTCTCGTCTTCTGTCAGGTGATGCGCAAAATGCGCAAAAACGGTTTCCTTTGTAGTTTTGCGAAATATTTCTTTTTCGAATCGCCTGAAAAACCTCCTCATGCGAGCGTAAAAACTTTTTTTGCGATAAACGGGGGTTTTTGCGAAATTGACGTGTTTCCATTGTGCATATTTTCAATTCGCAAATTCAATTTGCGCAATTTGAAGGGTAATGGAAACGCGGCTACTGGAGTTCACTGCAATACCACGGCAGGACAGTTGAACATGTAAAGAATAATTTGTTTGGACTCTGAAGTATGGACTTTTATTAGCCAATATTGCTTTTTCCTCTCTCAGGTTAATATTTTTTGCTGACAAATTGTAGAAATACGACAAAAATGCAAGCTGCCTTGATTTTACTCTAAATTCTACGATTGGAGAATCGCGAAATCCCGGAGGGACTGATGAGTAACATATTTTTACAACTTTAATAACAAGATTGATAACATTAATCGTTATTATTGTTGGTGTTTTCTGTTTTCTAAGACTGGGATCTCTATTATCATTGCTCATATATTTAGTTATGATAAATATATTAAATCTGTTGACTGTCTTCCTCTGTGCAGCCTGTGAGCCAGATGTACCCCACGCAGACCGTGCCTTACCAAGGTAAAGATCACTACAAAAACCAACAACACCTCACCACTTACACAAAAACATTGCATTTGTTTGTAGTTTATCAGCTTTAGATGTCAATACTAAGGTTGGGATTTTAAATGACGCCTGTCTCTTTAAGGAACTAGTGATGTCACATCCTTCTTGATGACAGAGGCTCGACAACACAACACTGAAATCCGATTGGCTGTTGGAAAAGTGGCAGACAAAATGGACCACTTGTCCTCAAAGGTTGGTACATAATTAGTAACGAAATTTGACACTTGAACAAGCTTTTGAGAACGCTCTGCTTTTTCAGATCGATGACCTACAAAAGCAAGGCAGCGTTTCGTTGGGCTTATCGAACGTGTCGATGGAAACGGCCATGATCATGCACAACATTCAGAGAATCATACAGGTAACTTGCAGTGATTGGTCAATCGAACCGTTTTACACAGTTCTCAGTACTCACTGAACCCATCTCTCATTTCTCCAGGAGAATGAGTGTCTGAAGAAAGAGGTGTTTGAGAAAAGCTCACGCATAGAGGAACAGAACCGCAAGATCAGCGAGCTCATCAATCAGAACCAGAGGTCAGAGGTCTCGCATTATATTTGGCATCTTCCCTTTTTGTCTTATATTTTTAATATCTTCCATCCTTCATTAAAGCAACGTTCTGGTTCAAAAGTAGGGCTGCACACTGTGTTACAACATAAGTCAAAATATTAACAACCTCATTTTTATATGGTAAAATCTAAATATTGCTGACTGAGTTGGGAGTCTACTTTTATTAAAAATTGGTCTTCCATAGTATCATACATTTGTAGATCATGATAACCACGCATGGCACCACATTACCATGGTAAAACTATCGATTATATGGTATTTGTTTGCCTAAACACATTTAGTATGAATACAAATGCACAAAAACTGCTATAGCTTAATAGCAAATAAACTGTAAATATATTCCATTACTTCTTTAATACATTGAATGCATGTCTACACTAATAATATAATAAAGTTCAATATGAATATCCCACATTTCTGCCACAATAACACGGTTACACTTAGTGTTCCTACAGCGAATCCATGGTAAATGGGGATTTATGGATCGCGTGATTGACACCGGTCAGCGAGTAAATGCATTCGCTCTGATAATCTTTGTCACGCTGTGGTTTGAGCCGAGCTGAGAAGCATTTGCCGTTTAATATTTCTCATACGCAACAGAAATGACAGCGCTTATCAGGCAAATTGGCCGTGGCAGGTTATTTGTGATAACGAAACTAGCTAAACTGTGCTGGTGTAGTTTTTGTCCAGGCTTTCAGTCATTCAAAGAAATTATGAATGCATGCAAAAACAAGAAAGAACTAACGAAATATGAATGACTGATATGCTATAATCAATGTATGCTTTTTCCTGTGAGCTTTTTGTTTTTCTATGCATTATAGCTGAAGTTTACTTCTTCTTTTTTTTTGGCTAAATTATTTTGTCAGATAAAAACCTTAATCAAGTTTAGTGTTTTGTTCTTCCCACATAAATATTTTGATGGTTTAATTGAACTTGTAGGGCCATTAAAAACAAATATCCCCTCCAGACATCACTTTTGGCCAATACTGTATATAGCAGAAAAACTAAATAATGAGATGTTAGTTTTTCCCAGTATCGCGCAGTTAGTTATTAGTTAAGCTTGCAACATTTCTCCAATCTTTTCCCCATTTCTTCTTTTCCTTTTTTGACTATAACTGTCAATAAGGGGTGTAACAATATATCGTGTCACAATATATCGCAATACGAAACTGCAAAAATATGTATCGTGGATAGTGACAATTAGTAGTGTATATAATTCACCAAAAATAAAAAGTACTGTGAGATTACTTTAGTGTCAGTACTACAATAAACTGCTATATATAATGTTGAATATAATGTATAATAATGCAATGGGGGAATATTTGTGGGTATATTCATGATATTCATATTGTCCTGTGCTTTGGGTTTCCAGCACCAAGTCTATTCATTTACACACACAATGCACAAACAATCAAATTTAGCATTTTAATCAACAGTACATTTTTTGTTATCCTTTTATCATGTGTTTTGGAGTATCGCAATAATATCGTATCGTGAGTTCAGTATCGTGATATGTATCGATTTAAATATATCCGTGCATTAATATCATGGTAATGTGACATGAGGGTATCATTACACCCCTACTGTCAATAGAAATGGATAAAATGTCACAATAACACAGTGTGCTTTGACTCAAGGGGAGTTTGTGCTTGTGTAGATACGTGGAGCAGAGTAACCTGATGATGGAGCAGAGAACCGACTCTCTGAAGAACAGCAGTGAACAGAATCAGACCAGAATACTGCAGGCAGAACAAGACAAGGTAACACTATTAACCCATTACACACACACACACACACACACACACACACACACACACACACACAATAACACCAGAACAGCTCTGTTCCAAATCCATGCTGTAACCCGTCTACATAGGCTGCTACCTTCTAAGGCAGCATTAAAGTGACAGATCGGAAACCTAACTGGACGTGCTCTTCATAGGCAGCAACTCCACACGGCTCTCGCGATAGCGCTAATGATGGGATACTCTAATATGCTTCAAATCTTCTTTCTTTCTTTCTTTCTTTCTTTCTTTCTTTCTTTCTTTCTTTCTTTCTTTCTTTCTTTCTTTCTTTCTTTCTTTCTTTCTTTCTTTATGTCCCAGAAGGGCAATTGACCCTTCGCTAAGCCCCGCCCTCCCTAGTTACTGTTGCTACGCCTGTCAAGCTTTCGCTCCTGGCACGTCTATTACAGTGTGTATGCACCGGTGTCAGACATTCCCAATGAGATAATTAGTAATTTTTGGCGAACATGTGAAATATCTGAGAGAGCAAGACAAAAGGGACTGCAGTATGCATTCGAGGGATATATATCCACGACAAAATATGCAACCGATTAGAGAATAATTTCATAAAAATTGAAGCTAAAGCCTATAGTCCCAGTGCAAACAGCAACCGCCTCATACGCTGACCATTCAAATGGGAAACACACAAATTGAGGAACAGCTATGTTCGTGCATAGCAGGGTAAGTGAAATGTCAAAATAATCTAATAATTATAAATCAAACAGTTTATCCAGATTTATCAATAAATCTTGTGGAATAACACTAACACCAGGAGTTAGTGTTAGTGTAAAGTTAACCTTACTCAGTCAGGGGTAGTAGGCCGTCGATTAACTTAAATATATTTTAAAGTATGTCAGTGAGCCTCCATCTTGTCTTTAATCGTCTTATTTTACGTTAAAATATGCATTATGAACAAAGAACCGTCATTATTTCCAACTTCCGAGCAATAGGTGTTTTTGTTAATCCTGTCGACATAGTTGTGAATGTTGCTTGATCCACGCCCATTATTTCTCCCCTTGGCTTTTAGAGATTCGGGAAGGAAACAAATTCCAAACTTTTAGGATACCGGGTATCAGATTTGCACAATCCATACGCACAACGCTCCTCGCTCGAAAGCTTGCCAGACCTCCCGCGCCTAGTTACGGTTGCTAAGACACGATTGGCCAGTGGCGGTTTTCGGGCGTGGCTTAGCGAAGGGTCAATTTAGTTTTACAGCAAGACCAGCATACAAAAAAGACGATTTACAATACATTAAAAATGACATAATAACCTACACAAGACAACAACAGGCCCAGACAACTACCTACTTCCAACTACTCCCCCCATGCCCGAATTTAACAGCGAAATAGAAGTAGGAATAAACGAATGTTTGTACCTGTTACTCCTAACAGAGGGAAATCTTAACCGAGATCCTGAGGGTAAAAACTGAAACTCAGAATAGAGAGGATGGGAACTAATCATTAAGATGGACTGAGCTTTTATAACTATCTGGCGATTAAACAGGTTGGTAGGCGATTAAACTGATTAACAGATTAAAATCAACGACACACAAGCATTCAGTAAAATAGTATACACAGTTTTTACGTATACCTTATGCTACACGTGTATCTTAGGTACACATGTACTGTACTTACACAGAGATTTTTCTCACTGCACATAATCTGTACGCTCAGCTTGCAGATGTGCCATGTTTTTTTTTTTTGCGCTAATTAGTTTGTCCACAAGGTGGCAACACTGACCTATTGTTTCACACTGGAAAAAAAACCCTAATGAGATGGAACAGCAACGACAAACTCCTGGAGCAACAACAACAGACGGCCATGTTGTTTAGAGATACTCACAACTCTAGTTTAAACGAAAACTAAGATGTTTTTATCACTTATGACTTCTGGAGAGAAATAGCGCAGACACTAGCGTAGTCCCTAGTGCTCATGAGACTGTATTCACACATGCTATCAAATGGAGTAAACTTAAAGGGTTAGTTCACCCAAAAATGAAAATGATGTCATTAATGACTCTCCCTCATGTCCCTCCAAGCCCGTAAGACCTCCGTTCATCTTCAGAACACAGTTTAAGATATTTTAGATTTAGTCCGAGAGCTTTCTGTCCCTCCATTGAAAATGTATGTACGGTATACTGTCCTTGTCCAGAAAGGAAATAAAGACATCATCAAAGTAGTCCATGTGACATCAGTGGGTTAGTTAGAGTGTGTTCTGTTGTGGATCCGCGTTCAGTGCTGCTGCTGACGTGTGTCTGGTGTGTGTGTGTGTGTGTGTGTGTGTATTCTGGTTCTGTTGTGGATCCGCGTTCAGTGCCGCTGCTGACGTGTGTCTGGTGTGTGTGTGTGTGTGTGTGTGTGTGTGTGTGTGTGTGTGTGTGTGTGTGTGTGTGTGTGTGTGTGTGTGTGTGTGTGTGTGTATTCTGGTTCTGTTGTGGATCCGCGTTCAGTGCCGCCGCTGACGTAAGACGCTGCTGACGTGTGTCTGGTGTGTGTGTGTGTGTGACGTAAGACGCTGCTGACGTGTGTCTGGTGCGCCCGAGCTTCGTCTACAGTCTGAGGGAGACGCACGCTGGAAACAAAACAATCTTCGCAAACATGTCTAAGGATTTCCACACAGAGGAAGACTTGCATTTTTTTTGCGCACCAGACACACGTCAGCAGCGTCTTACGTCACACACACACACACACACACCAGACACACGTCAGCAGCGTCTTACGTCAGCGGCGGCACTGAATGCGGATCCACAACAGAACCCGAATACACACACACACACACACACACACACACCAGACACACGTCAGCAGCGTCTTACGTCAGCGGCGGCACTGAACGCGGATCCACAACAGAACCCGAATACACACACACACACACACACACACACACACACACACACACACACACACACACACACACACACACACCAGACACACGTCAGCAGCGTCTTACGTCAGCGGCGGCACTGAACGCGGATCCACAACAGAACCAGAATACACACACACACACACACACACACACACACACACACACCAGACACACGTCAGCAGCGTCTTACGTCAGCGGCGGCACTGAACGCGGATCCACAACAGAACCCGAATACACACACACACACACACACACACCAGACACACGTCAGCAGCGTCTTACGTCAGCGGCGGCACTGAACGCGGATCCACAACAGAACCCGAATACACACACACACACACACACACACCAGACACACGTCAGCAGCGTCTTACGTCAGCAGCGGCACTGAACGCGGATCCACAACAGAACCCGAATACACACACACACACACACACACACCAGACACACGTCAGCAGCGTCTTACGTCAGCGGCGGCACTGAACGCGGATCCACAACAGAACCGGAAGACAACACACACACACACACACCAGACACACGTCAGCAGCGTCTTACGTCAGCGGCGGCACTGAACGCGGATCCACAACAGAACCAGAACACAATACACACACACACACACACACACACACACCAGACACACGTCAGCAGCGGCACCGAACGCGGATCCACAACAGAACCGGAAGACAATACAATGCTGAATAAAGTCCTAGTTTTTATTACAGAAACTCTCGGACTAAATCTTAAAATATCTTAAACTGTGTTCTGAAGATGAACGGAGGTCTGACGGGCTTGGGTCGACATGAGGGAGAGTCATTAATGACATCATTTTCATTTTTGGGTGAACTATCCCTTTTAAGTCCCTTTCACACAGAGATTCCGGAAAATACACGGATAATGTGTCCCGGTGTTCACACACATCCCGTAAAGACACGTGACGTCAGGATGTGACATGTAACGTACGCGGCGAAAATATGTACACTAACACATCGCGTACCGTTCCACAAAGCTGGCGAGTGATCTCAGATTCAGTGCGGATAGTAAGAAGCTCCTGGTCTTTGCTTCATTCCAGTTTCCAGTTTGCTGACATTTTTTCATTCTTTCTTTGTTGATGACGAACACAAACTTTCTTCTAAGAGCAACAGAGTCGCACGATGGCACGTGCGTCATCACTACGACACACCCCTTACGGCATTGGTCACACAGGGCGCGTTCCGGGACTGATCCCGGCAATGTTACTAGGTCCCGATCCCGACATCAATCCCGGGACGTGATTGCGTTCACACAGAAGGCACTTGATCAATTTTACGGCAATTTCCCGGGATCAACACGCTGTGTGAAAGGGCCTTTAGAAAGGCTACGTGTTCAGCTATATGCATACACTAAGCATAGATTTTTTTATTTTTTTTATTTAGTGCTGTCTTAGAAGGCAGCACACATCACTCCCAACCATTTGGAATGGCATTCATGGTTCAGCATTAAAGGCGCAGTATGTAAGTTTCACTTATTCAAAACAATATTCAAAAGAAATATTTGAAGTCCACTTTTACGCTCCGTTCCCAACAGTTAAAGTGAGAAATAAATGCGCTCCACAAGATATTTTTGATTATAACATCTGGATGCTCAAAATCAGTCAGGTGAAGCACACGTAAGTTAATCGGCATTCTAAACTCCTGCTGCGTTTACACACACACACACACACACACACACACACACACACACAGACTGTAGCTCTCACATCACACGCAGATCGCACACAGAATCATTCAGTAGCGCAAAAATTTGTTGTCAACAATGTTCTGTGATTTATCAATAAAATAGCTTAGAAACTGAAAAATTCTAGCATACATTTCTTAGTATATATTTCCTAGTAACTAAAACCCACAGCTTCACTATTAGTAGAGAGATGCTGCCAGAATTAATTCGATCTCACACTAGTGCATTCATAAATGTAATCTTTACTGTGCTACTTTATCTGAATCTGATTTAGAATGAGCAGAAATCTGTGAGAAATTTAACGACCCAAAGACAAAAAAACGGATAAAAATAAGCTGTTATAGGAGCAAAAGTCTTGTGGGCAGCGCTGTGTCATATGACATATGTGTTTGAGTCTCAGCTCGCTTATTTGTTCATTAATGATGTCATCAGCGACTAGTCGACTCGACTTTAATCACATAAATGTTGACTTTAACAAACTGAAATCTAGTACATAATGCAATGACAACTCTTAAATAGCTCTACTGTTAACACTATTTCCTTCTAAGCCATGTATCTCTGCTCTGATTGGTTAATTAACGCTACTCTGATTGGCTGAGAGCCTTTAGCGGTGACTGCTCTCTTTTCCCAGCATGCACTGCCACTGGAATTGAGTTGGGATCAGGTGAGCAAAAGCGCTGTCCCGCTTGTCATCCATTTCTTCATCACACACTCTTTCACATCTTTTATGTTAAATGAAGCATTTCCCATTTCTCTTTTCACTCTTTGTTTGAACAGGCACCACTCACTCACTAACCAATCAGCATTCAGCTCTCAGCAGGGGTAGATAGTCCTACCACCCTTGCTTTCATTTCCTTGTATTGTTTATTTGTCTTTCCATTATAGTCCATTCATCATTTCATCTGCTGTTGTTCAGTGATTAAAGGGGTATTTCACCAAAAAATAAAAATTAGCCCATTTTCTCACCCTCAAGTCATCCTAGGTGTATATAAGTTTCTTCTTTCAGACGAATACAATCGGAGTTATATAAAAAATGTCCTGGCTCTTCCAAGCTTTATAATGGCAGAAAATGTGTATATTTCAAAGCACATCCATCCATGATAAAAGTGCCTCGATCCATGATAAAAGTGCATCTATACATGATAAAAGTGCATCTATCCATGATAAAAGTGCATCTATCCATGATAAAAGTGCATCTATCCATGATAAAAGTGCATCTATTCGTGATAAAAGTGCATCTATCCATGATAAAAGTGCATCTATCCATGATAAAAGTGCCTCTATCCATGATAAAAGTGCATCTATCCATCATAAAAGTGCATCTATCCATCATAAAAGTGCATCTATTCATGATAAAAGTGCATCTATTCATCATAAAAGTGCATCTATCCATGATAAAAGTGCATCTATCCATGATAAAAGTGCATCTATCCATCATAAAAGTGCATCTATTCGTGATAAAAGTATCATGTATAGGTGCACTTTTATCATGTATAGATGCACTTTTATCATGGATAGAGGCACTTTTATCATGGATAGAGGCACTTTTATCATGGATAGAGGCACTTTTATCATGGATAGAGGCACTTTTATCATGGATCGAGGCACTTTTATCATGTATAGATGCACTTTTATCATGGATAGAGGCACTTTTATCATGTATAGATGCACTTTTATCATGGATCGAGGCACTTTTATCATGGATAGAGGCACATTTATCATGGATCGAGGCACTTTTATCATGTATAGATGCACTTTTATCATGGATAGAGGCACTTTTATCATGGATAGATGCACTTTTATCATGGATAGAGGCACTTTTATCATGGATAGATGCACTTTTATCATGTATAGATGCACTTTTATCATGTATAGAGGCACTTTTATGATGGATAGATGCACTTTTATCATGGATAGATGCACTTTTATCATGGATAGAGGCACTTTTATCATGGATAGATGCACTTTTATCATGTATAGATGCACTTTTATCATGTATAGAGGCACTTTTATGATGGATAGAGGCACTTTTATCATGGATAGATGCACTTTTATCATGGATAGATGCACTTTTTATCATGGATAGAGGCACTTTTACCATGGATAGATGCACTTTTATCATGTATAGATGCACTTTTATCATGGATGGATGCACTTTCATCATGGATAGAGGCACTTTTATCATGGATAGAGGCACTTTTATCATGGATAGAGGCACTTTTATCATAGATAGATGCACTTTTATCACGGCTGGATGCACTTTTCACTTTTATCATGTATAGATGCACTTTTATCATGTATAGATGCACTTTTATCATGGATAGATGCACTTTTATCACGGGTGGATGCACTTTCATCATGGATAGATGCACTTTTATCATGTATAGATGCACTTTTATCATGTATAGATGCACTTTTATCATGGATAGATGCACTTTCATCATGTATAGATGCACTTTTATCATGGATAGAGGCACTTTTATCATAGATAGAGGCACTTTTATCATGGATAAATGCACTTTTATCATGCATAGATGCACTTTTATCATGGATAGATGCACTTTTATCATGGATAGAGGCACTTTTATCATGGATAGATGCACTTTTATCATGAATAGAGGCACTTTTATCATGTATAGAGGCACTTTTATCATGGATAGATGCACTTTTATCATGGATAGATGCACTTTTATCACGGATGGATGCACTTTCATCACGGCTGGATGCACTTTTCACTTTTATCATGTATAGATGCACTTTTATCATGGATAGATGCACTTTTATCATGGATAGATGCACTTTTATCACGGGTGGATGCACTTTCATCATGTATAGATGCACTTTTATGATGGATAGATGCACTTTTATCATGGATAGATAGATGCACTTTTATCATGGATAGATGCACTTTTATCATGGATGTATGTGCTTTGAAATATACACATTCACTGCCATTATGAAGCTTGGAAGAGCCAGGACATTTTTTTATATAACTCTTGATCGTATTCGTCTGAAAGAAGAATGTCATCTACACCTAGGATGGCTTCCGGGTGAGTAAATCATGGGCTAATTTTAATTTTTTGGTGAACTAACCCTTTAAGCTGTTTCATGTCGTCTCTCTGGAAGGCGCGCTTAAGCGAGGAGTTGGCGTCCTCCACGGCGCGCGTGTCTGAGCTTCAGCTGGACTTGAGCTCGCAGCAGCAGAAGATCACGGCTCTGCAGACCAAACTCAGCGCCGCCCTGCTGGACGCTCAGCAGCACAACACACACATCGCAGCGCTGGAGGCTCAGATGCTGGGTGAGCAGCTCGTCTCATTACCAGCACTGAATCACATGGCTGATAGTTTCCTTTAGTGATGGGAAGTCTGATTATTTTCCGTGAACTGGTTCTTTTAGACAATTTGTTGTAATAAACCATATGTTTCAGTTTAGTTTGTGCCATCCCTGGGTTTTAGGCATCATGAAAGTGACTGGGCTTTTAGCGATGTTCATTGCATACACTTGCGCTCCAGGGCAGTAAGAAATCTCAAACGAAACTGGACCAATCAGCTGTGAGCAAAGTGTCACATGTCTGATGCAATAAAGTCCCTCCCCCAGTTTCTCTTACTCCAAATTAAAGGTCACTAAATTTTTAAAGAAAAAATCGTCTGGCTTATTTATAACGATAATTATTTATAATAATTATTTTGTATGATTCAGATATTATATATGTAATTATTACCCTTAATCCATTACACATGTACACTTATAGTTGATCAATTATTATTAAGCTCTTATTTTAAATTAATATTAGTAAACACTGCTAAAAATGATTTTCTTGCGTAGTATTTTTGTCTTTTGTTTCCAATGCAAATATCTAAAACTTCTTAAATCAAGATGCGTTTACTAAAGTAGTCAAATGCCATAAAATATTATATCTTGTTTTCTCGAGTGAAAAAAATCTAAATGAAGTGAGTTTTTGCTTAAAACAAGGAAAATTATCTGCCAATGGGGTAAGAAGATTATTTTGAGCTGCAGTGTGTAAATTAAACATAGATTAATCCTTATAATATTTATAATATATATTATTATTATATACAAAAGTTATTCAGTCAAAAGCAGTAAATGATTTTCTCTTTGTCTTTTGTTCTTTGATTAACATTAATGACAGACAGCTGCATTAATTGTATTAAATATCTTTAATGCGTTAAACTGGAAAAATTAATAGCATGCATTAACGTGCTAAAAATATTTAATGTAATTAATGCTGCTGTCTCTCATTAAAGTTAATCATGAACAAAAGACAAAGAGAAAAACACTCACTGCTGAATAACTTTTGTAACTTTAATAAGGATTAATCTGTTTAATTTATGCAGTAGGGGTGTGACGAGATCTCGTGTCACGAGATCTCGCGAGACTAAATATGACGAGATTTCTCGTCGAGTGAAAAAGCTGTCTCGCGATATCGCCATGAATATTTCACCGCTACACTCACATTCGCCTAAACTATCGTTTTGTTGTTTTTATAAAAAAATAAAAACCATTATAAACGAATGTAAAAGTCTGCTCTGCTCATCCAGCACGAGTTGCCGGTGCAATCAGTGCAGCACAAATCACAGTTCACTGATCGCGTGACGATGGCGGAGGATTCGTTGCGCAACAGACTAAACATTGATAAATGTCTTATCTTGTAGAATATGCGCGCTCAGCACCGCTGCTCCCTATACGCGCGGTCACGAATTTGTAAGTGAAAGTAAAACACAAGCTCCCTGATGTACATTGCGCTCAAATTAGGCTGCATACATACAATAGTCCGTCTCCCAATACCCATCTCTGGACTGTTTATTTGCGGCTATGGTTTCTGTTTGCACTGCGAATATTGAGAGAGCACTGTAACGTATAAAGGACAACAGACAAGGGAGGCTCCGTTTCTGAACTTATAATCGGAACACAAGAACAACTGTAGAGACAAACACACCAGCCTCGTTTCTCTCTACCCGACCTTTTCCGAACTCACCGCATTAACCCTATAACTGCCGGTGCAAAATAAAACCGCGGTTTCACAACAATTATAAAGAGTCTGTGTGCTAACTTTGATTATGGTTGCACTTGCACTTATTGTTTGCACTTAATAAGAGAAAACAGTTATTTATTTTTGTTATTTATACTGTTTTTATTTCTCTGTTCAATGTATGTAAAGGAGTTCAGTTAGGAGGTCACACACCGCCTCAATCAGAAGTTCTGAAAGCTCTTAAATGTACAGGGTCTGAAGAGACTAATGTGAAATCATACAGGAGAAAAGCCAATCAATAAAAACCTTTTACAGTGCTTGTATATTGTTTTCTTTCAATGCATTTGATAATTCATCCTCATAAAGTAGACCTGAAATGACATGCATTAGAAGATTATTAGTTAAAACATTGATAAATGCACCTGCATACTATTTTTCCAGTCATGAATTTTGTCATTGAGGATTTCTGAAAAATTGTGCAAAAATCTCGTCTCGTTCTCGTGAACCCAATCTCGTGTCTCGTCTCGTCTCGTGAGATAAGCGTCTCGTCACACCCCTATTATGCAGTGAAGACTGTGAAGTATTTATAACTTTATTCAATTTCTGTATCTTCCCTACCTGTCAAAAAAAAGTGATTTATTAGTTTTAATTTTTTTAATCGATTGAAGGCACTAATAAATATATAAAGGTAATATGTAAAATAAATAAGCTTTAGAATCAATAGCATATAGATTTTTACTTTGTGACATTTTCAATTAAGCATATTGTCATTGATATAATAAATGCAAATGTTTTATGAGTTGAGTTTTTTGCAATTCTCATTCTCAAATGTAATACTTATTATTGTAATACTGTACTTCTATAAAATTGTAGTGATTTTTAAAAATTATTTTAAAACAAAGGCAGTAACACCAATATTATAAGTATGTATAAATAGTTTACTATTTAAATAGTATATAATTGTGTTTTTGTCTGCATTACAATAATAATGTGAATTTGAGATTAAAGCTACAGTCCGTAACTTTTTTGGGTTAAAAATTATCAAAAATAAATTTGAGCAAGTACATAACCAGCAAGTGTTCAAAACTCTCTGCTTGCCGTAGCTCGATTCAAAGCGGTAAGCTTGTAATAATGTTTTTAACTCCAGCGGTACTGGTGGATTTCCGGGGGAAATTCAAGCATGTCATTACGTCACATATACATTTACATTTACATTTACATTTAGTCATTTAGCAGACGCTTTTATCCAAAGCGACTTACAACTGAGGACTAAACCAAGCGAGTCATCGTGAAGAGGCAAAAGCAACGCAAGAAGTGCTCAAAATACAAAGTTCAGACATAGCTCGGAGTAGCATAAGCCAGGCAAGCGAGGATTTAGAGGAAAGGATTTTTTTTTTTTTTTTTTTTTTTTTTATGTTAAGTGCTCCCGGAAGAGATGAGTTTTCAGATGTCTTTTGAATGCTGTCAGGGATTCTGCATTCCGGATGAGGGTGGGGAGATCATTCCACCAGCATGGAACCGTGAATGAGAATGTTCTGGAGAGTGATTTTGTGCCCCGCTGTGATGGTACCACGAGCCGTCGCTCATAGACCGATCGTAGGCTTCTGGTAGGGATGTAGACTTGTAGTAGTGAGTGGAAGTAGGAGGGAGCTGAACCTGTGGTCAATCTGTAAGCAAGCGTCAAAGTCTTGAACTTGATGCGAGCAGCGAGTGGTAGCCAGTGCAGAGAGATGAACAGAGGAGTGACGTGGGCCCTTTTGGGCTCGTTGAAGACCAGACGAGCTGCAGCATTCTGGATCATTTGTAGAGGTTTAGTTGCACATGATGGAAGTCCAGCCAGAAGAGCATTGCAGTAATCAAGCCTAGAAATGACCAGAGCCTGGACGAGAAGTTGTGTTGCATGCTCAGTTAGGAAAGGCCTGATCTTCCTGATGTTGTGCATAGCAAACCTGCATGATCGAGCTGTCTTTGTAATGTGGTCTGTGAAGGTCAGCTGATCATCAAAGATTACTCCAAGATTTCTGACCGACCTTGATGGGGTGATTGAGGAAGAATCTAGCTGGATAGTGAGGTCGTGCTGCAGAGACTGATTGGCAGGGAGGATGAGAAGCTCAGTCTTTGCCAGGTTGAGCTGCAGGTGATGTTCCTTCATCCATGCCGAGATGTCCGCCAGACAGCTTGAGATCCGTACAGCTACTGTGGGATCATCTGGTTGAAATGAGAGGTAGAGCTGGGTGTCATCAGCATAGCAATGGTAAGAGAAACCATGTGCCTGTATGATGGGTCCCAGTGATGTGGTGTAAATGGAGAAGAGGAGCGGTCCGAGAACTGAACCCTGAGGAACGCCTGTGGTCAGTTGATGTGCTTTGGATACCTCACCTCTCCATGTGACCCTGAAGGACCTACCTGTGAGATAGGACTCAAACCAGTTGAGGGAGGTTCCAGTGATGCCCAGTGATGAGAGGGCGGACAAGAGGATCTGATGATTCACAGTGTCGAAGGCAGCAGACAAGTACATAACCAGCAAGTGTACACACATACACACACATCTGTACACACACATCTGTACACATAAAGAAGAGTCTCGGCTAGTAGGCTATAGTGTGAGGATGCTGGAGGTGGAGATTTATAGCCTTTTCTCACAGCACTTGATATAATTAAACTTATTAATTTGATGGCGGATCCAGAAAGGTTCAAACGACGATCACCAGTGACAACTGGAGACTCACCCGCTGTAACATGCAAAAGACTTCGTTCGGACTTCGGAGTGGCTACAGAAAAGAAGAGACTGCAACCGACCCATGCGAAAACAAGGATAATATCGGAAGGACATTACATGTAGTCACGCAATCCTGACGTGGTTAACATTAACAATTTGAGAACAAAGTATAATTTGCACGGTTTGACGTGATATGATAAGCGATCGTTAGATTTAATCAGCGCGATTTACTGCAATGCTTTTTTTCTCTTAGTTGGTCAGAACAAAAGTGGATGTTACTCACTTGTTCAGACATTTTCCAGGGAAAATTCTTATGTTGGTCATACTTCCAAAAAGTGTAATCTGTGATTCTGAATGCCAGTATCCACACCGGCGTGGCGACTGACAGCCGCACACTCTCCTCAAACATTGGATTCATCCGCGCTGTGCCGAAGCACAACCCACGTAAAGTAATAACGTGAATAACTGCAATTGCAGATTTCGAACAGAGATGGCGACAAAGAGGAAAAACTACGGACTGCAGCTTTAAATATTGTCACTTAATTGTCATGAAAATGTCACACAGTGCCAAATATTATCATGTTTAGGCAATTATATATATGTATATATATATATTTTTTTTTTATGAATGTGTGTGTGTTTCAGAGCTGAGGGAGACAGCAGACAGAGTGCAGGGTCAATACAAGATGGAGAAGCAGAAACGTAAGGAACTGGAGCTCAAACTCAACAACACAGAGGAAGAGCTGCAGGACATGAGGACGGAGAAGGACAGTCTGGAACGAGTGAGTTATTGACTCTTCTGTCTGTCTGTGTGTGTGTGTGTGTGTGACTGAATCCTCATCTGGATAATCTTTAATGCGTTGACTTGTGTGTGTTCAGACTCTGTCAGAGAGGAAGCGTAAGTGGCAGGCCGAGAGACAGCGCTGTGATGAAGAGCTGGAAGAGGTGAGGAGGACGAGCCAGCAGGAGATGGACAGTCTCAGGAGCCAGTTACGCAAAGCCAGAACGAGCACTGACCACGCAGCAGCAGAACAGGTACGTGTGTGTGTGTGTTTACATGCATAATGACAAGAAGAGATCCATGCTGCCAATCAGAATCATTAGGGGCTTTCGCACCGGGTAGTTCTAGGATTGAGAAACCAGGTGTTTCCCGAGAACTAATGGTTCCCTTAGGAACGTTTTCCTGGTTGCGTTCGCAGGAACTGTGACGTGACGTCAGACACGCTTGTTGTTGGGACTTTTATTTTGACGGCGCTGAGAACGCCAGAGCCTGAGCTCACAGCGCTCCTGTTCTCGTGTTCATCAGTTTACGGTGTGTCTAACAGTCCTGTCTAATACGATATTATATAGAACTGTTATACATAGGAAGTAGACAGTAATGAAGAGTTATTAGCGTATGCCGTGTGGTTGATGTCCAGTGTTGCTGAGCAGAAATACATAATCATGTTCTCTTGGTCTCCTCAAAGTGTCGTTGGATTTTCTCCTCAGCGTAAAGTTTAAGAGGCTCATCTATCCCTGTTTTACATGTTCGTAGAGTTAGTTTGTGGAGTAAATATATAGGCTATAATCTGTGTTTACACAGTGTTTTTGTAAAAAATGGCGGGTGCTGGTGTTTCGCGTGCGTTCGGCCAATCAGCGTCACTAATGTCACGGATAGTTCCTATAGCACTGGTTTAGGCCGAATCTGAAGTCTCAGTCGTCTCTCTCCTCTGTGCAATCAGGAAAACGTTCCTAAGGGAACCATTAGTTCTCGGGAAACACCTGGTGGCTCAATCCTAGAACTACCCGGTGCGAAAGCCCCTATTCTTAACAGTACCTGGGTGTATAATTGAGAGTTTTTGACACTCAGTATATTGTATTGTAGCTGTAGTTTTGTGACTGAGTGTGTGTGTGTGTGCAGCTGTCTCAGTTGCAGGCGGATCTGGAGCAGGAGTGGCAGGTGAAGTGTGATCAGACTCTGGCAGCGGCACGAGAACAGCAGAGGAGAGAGACGACTGAACTCACTGAACACAGAGACACACTTCAGCTCAAACTCACACAACTGCAGGAGAAGGTACCCACACACACACACACACACACACACAGAGAGGAGAGAGACGACTGAACTCACTGAACACAGAGACACACTTCAGCTCAAACTCACACAACTGCAGGAGAAGGTACCCACACACACACACACACACACACACACACACACACAGAGGAGAGAGACGACTGAACTCACTGAACACAGAGACACACTGCAGCTCAAACTCACACAACTGCAGGAGAAGGTACACACACACACACACACACACACACACACACACACACACACACAGAGGAGAGAGACGACTGAACTCACTGAACACAGAGACACACTTCAGCTCAAACTCACACAACTGCAGGAGAAGGTACACACACACACACACACACACACAGAGGAGAGAGACGACTGAACTCACTGAACACAGAGACACACTTCAGCTCAAACTCACACAACTGCAGGAGAAGGTACCCACACACACACACACACACACACACACAGAGGAGAGAGACGACTGAACTCACTGAACACAGAGACACACTGCAGCTCAAACTCACACAACTGCAGGAGAAGGTACCCACACACACACACACACACACACACACACAGAGGAGAGAGACGACTGAACTCACTGAACACAGAGACACACTGCAGCTCAAACTCACACAACTGCAGGAGAAGGTACACACACACACACACACACACACAGAGAGGAGAGAGACGACTGAACTCACTGAACATAGAGACACACTTCAGCTCAAACTCACACAACTGCAGGAGAAGGTACACACACACACACACACACACACACAGAAAGGAGAGAGACGACTGAACTCACTGAACATAGAGACACACTTCAGCTCAAACTCACACAACTGCAGGAGAAGGTACACACACACACACACACACACACAGAGAGGAGAGAGACGACTGAACTCACTGAACATAGAGACACACTTCAGCTCAAACTCACACAACTGCAGGAGAAGGTACCCACACACACACACACACACACACACACACACACACACACAGAGAGGAGAGAGACGACTGAACTCACTGAACACAGAGACACACTGCAGCTCAAACTCACACAACTGCAGGAGAAGGTACACACACACACACACACACACAGAGAGGAGAGAGACGACTGAACTCACTGAACACAGAGACACACTTCAGCTCAAACTCACACAACTGCAGGAGAAGGTACACACACACACACACACACACACAGAGAGGAGAGAGACGACTGAACTCACTGAACACAGAGACACACTGCAGCTCAAACTCACACAACTGCAGGAGAAGGTACACACACACACACACACACACACACACAGAGAGGAGAGAGACGACTGAACTCACTGAACACAGAGACACACTGCAGCTCAAACTCACACAACTGCAGGAGAAGGTACACACACACACACACACACACACACACACACACACACACACACACACAGAGAGGAGAGAGACGACTGAACTCACTGAACACAGAGACACACTGCAGCTCAAACTCACACAGCTGTAGGAGAAGGTACACACACACACACACACACACACACAGAGAGGAGAGAGACGACTGAACTCACTGAACACAGAGACACACTGCAGCTCAAACTCACACAGCTGTAGGAGAAGGTACACACACACACACACACAGTCCATGTCTTATAATATTACTTTAAACTCTGCAAAATAATTGTATTTTGTCGAACAGACAATCACTTAACTAATCCAACCCACTCCTCTGTGTAGTTCAACACACTCCGCCAGTCGCGTGACTCAGAGGAGCAGCGTTCGCTACAGCAGGACCGGGACCAGGGAGAAGAGCTGCAGGCCTGGAGACAGAAGGTGCAACACTGAGCAGTTCATGCACTCGTCCCTCAGCCCTCGTCCTCCGCTGTGTCTACATGAGTGTGTGTGGCACAGTGTAGTTCTCACTGCCTCAGTCGTCACTAGCGGCGCATTACAGGGACAGCCGGGTGTTTCATCTCCTGGGCTCTATCATACACGTGACGCAAGTGTGTTTGCTAGTTTCAGCCCGACACAGTTATCATTTTCATATTCTGCGCCACGTTATTTAAATAACAAATGTAGAAGCGCCCAAAACGAGGTGTGTGTTCAGGCGGATTGCTATCTTGAGGAACTGAAATAGACTGAGCCATTGACCAACTGAAACCTGCTCTAAAGTCAATGGCGCAGTGTTTTCTTTGTTATTTAAGGAGCGCGTTAGTAATATGTGCCTATAGGCGGGTCCACAACGCGCATACACTCTGCTTATTACACACACACACACACACTCTGCTTATTACACACACAGGGTGCAAACAGCACACAAACATGCCAAATATTAAAAATTAAAGGATTACAATGTAAAAGTTTATTATTGTGTACATAAATATATGGTGTAATCCGGCTTGTCCCGTAGATGGACACACACACACACACACAGCTTTATCCTCGCGCAGGAACAGATCCGTTTCATCACTAGAGAAGCGTTCAGTTTTTCCGCTTGCAAATTCCTCCGTGTAAATAGTGAATCCGACACCGCGCGAGCGCAACTGGCTTTTAAAGGGAATCGGAGAAGAGACTCTGATTGGTTTATTGCACGTTACGCCCAACACACACCCATTACTCATTAAGAGAATAGAGACAACACACACCCATTACTCATTAAGAGAATAGAGACGACCCTTTTAGACCAGCGCCGGGAGCGCCGACCATTTCTCTCTTGTCGTTAAACGAGCAAAAGTGGATTCGGACACGCCCTAAGTGCGCTTGCTCCGTGCGCTTTAGACCAGGGGTTCCCAAACTTTTCCATTCCAGGACCCACGTAGACGAGAATAATCTATCTCAAGACCCACCAAAATAATTTTAAAGCATGAATGTGGGGTGGGAGGCGTTAGTTCTCTTTAGAGCAGTTTTTTTCCTTGTCATAGTATGATTGCAAATGATTGCAGAGTTTAATTGCAATACGAACTTATGGTACATTATCAAAACGAGAATTAAAATAGTAGCCTAATGGCTGTTGAAATAATGTGAAGAATACGGAGTAGTTTTTGTCTGCTGCCTCAACTGATTTACCCAAACATGGCAAAACAAATTTAAAGAAATGAAAAATATTAAGTAAGCTTAATCTTAAAGCTCCAGTCCGTAACTTTTTTAAGTTAAAAATAATCCAAAATAATTATATAAAAAAAAAACGTATTCTGCCAGTGGTCAAAACTATCTGCTTGCCATAGCTCGATTCAAAACGGTTAGCTTGTAATAATGATTTTAATTCCAGTGGTACTGGTGGGTTTCCGCGGGAAATTCGAGCATGTCTTTGCGTCATGACGTCACACCCGTACACATAAAGAAGGAGTTTCGGCTAGCCGGCTATACTGTGCGTGACGAGATGTTTAGATGTATAGGCTTTTCTCGCAGCACTTTACATAATTAAACTTATGGCATCCAGAAAGATCCAAACAACAATCATCAGTGTCAACTGGAGATTCAGCAGTTATAAAACCCAAAAGACTTCGTACTTCGGATTTAAGGTGGCTAGAGAAAGAGAAAGAAACCGTCTCATGCGAACACAAGGATTTAAACATCGGCGGGGCTTTTGAAAAGTGCGTGAACTCCGTGTTTTGAAGGGGTTCAAAACGGAAGAAGAGACGGCTTGTTTCTGCTGAACAAGTAAGACATTTCAATAGTTCAATCGTGTAACAGTACGTTTTCTTAATTCACACAGTTATGGAGTTTCCTTTGTTGTGCCTTTCTCGTTTTGCTATTATGGAGAATATGAATTCTGAACTACACACAGGTAACCATAAAACACATTCAATTTAACATTAGTCACGCAATGCTGATGTGATGTTGTTAACATTAGTGATCGACCGATATATCGGCCGGCCGATATATCGGGCCGATATTTGCGTTTTTTACGTGTATCGGAATCGGCCGATATGCGGCTGCTGCGTTCGCCGATAGTTTTTTCCCGGCATTATTTATAGACAGGCGTCCACAGGCAGCTCTGTGCTGCTGGAGACGCTGCAGTTCACGTGCCGACCCTGCACTGTCCCTCCCCCACTAGCAGAGTGCAACCTGCGCTTCAAGATAACGGTAACTTTTAAACTTTCAAAGCATCTTTTAACTGTTTGACTGCTGAAATATTGTCAAACACTTTGAAAATGGAAACACGTTGCTTTATAACTGTTATGTGGTTGCAACTATATAGCTAAGCAAGTTTGTGGGTCCAAATGGAAAACGCGAATGACTCGTCTATAAAACTGCTTGCTTGCCATTGTATTTAGGGAGCTGCAAATAGCTGTAGGCTATCCGTTCAGTATGCATTAGGGCTGTCAATGAATATTCTAAATACGAATATATATTCGAATAGTTTAAAAAAAACTGAATTTTGAAGGTGAAAATTAATATTCGAATGTGGAAAAACACGCCCGCGGTAGCAGACTAACGTTACCACAGCACAGCTCGCTCGGAGCGCTCAGTGTCGGTTCTATGTTCTGTGAAACTTCAATTAATGTATTTGTTTCAATCACTGAATGAAGCCTGCTATATACCTTAAATTGCTTGCACAAAACTCTTGATCAGCACTCAACATTTGTTTGTTGTTGTTCATTTAAACCGGTATGCGCGGAGAGCGTGAGGGTGAGTGCGAGAGAGAGAGAGTCCGGGCGAGCCAGAGTGAGCTCTGCGGTCTTGGCCATTAGTTGATTTACTCGTTTTTTTTTGTAGTAATACGTTGTCAAATATGTTTAAACTCAAATAAGCTACTTAATACTATTAGTTATGTCTCTTTGTATTAATTTGTCCTGTTATTGACGTAATGCGCGTCATTGACCAAATGCACGACGATATGCTCAAGTATGTTTTTTAGAGGGAATATACAAACGCCATTTGAACAATTTTGACAGCACTAGTATGCTACGGTAGCTGTTACGAACACTGGTCATAGGATTAAGTAATACCAACGTTGTTCCGTGCTTTTTGCGACCACCTGGCTGAGGTTTGGACGCGTGTGGTGTGTGTCTCCCTCGCCATCGCAGTGATATTAGAGACTAGACATGCTCATTTTATTTTATGTAGACAAATTTAAACCATGGCAGTAAATAGTTCGTTACTTTTAAAGTGAAGTACAGTGTGCACTGTGCACTTTATTATGCTGGTTGCTACTGTGTGCAATAGTGTAATTATTTTATTTATGCTTAAATATTTATTTTCAGCAGTGAACTTTTTTTTGTTCTACCTCATGTTTTTAATATTTGTTAAATATTGTTTATCTACTTGTTCTTGTTCTACCTCACATGTTTTTACTATTTGTTAAATATAGATTTTTTTTACGTTAAATAAATCTTACTTTTATTAAATTGAGACCTGTAACATTTGTTAACATCATGTCATTTTTATGATGTAAATTGAGGGAGCAAAATGTATCGGCTCCAAATATCGGCTCAAGAAAATCGGCAGCCCGTATCGGTCATCGGCTAAGGCTGATGGGGAAAAAATCGGTATCGGTATCGGCACTAAAAAATCCATATCGGTCGATCCCTAGTTAACATGAACAATTTGAGAACAAAGTAGGCTATAATTTGCACGGTTGCTGTAAATCACGTTGATTAAATCTAACGAAGCTTATCATGTCGAATGCTTTTCCCCCCTTAGTTGGTCAGAACAAAAATGGATGTTACTTACTTGTTCAGAAGACATTTTCTTATGAAAATTCTTATGTTGGTCAAACTTTCAAAAAGTGAATCTGTGATTCTGTATGACAGTATCCACACAGCGCGGTGACTGACAGCAGCACTCGCCTCAAAGCACTGTGTTCATCCGCGCTGTTTCATGCCGATTTACAACCCACGTAAAGATGATAATTCCGCGAATCACTGCAGTTACAGATTTCGAACAGACAGATGGCGACAAAGAGGAAAAGTTCCGGACTGCAGCTTTAACCAAAGGTTTGATATGACAAAAAATCAGAATATAAAAAAATAATAGACTAATAATTTTATTTGACAGTATGCCCAGGACCTAATATTTATGCTGCGAGTGAAACTGAAAACGCTTTCGTGCTCATGTGTATACATTTGAAATACTTTTTCCATATATATTTTCCTTATGCGTCGGTAGGTATCAAAATGCATGCGAGGGAACACAAAACAACGCACTCTTACAATGACCATATCTCTGAAAGACAACAGCGCTGTGTTGAACAGACGACAGAGATTAATGCGTTTCCCAAAAGCATCGTAGAAGCATTGCCACCAATGGTCTCTACAATCACCTTAGCTCACGATGCTGAGCGATGTCCTATCGTGACATTTGAATTCTCCGGTGTAATGCGATCTCATGCAGATTGGAGTAAACGAGTTTCTTCTCGTTAATAATGCGCACCAAACTGCTTAATGAACCGAAGCTGCTCTGAGACGGTGAAAATTGTTATCACAACAAGTCGCACGCGCGCGCTTCATGAAACACACTACTGACATATTTATCTAACTTTAAATCGCTCAAAGCAATATAGCGATTTCTAGTTAACGTTGGTTCATCGTGCAACCTGTTTGTATGTCCCTCATGAAACGTAAATTCAGCTGCAGCCAATATAGTGATTGCGCGACCCACCTCTTCCCAATCTGCGACCCACAGTTGCTTTAGAACATGCGCTCAGATCCTTAAAATAGGGCCGAGTGTTTCTCATGACTGTAGCCTGTAGTGAAGTGTCTGCTTGTGTGTCAGTGCTGCGCGCTGGAGGAGAGAGTGGCGCTGATGAAGATGCAGGAGGAGACGCGCGTGTCAGAGATGGAGAAGAAGACCGACACTGCAGGAGAGGTCAGCTTTATCCTCTCTATCATACTGACACTCATTAGATAGCCTGTGCCTTATTATTATTATTACAGTACTGGATAAAGATTTTAATAAAGCATTAGTAAATTGAAATTAATAAATGCTGTATAAGTGCAGTTCATTATCAGTTCATGCTATTATATATTATTATATTATAAACTGTTACCATTTCGGTTAAATAAATTAGTTTAAATAATTTTAACGTAAACATTTGTTTACTTGGACATTTCTGAACTATTGTCCTAACCTCTATTTTTATGAATTTACATTTACATATATATATATATATATATATATAAAGAAATTAATACTTTTATTCAACAAGGATACATTTAATTAATCAAACGTGAAAGTAAAGACATTCATAATGTTACAAAATGTTTATCTTTCAAATAAATTCTGTTCTTTTGAATCCTGAAAATTCAGGAAAAAAAGGTATCGCGTTTCCACACAAATATGAAGCAGAGCAACTGTTTTCAATATTGATAATATTCATAAATGTTTCTTGAGCATCAGATCATCATATTAGAGTGATTTCTGAAGGATCATGTGACACTGAAGACTGGAGTAATGATGCTGAAAATTCAGCTTTGATCACAAGAATAAATTACACTTTACTATATATTCACATAGATATATTCAACAGCTATTCTAAATTGTAATAATATTTCACAATATTACTGGGGGGGGGTTTATTCCAAAAAATGCAGCAAAAACATAAAAAAAACGTAATTATTCCAGACTTTTGAATGGTGAACATTGACTTCAATATTCAGCTTTGATCACAGGAATAAATTGCATTGTAAAATATATTCACATAGAAAATAGCTGTTTGAAATTGTAATAATATTTCACAATATTACCGGTTTTACTATATTTACTATACAGCCTTAAAAAATCTTACATCTCGAAAACATTTGAACGACAACTCGCATTGTAGTAAAATATTGGCAAAATACATCAAATAAATCTGACGAACTCAAGAAAATGATTTTATATAAGTAATTGAGTGATTAATATATTTATAAGTAATTGAGTAATCTTACATCTCGAAAACATTTGAACGACAACTCGCATTGTAGTAAAATATTGGCAAAATACATCAAATAAATCTGACGAACTCAAGAAAATGATTTTATATAAGTAATTGAGTGACCAATATAATTTATAAGTAATTGAGTGATTATATTGGGTATTATAATGTTAAATTATAACAATATATTACTGATGTAATATTAGCTTATAGTACATTTAATTTAATATTCAACAATAATATTGATCTGCCTGCATTGACACTATTATACAAGAACTGAACTGAGCTGGACGATGGCATCACGGTTTTCTCCAGAGCGGCTATATATAAATGAACTAAATTAATAACTTTTTTACAACAAAAATGAAACATCACTGAACTTGCTTAAGCTGGACTATGACACTATTTTCTTCTGGAAACAAACTTTGTTGCATTATTTTCCTGTTATCTCTGTAAAGCTGCTTTGAAACACTCTGTATTGTAAAAAGCGCTATATAAATAAATGTGACTTGACTTGCTGTAATTAATAGATGCACTGAATATTTTATCTTAAAATAAGATAATCAAATCAAAAAGCATTTATTTTGGGTTGGTTTGTGTCATAGAGTCATCATAGACTCTTTCTAAGCTCAGGTGTGTTAATGTCCAGGTGAAGCGTGTGATGAACGGAGTGTTTCAGTCTCTGCGAGGGGAGTTTGACCTGAACGAGACGTACGAAGGAAGTGCAGTTCTCCGAGTGCTGGTCAACACCATCAAGGTCAGGCTCTCAGCGCACATCTCTGTCATTTCTGCTCAAAAACTGCGGAGAGAAATGTCTCACAGTGCTTTTTCCTCCAATGACAGAGTGTCACACTGCAGCTCCTCACTAAGAGCGAGAGATCGACACCTGAGCACAGTGAGGAGGAGGAGGAGAGAGAGAGCGATGCGCGGCATGTGAACGGGCGGAGAGAGGAAGATAAGCAGACAGACGGAGATCCTGAAGATGGAGTGGAGGAGGAAGAAAAGGAAAGAAAAGAAAAAGAACAGGTTTCAGGAACAGAAGACGAAGCGGTGGAAATCGAAAGTGAACAGGAAGTTGTCGAAGAAAGGAATGAAGAGAAAGTTGTGAGAGTGGAAGTTAATCTCAGCAACGCAGAACACAATGTGCAAGATCAGGACGGGGAAACCACACACGGAGAAGAGGCTGAACGTGACGCCACGCCCACACAGGAAGTGACCACAGAGCTGCTTGATGACATCACTCCACAGGAAGTGACCACAGAGCTGCCTGATGACATCACTCCACAGGAACAGGAAGTTAAGGTAGTTGATGAGAGCGTCCCAGGACTGACGCTCGGCGGGCCGCCCAAGAACCCGCCGCCGCCCCCTGGTGTTGTTCACGTCACTCCTGCACACATCACCAGGTGAGAACATCGAGAACTGGAGATTTGTTGCCTTGGTTGTTTTAAAGGAGTTCACACAAAAGTTAACTCACCTTTATGCCATTCCTAGACCCAGTGTTGGGAAAGTTCATTTTCTACATGAACTAGTTCAAAGTTCAGTTCACACATTTTAAAATGAACTAGTTCAGTTCATAGGTCATACTTAAAAAAATGAACTAGTTAATAGTTCTTTTTTTTCCATATGTTGCTGCGAGCTTTTTTTATTATTATTATTATTATTGCCACAGCCCATATACAACCACAGACAGCAATTATTTTATCGACGGGCAAAGTTTGCACAGAAATGTAAGATTTTTCCCATCCTCACCGACCTCATCATAAAATCCGTTTAAATGATCATACGACGCCTCCTCGCTCGCTGCTTTGTCGACTACATGCTGCTTCTTGTCTTGATGACGCATGCAGCGGCCACGGTGCGACACTGGTGGCTTGTGTTGCCAGATTGGGTGTTTTTTCGCTACATTAAGGCCTGTTTACGATGTGTTTTAGCCGGGTTTTCGCCTGGAAGGCTCTATAGAAATCTGGCACCCTATTGAACACAGTTAAACTGAGAGAGCGTGCGTTCACAGACACCAGAATGAACGCGTTCACAGTAACGTTCATCAGGCAGTAATACAGCACGTTCAGTTCACATTCGCCCAAAATATGAACGAGTTCATGAACTATCGTTCATTGAACGCGTTCAGGCACAACACTGCCTAGACCCTAGTGTTATTTTAGTATCGTTGAGATACTGTTACAGTTTTATGAATATATATATATTAGTGCTGTCAAACGATTAAAATATTTAATCGCGATTAATCGCATTTATGTCATAGCTAACTCGCGATTAATCGCACATTTTTATCTATTCTAAATGTCTCTTGATTTCTTTTTGTCCCATTATTTTTTTCTCATTTTAATGCTCTTATCAACATGGAAAAGTGGATCGGCTTGCTTTGTGCAAATGTTTTTTATTGAAAACAACATTGGCATATACTGTGTTCAATTTCACACTAACATTCTCACTTGGAGCAAATAATCTCTCACACAATGTAACACTGTCCATCAATAAAAGGGTGAAAGAAATACTGACGAGGTCCTGATTTTGACGAGGGGGCGGAGAATTCGCATCAGCTGTGTGTGTGTGTGTGTGTGTGTGTGCTTGGCCATCATCAAGTGGTGTTTCAGACTGGACGTGCTGCGATGATGATAGCTCAGTTCACAACGACAAAACACACAGATCACTTTGGTCTTGTCAATGGGACCATTTGGCAACTTTTTAAAAGTAAACTTTCCATTCAGAATCTTATTGGCATCCATTTCGGCGTCTCGTGCTCGTCATCCACTCAAAGCGTAACGTTAACCAACTATTTGGCCGGCTCGCAAGCCTAAACAAGTGTGTGCGTCGTGCCTGCTGTTTTGTTTCCGGTCTAGCTAGATCCGCTTGCGCTTTGGTCGACGAAGCAACAAAACGTCCTCGCGCGGCACAAGCCATTGACATGAATGGGTTTCACCGCGCAGCGCCGCGTCCTGTTGCAAAAGCATGTGAAAAAAGCTACAAAGTTTGCTAGGCCAAAAAGACCGTTAATCGCTCGATAAAAAAAATTAACGCCGTTAAAATGGGTTTGCGTTAACGCCGTTAATAACGCGTTTAACTGACAGCCCTAATATATATATAAATAATAGTGCTGTCAATCGATTAAGGGGTTGTTGATCATGATTTCCCATTTCTAATATCTTTAGTTAGTGTGTAATGTTGCTGTTTGAGCATAAACAACATCTGCAAAGTTACGAAGCTCAAAGCTCAAAGCAAAGGGAGATATTTGCTTTTACAGAAATCGTTTTTTAAGGACTACAACAAACGGCTGGTAGAGACTACACGAGCTTCCTCCCGGGTTAGTGACATCACTAACCCTAAAATTTACATAAGCCCCGCCCCCTGAACACACAAGTGTTGAGAAGAGGAAGAGCTGTAGTGGAGCACATTTGTGAGTTTAAGCTCAAGCTGTCGCATCCGTCTCTTCACATGCAATACAGTTCGTAACACAAATGCAATAGCATGTCACTAGGCATCTTACAACCGTTCCCACACGAGAGGTTTTATAGATTATAATGGCAGAATATGCTAATCAATGTCTTGAAGATTGTTCCCCACATCAGCAACATAAATTCATCAACTAACCATTCAGAAACGTCCTGTTGCTCTACATGTTGTCACTCCATCTTGAGTCTCTTCATCATTGTCCGACTCCAGTTTAAACATAAAAGGCAGAACAGTTTCTGGCATTTTAGTGAGTGTCTGCGTGAGGCAATCGGAGCTGCTAACACACACACACACACACACAAGCTCTTAAAGCTCCGCCCTCTGTGCCGGGAGCAGCAGCTCATTTGCATTTAAAGGGACACACACAAAACGATGCGTTTTTGCTCACCCTCAAAAAGGGACAAATTTTATATGCTATAAAGAATAATCTGTGGGGTATTTTGAGCTAAAACTTCACATACACACTCTGGGGACATCAGAGACTTATTTTGCATATTGTGAAAAGGGGCATTATACTATGGGATGATTTTAGTATCAAAATGATTAACACGTGCAAGCACACTTATCAATGAACTTGATACATGTTGCAGAAATGTTTTATCCATGCCTTTCAACTTGTGTGTGCAAAATTCAAAATTGAATGAATGTGAAGCAATTTGTACAAATAGAGACATTTTTGTGAATACAAATGTTTTCCTTTGTATTAGTGTATCATAATTTGCACATGCAACACAGAAGACGTGCATGTGTGGATCAGGTGACGCGCGTGCATTCATTGACTCGATTCATTGAGTCGATCCTATTTGATTCATTTGGATTTTGAGACTTTCATTTCGCGGGTTTCGCCTTGCACGATCCACACACAGCTGTCTGAGAAAAGCTGCTACCACTAGATGGCAGTATTCTGCTAAAACAGACAACGGCAGCATAATCAAGCGTTCTTCCGCATTTAAGACGCTTAATGAGAGAGAGTGATATTGAAGCACCAAATTTAGTACACAATAATATAGGCCTACCCTACTAATAAAGCATACTTTATAGAGGTAAACAGATAACATCAGATTATGAACAACACCCATAGAAAACCATTAGTTGCATGTTCAATTAGCCTACGGTATATTGGCAACTGAGTTTAAATATCACCGTCTTACTGCATTGACGTTAAGCTTTTTCTTTATAATATGCTCTATGGGAGGAAAACTATATAGCCTACAGACAAGAGACTACATGAACGCAATGTACGGCGTTTCAAGTTAATAACATTTCCTTCCCGAGCCAGTTAAAAAGAAAAAGCTTAACATGAAATAAAAATTCTGCAGTTGCGTTTAACTTTGCATGTGAATGGGAGAGCAACCGGTCCGAGAGTGCAGTGAAGTAAGTTTTAGGTTTGATATTCGCCTCATTTTATAAAGGGACCATCTGCAAACTCCACTCACAGTCAAAAAAATATAAACGTCCAGTCATTCATTCAAATGAACATATTTCCAAGGTTATATTATAACCTTGGAAGTCTAGTGGGCAGACTGACTTAGCCTACTGTTACTGTACTATGTCCAGCCAATATCTCGATTGAACAGTAGCCTACAATTTTTTAATTTACTGTAAATTGTTTTTCTATTCATGTTCCAAAGGTTGTAGTATGTTCCTAGTGACAAGTCAGGTGAAATTTTACATTATTCACTTGTAGTAAGTCACCAAAAACCCGTTTGGTTAATTACAGTAATTTTTAGTAGTAAGCCAGTCTAGTCACTGAACATACTACAACCATTTTGAACATGAAAAAACCCTTTTGGTGAATTACAGTATTTTTCTGCAAAATACTGGCAGACGTTCCCAGCTTGTGCATCATGAGCTGTGGTTAGCGCGTCAAAGCATTCTCATGTAGAAATATGCAGCTACAGGCCCGCTACGCCAGTTGATTTTCAATTAATATAATGTCGATATACAATGGTTGCATATTGTTAAAACTCATCGTGCTATAGTAAGACTATATAGCCTATGTCTTAAGGGTCAAGGGAAAACAAATGTACTGCGAAAATCGTCTTTAATATTTAAAAACAGACATTTTCAAATTCCTGCTTGTATACTATGTACACAATGTGTAGTCAGATAAAAATAAGCATATAATATGAACGCAACTGCGAAATTTCACCTTTTTTTTAACAGGAAGGAAAATTGTATTAACTTGAAACGCCGTGCGTTGCGTTCATGTAGTCTCTTGTCTGTAGGCTATATAGTTTTCCTCCCATAGAGCATATTATAAAGAAAAAGCTTAACGTCAATGCAGTAAGACGGTGATATTTAAACTCAGTTGCCAATATACCGTAGGCTAATTGAACATGCAACTAATGGTTTTCTATGGGTGTTGTTCATAATCTGATGTTATCTGTTTACCTCTATAAAGTATGCTTTATTAGTAGGGTAGGCCTATATTATTGTGTACTAAATTTGGTGCTTCAATATCACTCTCTCTCATTAAGCGTCTTAAATGCGGAAGAACGCTTGATTATGCTGCCGTTGTCTGTTTTAGCAGAATACTGCCATCTAGTGGTAGCAGCTTTTCTCAGACAGCTGTGTGTGGATCGTGCAAGGCGAAACCCGCGAAATGAAAGTCTCAAAATCCAAATGAATCAAATAGGATCGACTCAATGAATCGAGTCAATGAATGCACGCGCGTCACCTGATCCACACATGCACGTCTTCTGTGTTGCATGTGCAAATTATGATACACTAATACAAAGGAAAACATTTGTATTCACAAAAATGTCTCTATTTGTACAAATTGCTTCACATTCATTCAATTTTGAATTTTGCACACACAAGTTGAAAGGCATGGATAAAACATTTCTGCAACATGTATCAAGTTCATTGATAAGTGTGCTTGCACGTGTTAATCATTTTGATACTAAAATCATCCCATATTATACCACTCCTTTAATACATTTTTACATCTGTGCATAAGGGGAGACCAGGAAGTGTTGTAACACTGTCAGTTTGACAAGTCAGAAAGAGCTGTGGTTATGTCATCAATATCATACACTAGCATCACCCTTTTGAGCTCACGGGAGAAGTGGCATGTGACTGTGAGCAACATTGTACATTTTATGACCAAAAAAATCCTTTCTTTCCTTCAGGAAGGAAAGTTAAAAAAATTATCACGATTATTTTGTGCCCGGCAATCATTATACAGATATTTGACTTGCAAAGTAGCTATTTCTCTAGTCTAATTTGATGCTTTGCATTCATGCTGACTTCAAACCCACATGCCAAAACAGTTAGCCAAGTTATGACTGTTAGGGACAGTGGTAACGGTTCATTAAAAATGATACAACCAACCCTGTTAAGACAAAATCATGTGAGTTTTCAAAATCATGAGACTTTAAATTTAAAGTTCCCACAAAAGAAATACAATGTTTTTTGTTAGTTTTAAATTGTTTCACTTTATTAAAAACTGATTATTCTTTGTTCTTCAAAAACGTTCTTGCATAAATATAGTGTGGATCTCATTCCAGCCCTTTAGCTCTCATTGTTACAACTCACCCCAGGAGTCATTGTGTTTGACATTAACTCACATAATCTGTGATTTGGTTTGTACGTGTTCAAGTGTGTTTTATTTTTAGCAGACAAATGTGGCTACCATGTATCAAATCATGAGAGATATAGCACAAACAACCACTGAGTTACTGATGTGCCGGGAGCAGCAGCTCATTTGCATTTAAAGGGACACACACGAAATTACGCGTTTTTACGGATCCTCAAAAAGGAACAATTTTAACATGCTGTATACAAATATCTGTGGGGTATTTTGAGCCGAAACTTCACACACACACACACACACACACACACACACCTAACAGAGACAACAGAGACTTATTCTACATTTTATAAAAAGGGGCACCCCTTTAAAAAAATAACTAATTGATCGCACATTTTTCTGTATTAATCATGATTTATCGCACCTAACATTAAAGTTTTTAATATAGTTTTTATATAGTAATAATTTCACATTGAATCTCCAAATTAATGTAGAAACATGAAAAGATGCCATGATTAAACAAATATTTAAAATATACTGTCTTTATGAAAGAAGGCAAGTATCCCAGATACCAATAATCCTACTGATGTCTCTATGAAATTAAAATATTTCTCAATTTTAGCCATCAATTATAGCCGGTCAGCATTACTGTATAATTGAAAGCTATCAATTTTAACTTTATTTGGCTTTAAAAAATATAACAACTTTTAATTTAAGTGAACTTGGAACAATCTTTACATAAATCCATTATAATAAGTCACATTTCCCTGTACGCTTCATTATATCAGGGCTCAATTTTTTCTATTGGCCATGTCAGACCGGTTCAGATTTTTACTTACCCTGTCAAAATGCACAAAAAGTTATTGTTTTTTGACGAAAGTAACCTTGTAAACAGTGCTTTAAGATGTTCAGGTAGTTTATATACAGAAATTGAATATGTTATCAAACACTGCACAGTCTTCACGGCATAAATTATCAATTAAATATAGATTAATCCTTATTAAAGCTACAAAAGTTATTCAGTCAAGAGCAGTGAGTGATTTCCTCTTTGTCTTTTGTTCTTTGATTATTATTAATAACAGACAGATGGATTATTATTACAGGATTATTAGGCTACTGTCACTTTAAGATCAGACGCACATGACACGGATCTGACACGCATCACATTTTCTCACAACTCTTTACATTCATTTAAAGTCCCCCTGTGGTGAAAATCCAGCTTTTAATGTTGTTTATGTGTCTATGTGGTGTTTTTAATATGCTTTAAGGCAAACCATGTGTAAGTTCATGAGTCGACAGCATTGCTGAGTATTTTCTGCTTAAAACTGCAGTGAACCAAAGACAGTCTCAAAAACACGGTTTGAAATCGCTGGTGTTTCTGACGTCACAAACGACCTTGTAACCAATCAGATCAACGTGTGATCGTCAACCAGTGGATCTCTGAGCTGAGTGAGTGAGTGAGTGGAGGCGGGGCTCATTTGCATATTCATAGAACCGCGCATACTAAATGAGGCAAGGTGTCGAGTTACATTCTAGCTATTTTAAGCCATGAATAAATTGTTATTTTGGTGATCAAAGATGAGTTTTAAGTCAATAAAATTATTGACTACAGTGGGAATTTAAGAATTCATTTAACTTTTTTAAGACTGTTGAGGATACTCGACAAAACGCTGTCTGAAGAGGCTTTCTGTGTGCATGAGTGTGTGTGTGTGTGTGTGTCACAGGAGAATCGCCAGTAGTAATGCTCTGTGTTCTCTTGTGTCTTATCGCACGCGACTGGTTTAGAAGCGTTTGCAAAGGATGAATGAATAAAATGAATAAATGAATAAATGTAAGGATGACGGGGAAAAACAGATTCTGCGTTTATTGTGTTCAATATTTTTTTAAGCGTTAAACTGAAAAAATTAATAGCATGCGTTAACATGTTAATTTTGACAGCCTAGATAAATAATTTATAATGTTTTTTTATGGTATTGGTCTAAGTTCTGTATAATAACCCTGCTACTGTATATCCACATGACTTTCTTCTGTGGAACACAAAAGGAAATGACAAAACCTGGTGACACTTTACAATAAGGTCTCATGACAGATTTTTTTATTATTTTAATATGTTCCTTGAGGTGTACTTATAATTTTAATCAAAATCAGGAAAACGATTATTTTAAACCATCATTCTCTGTCTGAAAGTATCCCTTTTTTACGGCGCGGCTCCTTTAAGGCTTGTCACTAAACGACCACTGTTATGATTGGCTAACATCATTACATTGACTGAACGCCAGTGGGCGGGGCCTATGGTGCGATGATGTATAACTATTCGTCGATGTCTTGCTCTGGAGGCGGGAATATGCAAATGTGTTTGCCAGTGTGATGTCACTGATTCTGCAATATCCAAACAAGCTGTTTTTGGATTTAAAAAATGTGTGTAATAGATAATCTTCTCATATGTGAGAAATAAGAGTGTCATTCCCACAGTGTGACAGTTATTACATTTCACTGTATGTATTCCTGCAAATAATTGATTTTTTTTTTTTTTTTTGTCCCAACATTACAGTTCATCTAATTAAATCAGTTTTATGATTGTTGGTAAACCTCCGAAATCTTTTTTTTTTCAACACTGTAATAACACTGTAAATGAACACAACGCCCTCGTTAACCGTCTCCGTAAGCATGTGCCCAGATAATATTTTTGTCCCTTTCTTTCCGTCTCTCGTCTCTTCTGTGCTCATCCTGCTGTTCTCTCAGTCCGTCTGTAGAAGAGGAAAACGAAGAGGAACCATTGTTCCAGAGTCCCGTCACACACACACCCACACCGGCAGCGGCCGATGAAGAGGAGGAGGAGCTGGTGAGCACACACACTCACTCACACTCACTCACTCACTCACTCACTCACTCACTCACTCACTCACACTCATTCACTCACTCTCACACACTCACGCGCACACACACACACACACACACACTCCACATTCACCTGCTGACCTGCTGTTGCTCACTTTCACAAACTAATTATTTTATTGTGTGAACACACACACACACACTCACTCACACTTTCTCTCTCAGACACACACACTCACGCGCACACACTCCACACTCATCTGCTGTTGCTCACTCTCACAAACTAATTATTTTATTGTGTGAGCACACACACTCACTCACACACACACTCTCACTCATCTCTCACTCACTCACTAACACACACACACACACTCACTCACACACTCACTCGCACACAGACACACACACACACTCACTCTCTCACTCACTAACACACACACTCACACTCTCTCTCTCTCACACACACACTCTCACTCACGTGCACACATTCCACACTCACCTGGTGACCCGCTGTTGCTCACTCTCACAAACTAATTATTTTATTGTGTGAGCAGCACACACACTCACTCACACACACACTCACACACACTCACTCACTCTTCCTCACTCACTCACACACACTCTAACTCATCTCTCACTCACTAACACACACACTAACTCACTCACTCACTCACTCACACACTCACTCGCAGACTCTCACTCACACTCTCTCTCACACACACACACTCTCTCTCACACACACACTCACTCACTCCACACTCACCTGCTGACCCGCTGTTGCTCACTCACAAACTAATTATTTTATTGTGTGAGCACACTCACTCACACACTCACTCACACACACTCACTCACTCACACTCACACACACACACACACACACTCACTCACTAACACACACACTCTTACTCGCTCACTCACACACACTCACTAACACACGCTCGCTCTCACTCGCACACTCCACATTCACCTGCTGACCTTCTGTTGCTCACTCTCACAAACTAATTATTTTATTGTGATTTAACACTGAGAAATATTATATCTTTGTAGATAAGCCAATCATTCTGAAGTCATCTAGTGTTGACCGTTCCCCAGTGTATTACTCAGTTCAGTGTGTATGACTGCGGTTAGTGTGTGTGCTGTAGTGCTTCAGTGCTGCTCTCCAGACGGCCCACAAGCTATGAGTCCCACTGTAACCAACTCACGGCTCCCTTCTACCACAATATCACATGAAAGTCATCATAAATTAAATAAATCATAAATACAAAAAATGGTAACAAAAAGATTCTGTTTCTATAACTGAATATTACTTCAGTACTATAATTTTACAGTTATAATACCCAATATATCATACAATTACTTATCCAAAATTCAGTCATTTTCATTAAGTATTTTGTCAATATTTTACTACAATGTAAGTTGTTGCACCGGTTACACCGTTCAAAGGTTTACAGTATGTCCGGTTTTTTTTTTTTGAAAGAAATCGATAAAAACAGTAATATTGTGATATAGTATTCCAATTTAAAGGTACACTATGTAACCTCTAGTGGTTAAAAACAAAACTGCATGTATTTTGCAGATGAACATTGTTGTGGCTGTGCTTCAGCTCTGTGGCTGCGGATGAATATGATTCTCCTCCTGCTCATTAAACATTCACTAATATTCTTCAGAGATATAACCAGTTTAGATGGAAAGAGCCTCAAACTGACGAGCTGAAGACGTTACTGTAGCTTTACCCGTTTATACACGCCGTACTTCCTTTAAAATAAACTCCAGCACAACAACTATAATGAGATGATCTGAGATGATAGAGAGGTACATATGACACTTTATCTGTTCAATAAAGCACCTTACTCTCCTGTTGAGTTATAAAAACGTGTCGCTTTTACAACATTTCAAACCTCGCAGTTCTCCATCTCTGAAAAGCCAAGCCGATGTTGATTCTTGTTTTATTACGAGCTCTGTCTCGTTCTCTTTTCTCCAGCAGAGAAGAGTTTGGCGTTTGTTTAAAACAGGTGATTAGCAGCTCCACCATGTTAACTCAATATCATAGATATACACACTAGATGTCGCCTTGGCTACGGCAGTTCATTGGAACGAATGCGCCAATAGAGCCGCCATCTTGGAACAGGGAAGCCCCTCCTCTTTAATGCATCAGCGTCAATGTAGGCAAAGTCTAACGGAAATAAAATCACCATAAATCGTCATGAATGCGATTTTCTAGTTTTTTTTGGTTCGTTCCAATGGTCAGACATGTATTTATCATTGAGTCCAGAAAAAAAACAACAGAAAAACATTTTTCCTAGTTCAGATTTCGTTCGTGTGAACATCCATACGCTATGGAAGCTTGTTTCCGCCACTGAATGAAAAATAAAAAAGGTAATTGCGACTTTTTATCTCACAATTCTGACTTTTTTTCTCACAATTTTGAGATATAAAGTCAGAATTGCGAGATATAAAGTCAGAATTGCGAGATATAAAGTCAGAATTGCGAGATATAAAGTCAGAATTGCGAGATATAAAGTCAGAATTGCGAGATTAAAGTCAGAATTGCGAGATATAAAGTCAGAATTGATTGATATAAAGTCGCAATTGCGTGTTGTAAAGTCAGAATTGTGAGATATAAACTATTCTGAGGGGGAAAAAGTTTTCCCCCTTAGAATTGGCCTGATAACTCGCAATTGCGAGTTTATATCTCACAATTCTGAGAAAAGATGTCAGAATTTCGAGATATAAACTCGCAATTATGTGTTATAAAGTCAGAATTGCAAGATGTAAACTCGCAATTGTGAGAAAAAAAAAGTCAGAATTGTGAGATAAAAAGTCGCAATTCTGTCTTTTTTTCTCGCAATTGCGACTATTTCTCATAATTGCGACTTTATATCTCGCAATTGCGACTTTATTTCTCATAATTGCGACTTTATTTCTCGCAATTGCGACTTTATTTCTCATAATTGAGACTTTATTTCTGATAATTAGGACTTTATTTCTCATAATTGCGACTATATCTCGCAATTGCGACTTTATTTCTCATAATTGCGACTTTATATCTCGCAATTGCGACTTTATTTCTCACAATTCTGACTTCATATCTCGCAATTGTGAGATAAAAAGTCGCTATTATTATTATTTTTTTATTCAGTGGCGGAAACAAGCTTCCATAATATGCAGCACAAATATATATATCTATGACTTATATATCATAGTATATAAATGTATATATCTATGACTTAAGGTAACGACTAAGCTCTGCCACTCTCACACCAAAAGTTCTCTTTATTTACGGATATGACGAGACACGCAGACTCTGTTTGTTTAACCAATGATCGGCGTGGGGAGCATGACAACAGTGGAGGTTATTAGTCAGTAAATGCACACATTCAAACAATGTGTTTGTTCAGTAATTAATATGTGCACTGATTGTTATCTGTGAACAGAGTTTGAAAGGACGTCCCCCTCCCACGCCTCTGTTTGGTGATGAAAGTGAGGATGATGATGACCTGGACTGGCTGGGCTGATGGGACTCCTGAACACCAGTGTGTGAAGTCAGATGAGGTCCAGCAAAGAGGCCAAACGGACTCTGTGTGTGTGTGTGTGTGTGCCGGATCGCCGGGACTTTAATTTGTGGGTTTGGATGCTTCTAGAAGGATTTTGTGATCAAAGAACAGAGTAACTTCCTGTCCAAAAGCATTTGAATGAAGATCTTTATGGCGGTATGAACTGAGTGCTGCTTACAAAACTGATTTACTGCACATGCAGCAAAAAGAAAATCATCGTTAAATCTACAAATACTGTAAATCATAATTGTTTTGTTTTTTAAATCTTAATTTATGATTGTGTTTCCATCTTTAAAACGGAGCTTTCATGTTTATTTCTGATGACGTTATCTTGCTGTCTCTGTTCTTAATATTTATACATTGTACTAACAGCAACCGATTCCATATTAATAAAGAAAAGAGACTGTCACTGTTTCTTTAGCGTTTCACTGATTCGTTCATACATTAAGCCATATATAATAATAAACAATGTGAGACAGAAATTTGCCAGTCCATATACATTAATAATAGGTAAGTAGTGATACGAGTCCTCCATGTGTCTGTCAGTTACAGTAAGGAATGACAGTCCGTTGAATAATTAAATTAATGCACAATGTGTGCATTGTTTTAATAACTAAACACTCTAACTTCAGTTGTTCTGCCTTTTCTCACCTTTACCACAAATACACCTATATAATGTGTTCTTAAAACACAAGCACAATGCGTTTTTGCTAATTCCTCACAATTCAATACAACAATTTACATCAAAGATTTACACCAAAAAAACTCCCAAGTAAATTTAAAGGTTTTGCCCCAACAATTACTTCCTTCATTTCCTGATATGAAACTGTAAAACTGTTTGCAAATAAAACAAACATGGATGTAAAAGTAAATCAAACCCTTAGTTCACACACAAGTCATTCCACTGCACTACTTTTCCACTGTTGTTCTATATAGACATGCGAAGAGATGGCCACGAATGACACGCAAACATGATGTTCAGGTTAAAAGTTGCTGAACTTTGTTTTTATAACATCTCTAGACACATGCCAGAGGAGTGGGAATAAAAGGCAAGGTGTAGTGTTTCTAAATGCAAAAATGTTAGTCTTTTTCAGGATCCTGCGCACGACGCATCATAAAACGCAGCGCTAGACTAAAAGTAGTTCGATGTTTCAAAGTACACCATGTGACTTCTGTGGAAGAACATTGTTTTGTTTGTGCTTCGGCTCTGATGAATATTGCCCTTCAACTGTTACATATTAAATGTATCTGTACAATAAAACACGCCATTATCTCTTTTATAACATTTCAAATCCCTCAATTCTCTCCGTCTCTGAAAAGCCAAGCTAATGTTGATTCTTGGCACGGGCGAGTGACGCATGTACGCAATTTCCCTGAAAAACCTAGCCTGGGAAAACCCAGACAACTTCCGGCAAATTTAGATTTGCTCTGAAAGTTAGTCTGGCAAAGAGCTCATTCAAGCTCATTTCCAATCCGCCGAAATCGCGGCACCAATCAGAAGCGTCGGGGCGGGCTTTACTCGATGACGACAGCGCTGGGATTTTGAAGCAGATTTTGTAGCCGACATTACAAAGATGGATGCCGCCGTCGAACATCACTCGTTCCAATCAGCTATCGCGTCTGTTTTAAGCCATTTGAACGTTTCCTTTTAGTTAAAAACCGAGCAAAGAACAACACTCGGAGACGTTTCTCCGCCGCTCTGCATACGTCATCTCCTTTATCGCTCTGATTGGGTTTAGGTCTATCCGCGACGTCCGTTGGTGACGCCCCTCTGGAAATGATTTGTCTATGACGCTTTGCCAGACCATAACTCATTTACAACTGAGAATGCTCTGGTTTTAACCAGGCTATGAAAAACCATCCTGTCCAGTCTAAAACACACTTATTATGCTTATGTTTATCAGTGAATCAGGGTAACACAAAAAACATATTTTGGAAGAAGGCTTGATGATGTATTGTCAGTTAAATGTTAATCTTGAACAAAAAAAAAGTTGACATTTGGTCAAACTTTACAATAAGGTTCATTAGTTAACTACATTAGTTAGCATGAACTGCACTTATACAGCATTTATTAGTCTTTGTAAATGTTAATTTCAACATTTACTAATACTTTATTGTGAACTAACATGAACAAACAATGAATGACTGTATTTTTATTAACTAACGTAGCAAATACAGTAACAAATGTGTTGCTAATGTACTTAATACATTAACTAATGTTAACTAATGAACCTTATTGTAAAGTGTTACCTGACGTTTAAACCAAATGCATTGAGTGTGAATCACGCGTCGGACCGTTGCGCTCACGTCTCGCATCTTTTGCAGTGTCTCACACACAAGCTGCATTTTTAGGATGCCATGTCATGTTAAAAGTAGTTCAACTTGCTATACCTTGCACTTTTTAAATGCAAAAATGCATTCAGTGTCTTTTACAGCATCTCACACATGACAACGTTCTAAAAGCTCACGTTAAAACTAGTTTGACTTTTTAAAAACCCTGTCTATAGTTTATATAATTTTCATTCCACTGGCCTGCGTCTTGCATTTTGAAACGCGATCTGTGTGAACGGCCCCTCAAAACGTCTGTGAACCAATCAGAAGCAAGAATTCAACATCATCATCATGGATTACAGTAATTACTGCTATAAAAAAAAAAGTCATTTTAAGAAAATTTTTCATAACAAAAACTGAGACTGCTGCATTCATGACGTGTTCTGTCTGAAGCGGTTCTCAAAGAAACTCAGTAGTTTAAAAAACCCTTTGCTTTAATGTCGTTTCAACAGATGAGTTATGTTAGTGTGTGTGATCAGAGCATAAATAACCACGAAACATTAGCTTACTGCTCGCTAGATCATTAGGACAGCGCAAACGGAGAGTCCCGTGGAGGTGTTCGTGTTCCTGAGTCATAAAAGTCGCCGCTTCAGTCAGTGCGCTCGAATTATCCCAAAAGTGCTGCTTGTAGGCAAGTGTCTGTCTCTTCAAGAAATCCCACCACCACTGAAAGCTGTGAAAACATGAGGAATAAGCTTCACGGCCGCGGCGTGCGAAGGGGTCACCGGAGGTCAAGCATCGAGACGGTGCCCTCTGTGATTATAATGTGGCTGCCACCCTGAGGGGAACAACATGCGTGTTAATGAAGGGCGTTTCCGAACGCATGCAGATGGACTGAAGGTGAAGGTTGATGTCACTACCGTAAAAAGAGGAGGTTCTTTGGGATGAGGATGAAAGCCTTTCTGAGTGCAGGTCGAGATCTCCTCCAGGCCATAGTCGGTCAGTCTGAAGTAGCCGGTCCTGTGAACACCACAACATCAGGCTGAGAGACAATGCAGTCGCGCTCACTGACAGTAGACAGTGTTTATAAAAAAGCACAAATACAATATATAGGGTATGATTTCATCCCTAGATTTAGCAGTAAACAGCGCTGCACACACGCAGACAGTATTTACATGTTTTCAAACAGTCGTTCAGATTTGTTTTATTCGCTGTGATGTTTATCTAGCCAATAGGGTGACCAGTCCCGAAATTCGAAGCTTTGTCCCGCAAGTCATAAGCAGTGTCCCACATTTGAATCTTGTCTGCATAATTTATTTCATCATCCTTTAAATTAAAAATTCTACAATAAAAAAAAATGTTAATAAGAAAACACTGAACATGCGCGGCGCAGCCATTATTATTGGTTCTAACCAGAGCGGGAAAACAAACACTGAGAAAAAACACACACACACACACACACACACACAAACGAGAAAAAAAAAAACCCGGAAAAGACGGCAACAGAAAAATTGATCTATCCGGAGCTCCCGAGAAGAAAAAGCGTCTTTGTTCGTATAATAAGGAATGGGAGAAAAAATATACATGGTTAAAACCAGTTACAGGTGACCCTAAAAAAGGAGATTGCAGTGTATGCTACCGAAGCTGCCAGATCAGACAAAAAATATAAATTCAAGATGCACTCAATCCGGTAAGAACGCATTTAATCTTTACTCTTTCCTAAAGGAATTTATGTATTTAGAAATTTTGTTTTTAGCGATTGGATTATTATTGTCACTTAATTATTTAGATTGAATGATAGACCCGTGCTGTTAAAATTTGTTTTATATTATTAGTGACGTTCACAGCGCCGGTCAGCGTCATAATATTAGCAATTTAAAGCATGTTAGTGCAAAAAGACATCTAATATAAAATCAATATTTATTAATAATAGTAGGCTAAGTTCTCTCCCTCGTGTCCCGCAAAATCAGGTCTGCTGACCTGCAACAGAGCAATAACCAGGTGGTCACCCTACTAGCCAATAGAGGATATGTGTGTGATGTCACCGTCAGCTGGTTACACACACTGAGCGGCAGAAACACTGAGCAGCAGCCCGCTGAAAACATAAAACGGGAAATAGCTTTGAGATTGACTGTATAAATAGATTTGACAAGAAATCTGAGGTGTATTTTTACAGACTGCCGAAAGCTACAGAACAGAGAAGCAAATGATCGCTGCGATTCACAGAAACAACTGGATCCAGACAGAGAAAGGCGGATTTGCAGTTATTTTGTGTCAATATGCTGGATTTAAAGGTAAAATCATACCCTATATATTGTATTGTTATATATTGTATTGACAACTCATCAATTAAATATTTACCATTGTATATTCTGCATAATTGGACGTTTTTAAATAAACACTGACAAAAATACAAGTTTTAGCGCTGGACGATATGATGATGTATATAACATTGATGTCAGTGATCACACGGATTTAGACCTATATTGTGTTTATATAAAGCGTTCAGGGGCAAATTTGCTTTATGTATTTCCCCGATGTTGAAATCAGGCACATATAAATGTCAGGAAACACGATTCCTGGCGGCATGTCAATATCCGTGGATCACTGGGTCTTTGGTAAGTTGTAAGGAACACTATATCAAGCTTTAGTTTAAACTGATAATCGTTTGTTTTACTCGTGGTTTCCTCTATTAAACCCAGTCACTCAGCAGCTCTTCTGCCACTCAGTCCGGCTGAGGGAGTGTGTTCCTGTGGGAAAGTGACCTCAATGCATACCCTCTATTAAATGAAATCACACTTTTAAAATTCCAGGTTTTCAAAGACCGCGGGAACCCTGGTTCATAAATAAAGAACCACAGTTATTTTTGAGAAAAGCCTCTATAAAATGAAATCACACTTTTAAAATTCTCTCACATATCCAGGTTTTCAAAGACCGCGGGATAAATAGAACCACAGTTATTTCGGAGAAAAGGCTGATATTGTGTATCTAATGCAGTGACATTCAGAGACTTTGAGGTGTGACTTCGGGGCCACTTCACTTACTGGTTGAATTTGGGCGAGCAGACGATGGCGATGGACTCGGGCAGCATCATCTGGTACGAGCAGTGTGTGTGCAGATCAACGCTGGACAGGAATGCGGTCTGAGTCGGGTGTGTCTGTGGAGCAGAGCTGATCGGTCACACATCTGATCTGAGAACTGTATGCCTCTGATGGACATATGGGGAAATAATCACGGAAAGATGATTACTTGCTCTTTCAGCTCAACAATAGGGAGGGGGGGGGGATTCAAACTCAATTTATAACATTACATGCTATGCTTGATATCAGTTATATATATTTTTTTTTTTCCATATATTTCTTATAAGTGCAATATTTAAAAACTGATTACAAATTGATTATTTTTGTAATATTTCTGTTGTATGTAACATTGTTTGTGTTGTGTATAATCCGACCTAATTTGGTTATACATGTTTCTAATGAGAATAAAGGTGCTGTATAAGTGGAGGAGGCGGAGCTGAGACTGACGTGTATCCAGCCCAGGGTGATGAGGTTGTGCTGGTCCTGCACCAGAAACAGCTCCTCTTCATTCTCCGTGTCACAGTAATCTGGACCGCCACACTGCTTCGGCACGATCACATGCGTCACTGTGAACGCGTTCATATTCTGCAACAGGCACACACACACACACACACGCTCTTAATACATTGTACTGGTAAAGCCTATCCAAGAATGCATGATATACTATACAAACAAAAGTATTGGGAAGAGATACTCCTCCCAAAAATGTAAATTCTCTCATTTTTTACTGCCCCAGATGTATATGACTTTCTTTCTTCAGATGAACATGTGTGTGTGCGTGAGTGTGTGCATGAACGAGTGCGTGAGCGAGTGAGTGAGTGTATGTGTGCGTGAGTGTGTGTGTGCATGAACGAGTGAGTGAGTGTGTGCGTGAGTGTATGCATGAACGAGTGAGTGAGTGTGTGCGTGAGTGTATGCATGAACGAGTGCGTGAGCGAGTGAGTGAGTGAGTGAGTGTGTGTGAGTGAGTGTGTGCGTGAACGAGTGCATAAGCGAGTGAGTGAGTGAGTGTGTGCGTGAGCGAGTGAGTGCGTGAGTGAGCGAGTGTGTGCGTGAGCGAGTGTGCATGAACGAGTGCGTGAACGAGTGAGCAAGTGTGTGAGTGTGTGCATGAGTGAGCGAGTGTGAGTGAGCGAGTGTGTGTGTGCGTGAGCGAGTGAGTGCGTGAGTGAGTGAGTGCATGAACGAGTGCGCGAGTGAGTGAGCGAGTGTGTGTGTGAGTGAGTGAGCGTGTGCGTGAGCGAGTGTGTGAGTGCGTGAGTAATTGTGTGAGAGAGTGAGTGTGTATGAGTGAGTGAGTAAGTGTGTGAGAGAATGAGTGGGTAAGTGTGTGAGAGTGAGTGAGTGTGTATGAGTGAGTGGGTAAGTGTGTGAGAGAGTGAGTGTGTGAGAGAGTGAGTGTGTATGAGTGAGTGAGTAAGTGTGTGAGAGAGTGAGTGAGTAAGTGAGTAAGTGTGTGAGAGAGTGAGTGTGTATGAGTGAGTGAGTAAGTGTGTGAGAGAGTGAGTGAGTGTGTATGAGTGAGTGGGTAAGTGTGTGAGAGAGTGAGTGTGTATGAGTGAGTGAGTAAGTGCGTGAGTAAGTGTGTGAGAGAGTGAGTGAGTAAGTGTGTGAGAGAGTGAGTGAGTAAGTGTGTGAGAGAGTGAGTGAGTGTGTATGAGTGAGTGGGTAAGTGTGTGAGAGAGTGAGTGTGTATGAGTGAGTGAGTAAGTGTGTGAGAGAGTGAGTGAGTAAGTGTGTGAGAGAGTGAGTGAGTGTGTATGAGTGAGTGAGTAAGTGTGTGAGAGAGTGAGTGTGTATGAGTGAGTGGGTAAGTGTGTGAGAGTGAGTGAGTGTGTATGAGTGAGTGAGTAAGTGTGTGAGAGAGTGAGTGTGTATGAGTGAGTGGGTAAGTGTGTAAGAGTGAGTGAGTGTGTATGAGTGAGTGAGTAAGTGTGTGAGAGAGTGAGTGAGTGTGTATGAGTGTGAGTAAGTGTGTGAGAGAGTGAGTGTGTATGACTGTGAGTGAGTAAGTGTGTGAGAGAGTGAGTGAGTAAGTGTGTGAGAGAGTGAGTGAGTAAGTGTGTGAGAGAGTGAGTGTGTATGAGTGAGTGGGTAAGTGTGTGAGAGTGAGTGAGTGTGTATGAGTGAGTGAGTAAGTGTGTGAGAGAGTGAGTGAGTAAGTGTGTGAGTAAGTGTGTGAGAGAGTGAGTGAGTAAGTGTGTGAGAGAGTGAGTGAGTAAGTGTGTGAGAGTGAGTGAGTAAGTGTGTGAGAGAGTGAGTGAGTAAGTGTGTGAGAGAGTGAGTAAGTGTGTGAGAGAGTGAGTGAGTAAGTGTGTGAGAGAGTGAGTGAGTAAGTGTGTGAGAGAGTGAGTGAGTAAGTGTGTGAGAGTGTGAGTGAGTAAGTGTGTGAGAGTGAGTGAGTGTGTATGAGTGAGTGGGTAAGTGTGTGAGAGAGTGAGTGTGTATGAGTGAGTGGGTAAGTGTGTGAGAGAGTGAGTGAGTGTGTATGAGTGAGTGAGTGGGTAAGTGTGTGAGTGTAAGTGTGTGTGTGTGAGAGAGAGAGATAAATACAATTTGTAACTTACAACAATAAACCATCGCTTCAGTCATGAGTTCACGCTTGAGGTAAATGTCAGCACATTGTGAAACTCATGCGAGAAGTGCTTCCACATCACTTCCTCCATTTCACAACACGCTTATGTCATGAATACTCAAACACGCTGATGTTTATGTCAAGTGTTATTTTCCTAAAGTGTTGCATCAAGGATTACTGTCGTGTTCGTTTTGTGTGGTTTTTGAAGTGTCAAATCTGGGGGTCCGGTACACTGGCATTAAATGGACTCGCAGCAATGGATTATTTTTCTAAAAATCTCTCCGTTCCACACAAGAAAGAAAGTCATTTACATCTGGGACCGCATGATGAGGGAAATTATGAAGTATACCTTTAACAGCCATCCATTCGAATTAAAATTTGTTGAAAACATCAAATTATCCCAAATAATCTGCAGCGTTCATAAAATTGTCAAATAATACAGGCAAAATGTAGGTGATGTTAAAGTATGAAATCCTACAGAAGGACCGTCATACCAGTCTCCCACAGAGTATCCCACAGGTTTCCACGGCTCTTATGGTGTTGCTATTGGCTATTCGCAGGAATTTGCCACAGAGTTCAGCAGGAACAGCAATCTGGCGTAAACCATCAACCATTGTAGCTGAAACACAAAGAGAAACACTGTCACAACTAGAGATGCGCCGATATGAACATTTTGGCAGATAAATCTTTACATTTGAAAGCCGATAACCGATATATTGGCCGATAAATATAAATCCAAATTTTTATCTAATTTTTGAGAGCCTGGTTACAAAACCAAAAATCTCACCTATAAAAGCCACGTCCCAAACACACAATTATAACATTCTCATGATAATTTTATGTAGCCGATATTTGTGCTGCACATGTTGCACTGAACTGTATTGTCCTTTTTTAAGTGATTCCAATCATATTTCAAGCAAATCAAAACCATCATGGCGAACAGTGCTCATTTGAAAGACAAAATCTATTATTTTTCGGCTTCAATATATCGGCTAAATTTCTTATCAGGCTGATAACGATAACAGTAAAAGTGAACATATATGGGCCGATACTGATATGGTGGCTGATATATCGTCACAACAGAAACAGAAACTATAAACATAACTATAATATTATAAATGAACATATATGGGCCGATTCCGATATGGTGGCCGATATATCGTCACAACAGAAACAGAAACTATAAACATAACGATAACATTATAAATGAACATATATCGGCCGATACCGATTTGGTGGCCGATATATGGTCACAACAGAACTATAAACATAACGATAACATTATAAATGAACATATATCGGCCGATACCGATATGGTGGGCGAAATATCGTCTCAACAGAAACTATAAACATAACGATAATATTATAAATGAACATATATCGGCCGATACCGATATGGTGGCCGATACCGATATTGTGGCCGATATATCGTCACAACAGAAACAGAAACTATAAACATAACTATAATATTATAAACGAACATATATCGGCCGATACCGATATGGTGGGCGAAATATCGTCTCAACAGAAACAGAAACTATAAACATAACTATAACATTATAAATGAAGCAGCCTGATTCTGGTGTGGCGATATATCGGCCACCGTATCGGTATCGGCCGATATATCGCCACATCAGAATCAGGCTGCTTCATGTGTAGTGAGGTTTGAGAGCGAGCCGTACTGTTGCTGCTGAGGTGACCCGGTTTCAGCGAGCGGTCAAAGGTCGGGGGGGCCGGCGGAGCGCTGTGATTGGCCAGCGGGCTCTGAGGGGGGGTGGGGGACTCTAGATAGGGCAGCGGTGGACCCTGGATCCCGGGGATGAGCAGCGTGTCCTCCTGCTGGGACGCCGGAGAGCTGATCTGGTGCCCGTGTTCTGGACGCTCCTTCTGTCGGATCATGTCCTCGAACATGCTGAACTGCTCCTGCTCTCGCTGTCTCCTCTGCATGTCCAGCACACGCTGCCTCTCCGACTCCAGCTCTCGCTGACGGGATAACTCACGCTCCAGCGCTTCTGCTTCCGCACGCTAGTGGACGACAACACGACTCGTGAGGTTAAACACACGTGCATCTAGGGCTGGGTGTCGTTTCAATTTGTTTTACATTTATACTTTTTCATTGCACATTTTATTTTAGTTCAAGAGTTTCTTTAACACTTTTTTTTTATCTTTATATATGACAAAATTGAAGATGGACAGTCCTGTTGTGCATCTAGGGTTGGGTAGCCTTTGAATTTTAGGTGACACTTTACAATAAGGTTCATTAGTTAACATTAACTAAGAATGAACAATACTTCTTCAGCATTTGTTAATCTTTGTTAATGTTAATTTCAACATTTACTTTGTTCAAATCTTGTTAACATTAGTTAATGCACTGTGAACTAACAATGAACAGCTGGATTTGTATTAACAAACATTAACAAAGATTAACAAATACAGTCACAAATGTTTTGCTCATGGTTAGTTCATGTTAGTTAATACATTAACTAATGTTTAATAAATTAACCTTATTGTAAAGTGTTACCGAATTTGAATGATTCTGATTTCAATTACTGATTTTCTTATTGTCACATGATCCTTCAGAAATCATTCTAAAATGATGATTAAAACTCAATTATTATTGGTGCTCAATTATTTATAACGGTTCCTATTGTTTAATAGTAACAATATAATCAATTTCACCTGTCAGTGGTTTTAATGTATGTGTATATAATATATCCATGTGGAATTATGGAAACTGGAAATTAAGTAAATAAATGTCTGGATGAATTATGACAAAGAGATTTCACGTAAATAATGTGACAATGCACAAAAATAATAATGGGCCTAAAGTTCGATCATGCAAAATATAACATTTGATTTCTTTCTTTTGGTTCTGAAGGTAAAATATAACTTATTCTTGACAGGTTTAAAAAAATTCCCTTTTGTTCCATGATAATGTTGACCAGCGTCAGGACAATGTGCCTCACCTTTTTGCTGATGTACTCCGCATATTCTCTCTCATATCTTCTCAGTAAATGTTTCTTCAGCAGCTCTGCTTGAGGGAAAGCCGTCTCCTTTAGCTTCTGTGTGAGGAGCCACAGCAAAACTAAGACCACTAACAAGATATGATGAGATTTTTGATCAAAACAATCATTTTCCATCTAGACTTCACAAGACTACGTTACCCGTAACATCTCCTTCTTCTCAGCAATATTAGACAGCTTATATTCTGGATGCTTAGGAAGCTTTTCAATAAAAAGCCTGCCGGGTTAAAAAGAACAGGAGTTAAACCTGTTGCAATTAAACTGAAATATTACCAATATTACTCACGCTCCCATTCCAGTTAAAGGGACACTCCACCCAGAAGTGAAAATCCCGTCATCATTTACTCACACTCATGACTTTCTTCTGCGGGGAACAGAAACATTGGGAACCAAACCACATTGACTTTCACTGTTACAGGGTTCGTACAGACACTGTAAAATCAAATTCCAGGACTTTTCAAGAACTACTTTTTTTATTTTTATTTTTTTAAGGACTACAATCAGAGATCTCATTTATCAAACAATATCTTTATTATCTTTTAAATTCTAAAGAAGGTAAATAGATCAATAAAAATAAACTAATAAAACAAAATGGTACAAATAAAGTGCAGCAGATGCAATAACTGGTAACTTTAACCATTGAAAGGATACTATAACAAAGATATCGCTTTCCTTATTCAAACTGAATATTTGCTCATGAATCGACTTGAGAATAAAAGCTGTATCATATACTTGGATATTTATATGAGCAATATCACGCTCACAGCCATGCAAAACGCCTCTTTATCTCTATCAGACGGACTGCGGCTTTAATATTGCGCGAAAAGATTGTTTTATCAATACAATTTAAATAAATTAATCCCATAAATTGAATTTCAATAATTCAAGCACTTTTCAAGTAATTCTTCATAAAAATGGCTGTTTTCAAGGACTTAAATTTCGAGGACTTCAAGTAGTTTAAACAACTTGTATGAACCTTGTTGTAAGGACCAAACAAACAAACACTGAGACATTCTCAAAACCTCCACAGAAGAAAGAAAGTTTGGAACGAGTAAATGATGACATGAACTTTCACTTTCGGGTGGAGTATCCCCCTAAAACAGCGTCCGGTTCAGAGGTCTTCTTTCTCACGTGATGTATTTGTTGTAGAGGACGAAGGCGTGCTCTGTGTTGCCCTCCTCGTCGTACACGTGTGCCATGCGGATCATCTCCATGCCCGAGCGGAAGTATCTGCGGACCGGCACTGCTTCGTTCATGTCCACCGAGCTGCCCTTCTTCGTCAAGGCCCGCACTCGCTCCTCTGGGGTGAAACTCACGTCAGCGTGGTCCAACATCATGTCCCCAATCTACGCCTTCAACCCTGTGAGGAAACATCACAGACAAAACACGATTTCTGAATGAAATATATGTGTTTATTATCACCCCAGCCACATAAACACTGTATTCAGCATCTTAAAGTGACAGTTCACTTAAAACTGGAAATTCTGTCATCATTTACTCACCCTCATGTTGTTCCAAACCTGTATGAGTGTCTTTCTTCTGCTCAACACAAATAATGATATTTTAAGGAATGTTGGAAGTCAAAACAGTTGACGGTAGCCATTGACTTCCATAGTAGGAAAACTATCCAACTATATTCTTCAAATATCTTCTTTTGTGTTCAGCAGAAGAAAGAAACTCATCCAGGTTTTGAACAACATGAGGGTGAGTAAATGATGACAGTATTTTCATTTTTGGGTGAACTATGAATGTCAGATGCATTTACATATAACGTTAGAAGTCTTAAAGGTACAGTAGCAAAACAACGAGAAGTAGTACAGTCATGTGAATTAAATGTTTTAGTGCAAGAAACATTTACTAGCATAAAGGCCCGTTCACAAGAACAACTAAAGATAACTATATTAGCGTCCAAATCAGCGGACAATATCGTACTGTTTATTCTAAGCGCGTGCTTGTCTGTCTCTTTAAACGCTCGAGCTCGTTACAGCAGGATGGATTCTGATTGGTTGTCAATATTTTTTCTCGTTTTTTCGCTGGATGAAAAAGTTATGAAAGTGATTCCAAGTTAACATGTCGTTTCTCTGTGCTTTTATCGTTATAGCTGTGGTGTGAACTCTGCTATTCTTTAATATTGAGAACGATATCTATATCTTATTATCTTTATCATCCTCGGTGTGAACGGGCCTTTATACGTTGACCAATAAAAACCCAGGTGTTAAAATATGTGTACATTCTAGAGAGGATAATAAACTACTGAGTGAGTAGTTAACTATTAACGTTACTGTGCTGCTGACAGAATGGATCAAATAAAGATGTGAAATAAAGTGTTAAACAGGTGATATTTCCCATTCAAACACTCACATTGCATAGTTTTGCGTCATATATAAAATATCCAACCCCTAAAAACGCCTTCATTCTATGTGTGGTTTGTTATTATGGTGTAATATGAATATGTGCAGCAATAAACTTAGATAGCTAACGTTAGATTTAACGCTTTAAAAAGCCTTACCCTGGTAAGAATGACAGTCAGATCACCTTCACACTAGCTGGGGAAACCCGTCCATCGCCTTCATCTGTATTTCATGAGGATAAAAGAGCGTTAAAGTAGTTTCTGTGGCTCTGTGTCCATCCTTGATCTCAAACACTCCCTCACTTCCTCTTCCTGTGTGTGTAAAGCTGATCTCAGATCAGTGTTGTCTCCCTCCACAGGCTCGGGAAGGTTTTCATGCTCGCTGACTGATCGATCATATCAGGGTGTGTCAGTTAATCTGTGACTGACTGATAAACTGTTCTTACTAAACCAGGAAGCATTCGTATATAAATCATTTATAGGATATTACAATCATTATTATTATTATTTATACTGTTTTTATTCTCATTGGTGCTGTTGTTGTTGTTATAATAATAATAATAATAATAATAATGTTACAAATAATGTTGTATTAAACGAAAGAGAATATAAAATAGAGGCATTTTGATAGCGATATTTTGATATTTGTTATAGCGTAAACATTTTGTTTAAATTACTTTTGATATTTCTTATTTAAATATTTTTTAAAGTTTCATTAATGTTAAATACTAAATAAACTATTGTATTAAAAAATTAGTTGATAATAATTGAACAACAGATTGTTGTGACCCTAGTAAAAGAGATTAATCTGAAAGGTAAAATGTTATTCTATGACTTATATACAGGCATATGAATATTTTTAATTGAAGATATGTCATAATAGCAACACTATGAATGCAAATTTAATGATTGCACTCAACTAACCTTTAGGTTTTAATCAAAGATGTCTGAAATGTATATCTTATTCATGGAAATACAGAATAATAACCCCATTAATTACAATAATTATTACTGTGCCAATTCTGGTGGACCATCTTACCCCAGTGGTTTTATTTTATCTTTTTACTTCTAAATAAAAACTGTAACTGTTACTCCACAAATCCAAAATATTGATCTGTCCACAAATCCCTCATTAACAAATATACCTTGCTATTCAACATAATTCAGTCATAGATCACTATTTTCTTAGGGACAAAAAATTGCAAACAAACCTCTTTCGACTGACTACATCTCACAAATGTTGATATTCAGATGAAATGACAAAATGTAAAAAAAAAATTGCGTAGCCATTCTGAGTAAATTATGACAGAAATTTAATTTTTGGGTGAACTGTCCCTTTTAATGCAACAAAAATCATTCATGTAGTCCCAACACAAATAAATTGAGTAAACTTCAATTTCACATGTATTTAAGTGGATTGAACACAGTGAAATTAAGTTAGGATAAAATGTAGCCTATTGAAATTGTGTTGGTTTAGCTCATTTTAAATATTAAAATAACATTTTAATAAGCGATTTTTTTTCTCAGTGTAGTTTTTAATTATATTTATTTAAGTTAAACTCAGAAAATATGGAAAAACTAGCTGAAATAGAAAGGTTTTTTTTCAGTAAATGTTTATTTCAACCAATGTTTTTTTTTTTTTCAAGTTTTAGTTTTTGTTAACAATAACCCTATATTCAGGTGACAAAGACGACTCAGAGGGGGGGGGGGGGGGGGAATCAAACCTTTATTCAATTTTCTTTTCAGTGTAGAAAGAATATCACTTGTGTAAAGGTTGCAATAGTGGTAAAAGACAGACCACAGTAAACAGGCAAGTTACACCCCATCACATTCGATACCCACATAAGAATTCAAAATAGCTCCTTCATTTCAAGAAAAATGGTTGTGCAAAGCCACTGGTTAAACGTCAAATCACAGGCTCCACAGAGAACACAGCGGGCATCACAGTAGGCACAGCGAGAGTGTGATAGCTTATAACATGGCACCCGATAACATATCCATTTCCCGTTTTTAGGATCAAGAGGTGTATGCGTACGTACGTATCTGTCCTTTTGCTACTCGTTTCTGGGCATTGTCTGGATTTGGCACAAGAATCTCGTCAGTGACTCGCTCCATGAATCAAGCACGGGTTATTACACACCAAAAAACATCTTTAAATGAATCAGTGGCTGCTGAAAAGAACAATAAATCAATGGTTTCTTCATCAGCTGAGTGGTGGGTTTACTCCAGGACAGGACGGTTTGTTTGAACACCAAAGTGAAAAGTGCAAGTTGTCAGAATCGGGGCTGAAGTATTTAAAAGGGTCGTTTTGAGACTTTTTGGAGTCTTTTTTTGCTTTAAAACATAAATTAGTGTACTTTTTTTTTGCTAAAGAAAATGTAATGTTTAACAGAAAATATAAAACACATCTCTGACACATAAACATAATATATAAATATATATTTTTTTGCTAAGCAACGATTAATCACTATTAATTACATCCAAATTAAACGTTTGAGTTTACATAATATGTGTGTGATGTATGTATATATAAATACTAACATATGCATGTATATATTTAAGAAACATTTGCATGTATATATACTACTTATACATCATTTATATTATATATATATGAATATTTCATATATAAATAACACATTTTTCTTAAATATATACATGCATGTGTGTGTATTCATTTATACAGAGTGATTATACACAGTACACACACATATATTATGTAAACACAAACTTTTATTTAGGATGCGATTAATCGTTCGATAAATTTGTTGTGGGACCAGTGAAAAGAGCAAGTGTGAATCTGAACTGAAAATATCCTTATTGTTGAGCCGTGCGAAGATGATTCATCATTCTTAGTGTGCAGAATATCTGTAACGCATATTAATAACTCCTTTACTAATGTACACCGACAGAAAGTGCAATTCACACGCCCTAGAAATGTGTGATCAGCTTCAAGAACTCGTACAGCACAATTCTGATTAAAAAAATCAATCATTCCCAGTTACCCATAAAACATCAACAACCAACACACTCTCAAAAATATACATACAGTTTCCTTCTGTATTACACAACTCGCCCAGCAATAAATCGAGAAAAGAAAAAACAAACAAGGAAACTCAACCAAAAAGGCTCGGGAATTAAATAGAAAGAGAGGTCACAGATTGAACCAACATCTACAGTATGTACCGGTATAATGGATTTGATTTATGTATTTGTAACAGTAAATGAATGAAGATCAGTTATCATAGCTCTGTGTTTCCAACATACCTGACATGCTATGAGCGGATGAAGACGAGTCACGTCTAGATGAGTCAGTGAGGATCTGCTGTACAGCGTTCATGAGCGTTAATATACGCCGCATTATTAATAATTCAAGTTTCAAGATCACAGTTCAAATATTTCGATTCATCCCCTGCTGACTCGTCTGACTGGACTTTCTCACTGGAAAACAGAATAAAAAACAAACAAAATTTCATTTTTCAATTGAAGAAAATGTACAATTTACAATGAGGTAAAAAATAAAAATCTACATTACAGGTGTAACTCGAAAAATGAGAATATCGTGCAAAAGTTCAGTAATTCAACCTAAAAGGTGAAACTAATATATTATATAGACTCATTACATGCAAAGTGAGATATTTCAAGCCTTTATTTGTTATCATTTTGATGATTATGGCTTACAGATTATGAAAACCCCAAATTCAAAATTAGAATATTGTGAAAAGGTTGTCATATCTGTAAGCCATAATCATCCAAAATTATAACAAATAAAGGCTTGAAATATCTCACTTTGCATGTAATGAGTCTATATAATATATTAGTTTCACCTTTACTTTTGCACGATATTCTCATTTTTCGAGTTACACCTGTAATAGTTACTTTTTTAGACAGTTTTATTTGATTGACTCTGATCAGTCACATAAGCATAATCAGACTGTTGTTGTTATGATTTCATTTGAACCATATAATATGTTGCCGTTCTTAATTAGGTAACATTATGCGTTTTATATACGTGCCATAGCCGAGTTAAACATGCATTCGGGTTAAATGAAAAACAAGAGCATCCATGATAAAGATAAGGAAAAATTGTTTTAAAATGTAGTTTACAACACATACTAAACTTAAGATTTTTTTTTTTTCATTTTCAAAAAAAAAAATTATATTTAAAATTCTCAAAAAAACAAAACAAAAAGGTCTCCATAAATGTCCACTCCGTGCTGTGAAAGTTTCTAAACATATTTTTCAAAATAAAACATTATTTTTTACAAATATTATTACGTTTTGGGAAGTCACACCACAACATTTTTACAGAAACTTCCACCATGAAAAAAAAAGAAAAAGTAATAGCTACTTTTTGCGAGTCAAAATTGCAAGATATAAACTCGCAATTATAAAAATACTATATTTTTAATTACATACTATACATACATAAATTATTACATTAGTAATTACATACATACATGCTAATTCATGCTAGCAACATGATAATTCATCTAGTTTATACATATCAGTGGTAGAAACATGTTTTCCAGTCATCACACATATATGAAAGTAATTATTGAATAAATGAGCATCGCTACTCACATGCTGGTCGAGTTTTTGGTAATCCGATGTTTTGGGTCTCCGTGAGCCTCTTGACCTCCGACCCTCAACGACAAAAGCAATGATCTATAGGAGAGGGTGAAAGGAATAATGGTCACTGGGTATTAAAGCAACACCAAGGAACTTTTCCTCAGCGGTCGCCCTACAGGTTGGAAGCGGAATTGTCCATTACCGCTGTCGTAAATAGTTTAGCCTACGGTCGCACGCGCACGCTCGCTGTTTATCCAGCGCCGGCTTTGGAATATCCGTTTCAGTATCCGTTTTTTCTGTTACCCGTTGACTAGCGTTGTATGATCACGCTCTTATTAATGTGAATGCTTTTAAGACTAAAGAGACCACGCTGTAAGTCCTGCCTATTACACACACACACAAACAGAAAAGACATGCGTCAGTATCGAGTTCTCTTTTGGACTTGAACAAACCGTAACACACACAAATTATGCCAAAATGTCGGATTTGTCGAGTGTTCTCATAAGAGCAGTCTTAAATGATTTAAATAAAGTCTTAAATGAACGTAGAGATTTGTGAGAAAATGGGAGTGTCAGATCGCGTCTCTGTCAGCAGCGGCTGGTCTTAAAGTGTCATTAAAGTTAATCAAAGAACAAAGGTAAGAGAGTAAATGACTCACTCAGACCCGGCGCCAGGAGGATTATTACACCGGCAGCCTAATAATCATGAATGCACTGCTATCTTTAACACATCTCCGGCGAACGGCTTCTTCACGCAAAAGAAAAACTCTTCATGAAGCGCAGTGAAATTCAGCGACCTATGGCGTTTCCTGATGGATCGAGGTTGTTCGTTAACTTAATTTTATACGTGCAACTCACGTAGCCATATGACACTGACAACGTGCTGACAGACAGGACCGAGCAGGTAATATTTAATATGAAACAAAGTCTCAACTTTCAAATTTGGTCAGTCGAAGAAAATTAAACAATAGGCCTACCGTTTTGTGGCTCTAACGTGTCGTGAGAGATTGCCTCAGTTAAAGACAAGTTCAAATCCACCAACGCTAATGTATATAAGTGAAAGTGAAGTGCACACTGCTGCACCAGCTTTTTATAAGCGATGTAAAAAAAATTAGTTTCGTTTTCAAATGAGCGGCAATTCAGCGCACAATAACAAAACAGTGTTGCTCCGCAAGACCACCATTATTCATGCCCGTGCAAACGCGCGCATTTTACATGTGCCTTTAAATTAGCGATTTAAAAGCCCCCGCCGGTGATACCGGTATTACCGGTGTTGTAACACGTCGATTAACCGGTGTGAAAAAATCCTCACCGTCACATCCCTAACGGGGGGGGTGGCGGGTTGACTAGCTTTCGTGAGGCACACTCGCAAGGTCTCTCGCTCTCTCCCTCTCTGCCGTGCTCGCGCTATGTATGTTATGCGCGCAGTTTTTCTGTCTCGCATGCGCGCTCTAGATTCTGGCAGATTTGAACTTATTTGCGGGCATCAGGGAGACGCTATCAAGTGGTGGGGGAAGTGACGTATGCCGTAAAGCAGTCGAGTTTTGTAGTTCTTTTTGTGCTCGGGTTACTACCCGAAACCTGAAGTTACATAGTGCGAGTAAAAGCGATACAGACCACGTCATGGCAGACGTGTCATTCAACCTATTGTAAGTCGATGTACCATCACAAGGGTTTTGGAAATATATTATGAAGGTTGAAAAGTTACATAGTGTTGCTTTAAAAGCAGCAGTAAACGCTCTCGATGAGGAAAGGCTCACTAACCTTGCGCTTGTTGTGACTGGCGATATAAAGCACCGCCACCAGAATGATGGCCGCCACCAGATAGGCGAAGAAGTGGCTGCTCTCTGCGCTCTCCTCGAACTCGATATCATCCTTTGCTTTTCGGTTCTTTTCCAGGTTCTTGTGGTCAGATTTATCCAGTTCATCTGAAAGAACATCACCAGTATCAGGATTGCCACCGTCACCCACATCTGGCTCAGCGTCATCTTCAGTTTGTCCCTCTTGGCTGCCCGTAGGAGCCTCAGATTCGGTCTTGTTGTCGTCATCCTCTTCAACAGAGTTGGTTTTAAAATCATCATCATCATCATCATCTGTGTTCTGCTCTTCATCAACAGTTTCTTTTCCCCCTGCTTTATCAGGTGTGTTGGGCTTCTCGTCTGTTTTAGCATCGTGTGGTTCATCTTCAGCAGGTTTAGAGGCTGTTGGTTCTCCCTCTCCAGGAGTCTTCTCTTTTATGTCTTTCTCTGATTCATCTTCACCAGGATCAGGGTTGTTTTGTTCACCAGTTGCTTTATTCTGCTCAGCTGTGGTGTGCATCTCTCCTTCACTTCCGACTTCATTTGTGGCTTTTCCTTCAGCCGCTTCCGCAGGTTTGCCAACAGGTTCAGGTGTGTTTTTCTCCACCTCTTTAACTTCTGAACCCTCTTCAGGCGTTATAGGGGCTGTTACCTCATTTTTAACCGGTTCATTGTTGTCAGGAGAGGTCTCTGCATTATCTGGATCAAGTTTGTCCGGTTGAGCATCTGAAGCTGTTTTAGGTGCTGGATCTTTACTATCGTCAGCAGCATTATTTGGTGTCAGTGGAAGCTCATTGCCATTTGCCCCATTTATATCTGCGTCCTGTAAAGTAGTGCTTTTATTCTCTGTGACATCAGGTTCATCATCTACCAATGGTTTTGAGAAAACTGAAAAATACCACAAGAGAGAGAGAGAGAGAATCACAATCAAATCTTGGGCCTAGCACGCCGTTTAAGCCTATAGCATCATCAAGACACCCAATGAGGGAATATCTTTTGGATGAATGGTGAATTCTTCACACTTGTAGAATAAAGCCAATTGAATCACTGAAAGCTGTTTTGGAGTTATAAAACATAACTAAGACACTTCATGTTGCTTTTTCTTTTAATTTGCGACTTTTAAGTCTGTGATTTTTAACTGATTTACTAAGAAATACATGATGACTTCCCTGTTGAAAACCCTCCCAGCTAATATATATTACAAATATTTTTAAATATATATATATATATATCGTACTGTTTATTCTAAGCGCGTGCTTGTCAGCCGCTTTAAATGCTTGAGCACGTAACAGCAGGATGGATTCTGATTGGCTGTCAATGTTTTTATCGTTCATCAATCGTTATGAAAGTGATCCCAACGATATCGTTTCTCTATATCGTTATAGCTGTGGTGTGAACTCTGCTATTCTTTAACGATTTTCAGAACTATATATTTAGTTATCTTAAGCATAAATGGTCTTAAGCTGGTTTAAGATGATTTTTTTTTAAAACTGGGAGACCAGCTAAGAGCAGCCAAGCTGGTTTTGGTGTTTTTTTTAGCAGGGTTCCCGCAGGCAATATTAAACACGTCGCAAGTTTGCAGTGTGTAAACAATGCCCTCAAACAGGAACTCAAGACACTCCTTTACATAATTTACACTAACAGGAATGTGGTTTAACCAGTGACACTCTTGACCACCTTTGCAACAAAACTTGCTGTCAGGATTTGTAAACGTGGAAAGAAATTCGCATTTAAGATGACTAAAAATGAGCTAACATGCATAGTAATCGCACAGATTTCTGAACACAGTGAAATGATTCTCAAGTAAACACGTCACGAGCTAACACGTAAACACGTCAATCTCACAAACATCATCTGACAAGCAGTATGAGTAGAGGAACACACTAACTTACCCAGAGACAAGCAGAGGACAACTGAACACAGGGCTGTTAAGCGCAGCATGGCTTCATTCAGTGATACTGTAATTCAGAGGCACGAGACTCAACTGAATGATGACAGTGAGTGAAAGCCAACGCACTTCCGGTTCAGAGCAGAGAGCGACTTCCGTGTTTACACACAGTGCGCGTGGTGAGAAATGACATGCGGACTGGACTTCCGTGACGGATCTAGTTGTCGTTCAGAAAGGATCCTATTATCATAGTGTAATTATATAAGGATCTAATGCCGCGTTCCAGGCAACCTGTAACCCGTGTTTTTTCAACTCGTAACTGGGAGTACATCGATCTAGTACGAATTCACGGGTGGGAAGTCACGGGTTTGACTGCCGTTCCAGTGCACTTTCACGGGTATAAGGTTGGGAAAACACGGGTTACAGGTTGCCTGGAACGATGTACTCCCAGTTACGAGTTGGAAAAACACGGGTTACAGGTTGCCTGGAACGCGGCATTATTATCATAGTCCAGTGTTTCTCAACCTCTCCTGCAGGGACCCCCTGACAGGCCATGTTTCTGTTTTAACCCTGAAATGGCACACCTGATTCAAGTCATTAAAGGCTTAATGAGTAGTTGACTAATTGATTAATTGAACTATTCCTACTCTAATTACTCATTAAGCCTTTAATTACTTGAATCAGGTGTGCCATTTCAGAGTTAAAACAAAAACATGGCCTGTCAGGGGGTCCCTGCAGGAGAGGTTGAGAAACACTGTCATAGTCTAATTAACGTATATATTTTTGTTGTCTTATTGTTTTTTCATGACATATTGTTCAATAAATAAAAATAAAAAAAGTTGTTCAGAATAGAGTTGAGATTCAGAATGGCTTTTAAATTGCGATTTAATTAAACGCTGGCTGCCGTTTTTACATTTCATACTTCATTGTTTACATGTTTGATTTCTTAATACGTACCTAATTCAAAATAATGTCATAAATATAGAAAATGCCATTATGTTTGATCACTTTTACTATCATTTTATGGGCCTTGGTGAAAAATAAAAACACTTTATTTAGTAGAAATTTTCATTTACTCTATATACTGGGGAGACCGGGGCTAGTTGTCACAAGCTGAGTGACAGGATTAGGCAGGATTATTATCGTTAACTAATGCTGCGTTCCAGGCAGGTTTTTGAGCACGTAAATCACGACTTCAAACCACGACTCACGACTTTGTAGCATTCCAGGCCAGTCACGCCAAACTACCTGAGCGCAATATACATACTTATTTTTTCAGACACATAACATTGTAATACATAATCGTGTGTGTATATACATACTTATTGTTTCAGACACATAACATTGTAATACATAATCTTGTGTGTATTATTATCATTATTATTATATTATTATTAATTTGACTGCAACGTTATATTGTCCTAAAGTGTATTCTCACTGTGTACCGCCTGCATAAACACTGCATCCGTAGGGGCTGCCATTGTTGTTTTGTATGGTTTTGCGGGCTATGTGACGTCAGAACTCGTAACTGGGAGTACATCGATCTAGTACGAGTTCATGGGTGGGAAGTCACGGGTTTGACTGCCGTTCCAGTGCACTTTCACGGGTATAAGGTTGGAAAAACACGGGTTACCGGTTGCCTGGAACGCGGCATTAATCTAAATATTGTTTGAAAACCCTAAACTTAACGAAAATTAGAAATGTTGCCTTGCCAATAAACTGAAATGAGTTTAAGTTGAAGCATTCAAACTATTAACTGCAAATAAATAAAAATTAACAAATATTTTTTTTTAGCAAATTAGCAAATAACAAAACTAAACAGAAAAATATAAACCTAAATTGCAATATTTTAAAAATGATAACAATAATAAAAAAATAAAATGACAAAAGCACTTAAGGTTACTAAAAACATGAACAAAAAAAACAAACAAATAACAAATAAAATCTAATTCAAAATATGAATAAAACTATAATAAAACTAAAATAACACTGCTATATAGTTTTGAGTGTCTTTAGCTGTGTTGGTTATGATGGTTTCAATCTCCATCAAAACCATCTTATAATTTATATTATATTATATTATATTATATTATATATGGACATATATGGACAATGATGTGTGTCACCTGATCAGGGAAATTTACAGTGACTAACACACACACACACACACTGTTTTGTTTGTTCTCTGTGTGGACGAGTATACATATACATTTCTTTATATCTATTTATCCTAAATGTTTTAACAATGTGGTGCCAAATGTGGAAAACTTATAGACATACATTGGCAGTGCTCTGTTTCAGATTATGATAATGATAATAGTAATAATTTTCAATTCCAAAGAAAGTTTCCAAATAAATTAACAGTAATGTAGGCATTCTAGTTGATAAATTAAAGGTTCATATCTGGACTGTAGAGGGCAGTATAAGACCATCCACTTATCAAAAGCATTTGGTTCACTGGACTGTATGCATAACTCTCTCTCTCAGTCTCTCTCAGTCTCTCTCTCTCTCTCTCTCTCTCTCTCTCTCTCTCTCTCTCTCTCTCTCTCTCTCTCTCTCTCTCTCCTTCTCTCATCATACCCTTTCAATTAGGCTGTGCTAAACTTCAAATGCTTCAAGAAATATGAATGATTTGAATGACTCGTCTCATTCATCACTGAAGTGAACACAGTGTTGGCGTTACAAGAGTAAAAGTGACTGAACTTCAGCTCCACTGCATTGACTCTCTCTCGGGACGAAAGCATCTCGTCCTGCATGAGAACAGAACAGACTCTGAATCCACAATGAGCCAGACTCCTCGAAACACAACGCCAAACTCCGAGACATGGCGTGCACGTGTTACTGACAGAAGAAGAGCGGGCGCGAGCAGTCCAGCAGATTTATCATGCTTTCTGGTGTCTCTATCGCAACAGATGTCCTCTATAATTTAATAACTCAACTGAAGGCTTTATGTTTCTCCAAGTCTGGTGTCTGGATTCTTGAAAGTATAGTTTAGCCAAAATTAAACTTCTCTCTGTAACGATACCCTCATGTCACGATTTGATAGGCTACATATCACGATACTGAACTCACGATACGATATTATTGATACTCAAGACATATGATAAAAGGATAACAAAAAATGTAGGCTATACTGTTGATTAAAAATGCTATATTACATTGTGTGTGTAAATGAATAGTCTTGGACTTGGTGCTGAAACCCAACGCACAGGACAATAGAGACACCAGAATAAACATATTCATGATTCTGAAGCTGAAAATACATAATTATTTTAGATGAATATGCTTGAACTCTGTCACTGACTAGATATATTTAAAATAATGTCGGCCATTTTTACTGGTCACATAATATATTTGGCATTATCATTATCAGGACCCACAAATATTCCTCCATTGCATTATTATACACTATATTCAACATTATATATTAATTATGTAGTACTGACACTAAAACTCTGTAAATTTGATTTTTTTTTCTCACACAGTAATTTTTATTTTGGGTGAACTATACACAATATATATTGTTGGATTTTTGTATTGCGATATATTACACCACTATCATTTACTCACCCTCATCTCGTGTCATTCCTAAATCAGATTTCTTGTCGTTTTTGTTATTTGGGAAAGTGCAGCGTTCACATTCTGCCTGATATTTGCTTTTGTGAGAAGGAAATCATTTGTGTTTGTAACAACATGAGAGTGAAATGACCTCGTTTTTGTCGTCTTCTTTTTTTGGGGTGAAAAACCACCACAAAAAAACTCCTTTGTTTTTCTCTTCCCCGTTTAGACCAGGTGCGTGAGATTATCTTTTCCAATGTAAATATGATCTACAGCAAAACCATTGGCCTAATCTTTATCTTGTATGACCTTAACGACTGCCATGAATAATTTGTTACAGCGACCAAAGATCTTGCACAACATG